AAGCATCCCGCTGCTTTTTGGGCCTTTTGTGTGAGCGGCAAAAAAAAAAAAAAACACACAAACATCAAATTCACCAATGCAAAATGGAAGATAATGGCACGGAAGTGGACAGAATCAGGGGCGGCGCCGAGGCCCTGCACTCGCCTGCTGCAGGTCCTTGGTTACACATTCAGCGGCAAACAGCAACACAACAGGGCAGAGCTGCGCTGTGGGGAACGGCTTACCAAAGCCCCCGAAGGCAGAGAGAAGGCGTTGGACACAACGTGCACCAGCTCAACAAGCTCCACCGCCAAGACACCGCGGCTCCACAGGCCTGCTCCGTCTTGTCTGCATTCCACAGCCAAGGCAGGGAAGTGGCTCGTGGAAAATTCCACCTTTGTGGCATTTAGGCGGCGGGAGGGAGGGGGCGGTGGGGAGGGTGGAGGGGGGGGGGGTAAGATAAAGGGCAGGATCCTTGTTACTGCTACATTGTGAATTCGACACGAGGAAGGTTATGTTACCTTTCGGTGTAAAGGTCTTGGATCTTCTGGTCGATTTGCAACCAATTTAAAATCATGGAAATATGTGTGAACGGGCTGCTTTTAAAAAAAAAAACGACACTCTAGACGTTCACCTTTGAAAGGGGCAAATAAGATCGACGCCACCCTCGAGTCGGTTTGGCTTTTCTGAGGAAGCTTATTTCAACGAGACTCCAGGAAGTGAACAGGCTGGCACATGAAACACTTGTTGCACAGAGCCGTGCTCCATGTTTCCCCCGGTTTCTTCCAGCCTTGGTGCTGCGCTGGTTCACCAACCGCTGGCTCCTGCTTCAGATTGCCCTGTATCACTGTTAATTGCTGTAGCTGCTGACTTTGCCTAAAGGTTATTCAACTGAGAGCTGCCAGCCTCCACGATCCGTTCATAAATACATACGGTATAATTCGAATCAACATTTATTCATGGAGAAGATGTTTTTGCTGCTCTGTGAGGAGCTGGTTAGACGTCGCCGTTGCATTACACTCAGGAATGTCACAGGAGTTTTTTCAGCGAAGCAGAAGTGCTGAATTTTGCATTTAGTTTGTTTTTCCAGACATTTTATTCCAAATAAATAAATAATATACTGAGCAGGCGGCTGCAAATAGAGCAGCACTATTATTCCTGGAGTTTAATTCAACTTTAAAAAACCCACATTCAAAACCTGCCTTTTACCCACAATCATTGGAAGAGACTCAGATCGGGGCGATGGGTTTATGCATTCAAACATCACTCCGCATGAATCAGCGTCCCTCGGGGACACTGGATTGGCTCATCAAAGGATGAATCCCTGCGAACTGACATGTCAGTGAAGCTCGCTCCTCCCCGATACACATTTATTTCTCTCATGAAACGTAGCTTTCTGTTTAGCAGCGATCTTGATCTCAGCGAGACTCTCTGAATACAGATAAAACAAAAGCTCATCCACCCCCCCAGCGTAATAAATGACGAGACCCTGTTTGAGAGAATACTGATGTAGCACCTGCTGCGGATCTGGTTCAGGCCAGGACAGGTCTCAGCTCCGGCTCCTTCTGTGACTGTCATTTCAAAAGAAAGATCATCAGTATTCAGTTATTTCTCAGAAGCTCACATGACAACATTTCCATGTCTGTTTCTCAGAAACGTTTCCACGTCCGTTTATAGAGGGCGTTTTTTTTTTTCAAATCGGCAACCCAACCTTTTTTTTTACTCTTTTGCACGACTTCCTCTCTTTCTTTTCCTCACATTGTGAAACGCTGGATTACGTGCCGTGCGTCTTGAATGCCTCTCAAGTCTCGGCACGGCCGTGCATATCTCACCCGAGGCCGGTGGAGTTGCAGCAAGCTGCTGCTGCTGCCCGCGGCCCTCACAGCCTTGTGCCCCACCCCCACCCTGCTTTCAGCGGGCTCCATGTCCTCGCCGGGACACCCAATGGGTGCCATACCGTCTCCTTGACAGGGATTATGCACATATTGTAAATGTATATATAGTGCTTATTTAGACACCTGCGTAGATCTCATTTCTCTGGTTGCATTCAGCCTTTTCTCTGCTTTTGGGTTTGATTAAATGAAACAAGCTCTGGACGTTTTGTTACCTTGGCCAGAGCAAGTGGTCCCACACCACACGTGTCCCAGTGTATTGATCATCTTAACTCTTGGATAACAAAAAAAAGCATTTCCCAAAATGTCTGACTATTCCTGTAACGTGTTGTTGCCTCTAGATCGAGTGTCAGAACCACAAAGCCAGCCATTAAACCCCAGAGCCTCCACATTTATGTGGATATCACACCGGCGGCGTTTCAGCCTCTTCTACAAAATGGGCGTTAATCGGGATAAAAAACAAGTTTATTGAGGGTTATCGTCCCAGAAACGGCAGAAAAATACTTCTTATCACCACCTTGGATACAGAGCTGCTGGCTTTCGTGCAGTGCAGCATTCCAGGCAAGTTGAAACACGACCGCGTCCTTCCTCCGACGGAGGGAATCCGTTGAACTGGGTGGATGCAAGTTGATGGCTCACACACACAAACTCTGTAACGTCAGCGGACAGCAAATAAAAATTGCGTTACGCCAACCCCCGTGTGAGGGATTTTAAGCACATGGCTGTCACATATTTCACTGCACCAAATTAAAACCACATACAATCAGCCCTGCACTTAAAAATTTAATTGATTTTTAAAAAAGCACAGTTTGTTTTGTGGGATTCTCCATCAGTAGGTTCACTCGAACAGGAAGTAAATCCTCCGAGCAACACGTTAAAAGAAACATCCCTTTGAAGGAAAGGCACAGACAGTATCAGCAAAGCAAAAAAGGGCTTATTATGCCCGTCATTTGCATAAATTGTGGGTTTTGAAAGTACCCCGGGATGTGTTTGTTACTGATACATGCTCCCCACAGCAATAAGCCCCAAAGTTTCCAGTTGTCAGCCAGAACTTTTCTTTGCTGGGAAAAACATCAGAGAGATTTAATGGTATTAATATCTAGAATAACTTTAAACGTTACTGGAGATAATGTGGACGTGAACAGGTTTACGATGCTTTGAAAAGGCTTTAAAGTAGCATTATCAAACGTGGAATTGATTTTAAGATGTCAGTGTGTCGTTTAATGCTCCTCGTCTAAATTGTTTGGATGTATTACCATTTAAATTGTCAATTTGCCCCTGCAGCAGTGTAACAGGCACAATTCCAGCATGTTGCACACTGCGGTGATTGCAGTGATTCAAAGCACAATGTTTGTTTAATTTGAAAAGTTTTTGTTTTTACGACAGGGAGGAGAGGGTTTGGTATCGTAATGTTCTGTTCTTGAGTAAAAAAAAAAAAAAAACAGTACCATATTAGGGTGGGAACTACATTCAAGTCAGTAAAGGGGCGGGGTTTAAACCTGCTGCTGCATCGCCATTGGTGGACGCGGGAGACAAAAATGCCTGTACCTGGTGCAGGTAAACCCACTGGGAGACGCAGCCGGGATGGATCGGCTGACGGGATTAACTGTAACCCTTCGACTTCATTCACCCGTCCCGGCCTGGACGACATCACCGCTTTTTATTTGTGTGTGTTTGTGTGTGTGTGTGTGTGGCTTTTGTACAGGTCTCTGTTCTATTCCCTGTCCGTCTACAGAGAAAAGAAAGCAGAAAAGTCGGCATTCGCCGGTTTATTTCTTCGACAAATGTCAGGCGTTGGTGATTCTTATGTGATTTCCCCCGATAGCCGGTGCCTTTCCCACCTCTTGCCTCGTCTTGCAGGTGAGTTTGAGATGCACGCTGTTGCATCTTCTGCCTTAGCTGGAGGATTAAATCTAGGAGGGGAGACGTGAGAGCCGAGGGTCGCTGCTGATTTGAGAGTGAGGCTGTAATAGAGGGTTAAATTTGTGTGGGTTTCGTCTCGACATGTTCGGCGCCCCCCCCCCCGCACCCAGCAGCACCCTGATTGGGTTCAAAAGACTCCCGAATGATGGAAAAACAGTGGGAACAGGTTTGGTCTTGTGCAGGGAGAGGCCGGCCCGGCACACCCTCCATGCAGGCGCTCACACGCACGCAAAGCAAGAGGAGCAGACCTGTTTTTTTAACGGACCCGCTCTTTTTAACCCGCTTTGCAACTTCTCTCTTGACAGGAAAAAGGAAGTGGGACGCTCGCCGCTTTAACGAAACCCATCCATGTATTCTATCCTTCATTCCACCGGAGTCTGTGTAAAGTGCCAGTCAGATTTCAGTGGTTTGAAGAGTAAAACGCATGGAATTCATCGTCGGGGGAGAGCTTTCCTACGAATGAAGCCACGCGACACAAGGTTTTGATGCTTGCAGTGTTTTCAATAAAGACGAACGTGACTAAAGATCAACTTTGTTAAATGGCCTTCAATGTCTTTGGATGTCAACCTGCCGTCAAATGCAACAGTTCTGCACAAGCACAGAAAGAGGACTTCTCCTGCTCCTCCTCCACACCTGCATTGTGACAGAACTCATTGCACAGTTGTTACTGGATCACCGGCCGCTGGCAGCCCCACTTTATGTCTTTTGGTTTGTCACTCAGAGGTTGTTATGTTCTCACCGGGTCTCCCTGCCCTTGCTTCTCCAAGACACGGCAATTACACAATGACTCCTGAATTCTACACATTACCACGTACTCAACACACCGTTCGTACGTGCCAAGACGTATAGTTTTGTGCCTAAAGTCTCCTCTTCTTAAAAAAAATCAGCGTATTTTCAGCATTGTCTTGAGTGATTCAGTATTGCGTAGTGAACATCTTTTGTTTCTCCAAAGAATATAGTTTTCCCATCAGGTTTTCAACCCATTCGCTGTTGGATAATTAACCTGACTCATTAGCATTAGTAAATTCTATTCAAAGCCTTAATTATAGCTAAATGGGCAGCTGGAAGTCATTTGACAGCTACATTGAGCCCTGAGTCACCCAGCAATAATTCTTCCACCCAATTAAGATGGAGAGAACATGCAGAGCAAACAAACAAAGCAGCATAGTGCCAAATCAGCAGAGATTCATACAGACCTGCCTTGAGTAATAGTGTTGTTATGACAGTTTTCTTCTTTAATTACAGTGAGACAGCCGCTTTCCACCAGCCCAAAGACAAACCATTTCATCCTGAAATGCAGGTGCTCATCCCTCGTCAGTTATTGAGCAACACATTTTAATAAATAAAAAAGAAAAGCATCATTATTATAAATCCTGAACACAAAGGAAAGAAGAAGTCTTTCATGCCGTTCCTTTCACTAAACAGAATACACCCAGTGAATAAAAAGGGCCCGTGGATTTACCCACGCCGTGGAAAGATTCACCCTCATAATCATGCTTTCTATTCTACTGCCCCCTGTGCACAATGCGGCATCCCTGCAGGCCTCACACGGTAGAAAGACACGTGTCCTTCTCCTCAACGGGCTTCCTCTTCACGTCACACCTCAGTCGGCTGTTTACCTTCCTGTTGGAGGCGATGACGACCGCGGGGCTCAGCGCGGCGTAGAGGGAAGCGAAGAACACGCGCAGGTCAGAGATCAGCGAGGATTCCATGGCCTTCCTGGATGTGAGAGTGTAGACCCAAAGCCCGTTATCGACCCCGTAAAGGACCACATACAAGGTCACGAGCGCCACCACGACTTTGGCGGCGCGGCGCTCTGCCCCGCCTCCCCTGCTCCCGCGGAGATCCTTCGCCTGCTGGCTGTGCTTGTAAAGGAAGACCAGGATGATCAGACTGTCAAGGGTCATGAGGGCCATGGGCACCACGTCTCTGCCCACCTGGGAGGCCCCGTTCGCCTGGATGGACAACTTTGAAGGAAAGTTGACGTAGCAGAATTGGACGTTGATGTCAAAGTTTGTCAGGTTGGTGACGTTTTTGGTGCCGAAGGAGAAGAGAATGCCTGCCGAGGACATGCAGGTGTTGAGGAGCCAGAGGATGAGGAACACTAAGCCCAAATACTGGGCTAACAGGACGCGGAGGTGGGCCCAGCGGGATCCGGGAGGGGCGATGCTCAGGCACTGGTAGGCGCTCAAGACGAAGGTGAGCCAGATCGAGAGGGACCGGGATGTTCTGTAGACAAAGATCACGGCCTTACAGCCCACGTCTCCGAAGATGCCGGACAGGCGGAAGGAGGCCAGGGTCTCCGGCAGGCAGCGGGCGGCCACCACCAGCAGGTTGACGAAGGCCAGGTGCAGGACTATGGCGTCAGACGGGAGGAGGCGACGCTCCTGGTAGAGCAAGAGGAGGAACGCCAGGATGACGGTCGCATTACCCGGCACTCCCAAAACGGTGAGGGACAAGTAGAGCATCCCGCGGACAAACATCTCGGAGGGCATTCCTGCAGGGATAGAAAAGAGCGCCGGGTAACTTAACCGCTCAAATAAACAAGGTGTGTTCCACGCAGAAGTTTACACCCGTACCTGGGAAGAGCCGCGGGCAGCGAAGGTCTGAGACGGACCTTCTCCCCGATCGCTTTCTCCTGAAGGTGTCGGGTTGTTTGTGCTCTTATAGTCGCAAACAGGTGAGTTTTGGTGACAGGCCGTTGGATGTGTTTTTCATGGTCCATTGACTCCCCTCTTCCCTCAGCCTCCAATTACTTGAGATCAATTCAGATGACTGATTCCGTCCCCTCGCCGGGTTTCAGACAGGAAGGATAACACAGAGAACGCCGTGTACGGAGATCCAAGCATCGGGAAGAGAAAATGGTGTTAATAACGTCTAATAGACACAAGTTTACACTCAAAAAAAGATTAAAACACTTTCTCAGTGTCACTGTTTCCCTTCGGGGATTACTCCGGATGCACTTTTTTTTTTGTAATTACTGATGCTTTAATTTGATTTTCCTTATAAGACTCTTCATATTACTCTTGTATTTTTAATTCCGCAATCAATTTCAGAATCCACTGGCGATTAAAAGAGCCCTCTTGAGTGTTGGTTAGTCAAACACCAACGCCACAGTGTCCTCCAGTGGACAAAGATGAGACAGGTCTGCATCTCCGATGATCCACAATTTCCATTTGTAGAGTTTGACACAGCATCCAATTTATGATTGTCTAATTCACCCAAAGCCACAGAGGTTCTGAATATGGAGTTACTTCCAAACTTTGAGGATGTTATAAGGGCAAATAAGGCAAGTTGAGAGCTGCACGTGCAGCGTGATTTAACTGCAACATATCCTGAAGCCGCTGGTGAATATTAAGCCCGTTGCTCTCAAGTGCATGAAGAATAAAGGAGAAAATACCATGAAATGAGATTAAACGGGATTACTTAAAAAAAAGGCTATGGGTTTCCAGGTATCAACCCTGTTGAGTTGGTTTATTATTAATTGGTTGTGAAATGTACATTTACTCACTGTTCAAAGTCGATGCATAAAAAAACATGATATATGTTCATATTTTAATATTAGCTTTGCCATAACACTTCAAAAGGAACAATCCCATTATCTAATACACGTTAAATAAATTATAATAGAGTAATAGTGCAACACTCACAGGTGCTTTTACTGGTGTATTAGGTGTATTACCCTAATGTTATTTTACACAAATCACTTGTAATTTAGTTTTTTTTTCAGATTTTTGTGCCTGAAGGGACACTCGTCTCTCAGCGAGGTGAAACACATACAGCCCACAGACTTAAAGGTAGATGAAACACAATGGAGAGAAACAATAAAACTAGAGATCGCTCAGACAGGTACCTAAACTGATGAATGATTTGATGTTAGAGGTGAAAGCACTCAGCAAACATTTTGATGATACCTCCCTGTTTTTAACTGAAGATTGTGTTGGAGAATGGAGAAATAAAATCAAAGGTTTTGGGAGGTCAAATGTGCTCCCTTCTCCCGTAATGCAAACACCGAGTTGAAGGCCCATCAATATCAGACAGGAGGCTGCTAAGCCAAAAGCCTCTTAAAGCACAGTTTTCTGCTGTGGGACAGATTAAGTGGCACAGCGAGGGGTGCACGGAACGTTCCCTCTTCACCAACCAAAGCCTCACTCGCATACTTAAACGGGCAAAAGGTTAAAAAGTAGACACGCATCTGAACTAACTTGACTTGCATTTTAAACCGCTACCTTGACTACTCAGAGGTGACTGGAGTGAGATAGTACAGCATTTAATGACCCAAGAGAGGGCTTTTCTCAACGCGTAACTCAATTATCTCCAACAGTGACATTTGAGTGCAGCTCCTACTGTGTAAAGTATTAACTGATATATTATTTCACCCATAAAGATCTACCTCTAACGCGATGAGAGTTAATGTGCTCCTAAAATTGAATTAGTTCATTAGGAGCCCATGAGATAGAATTGCATGTCAGGAGAAGAAAAAGAAATGAACTCGTAATGCAACATGATCCAATCCCCTGAGAAGGACGAGCTTGAACTTGCCATTTTAATTAGTTCTCAGAACATGTGGACGCACACACGGGAAAACAACACATCCTATGTTGCTTTATTCCAAGGCCCACTCCCAGGGGAAAAGGCTTTTCTTAAACAACAAAGTTTTAAGCACAGTGTGAATTTTGCACCTGAGTGCAACAGAGAGCACAGCTGACCAGTTGGTTCATCAGGAGACATCCTGCAGTTTAAGAAGATATTGCTGGAATACCGTCGCAAACTTCTGCAACTGTGAGAGCTGATAGTTAAGGAGATAAATAAATATTCTCCCTGTGCCCCCCAATTAGTTCAGACATGCATTTTTATAAAGCTAATTGCCTTGCACCTCTGTGTCCTTTTAACACGCTCCCAGGACATGAAGGAGGAAAGCAGCGTAGACGGGAAGCGTCAGCTGCGCGTGAAAAAGCCTCTTGATGGCTCGTTCAAGGCATCATCAGGCTGCTTCTCATCACCAACTAACCGTGTCTCTGCGAGGGTTGTTTAACTCTAATCTAAATTCCACAGGGAAATAACCGTATAATGTTTGACGGACGTGCGGCCTTTTTCGTCGTGCAGAAGCTGACGGCTGACCTGTGGAAGTTAAACATGAGGAGGATACCACACACGTGTCATCTGCGTGACCTAAAGGCAGCGCGGGCACTTTTCACTATATCACAATTTCCCGACACTAAATGCAAGTCCACCACAAAACAATACCCACATTCCTATCTGGACATTCAAACTGATTTTGCTAATGTCACCACTCTCATTGGATGCATGTCAGGCACATCCAGGAAAAATAATTATACAAAAGCTAAATCTGTTCAACTGGCACCTGAGTACGTCTGGTGTTCTATGTTCCCAGTTACTCTGGTAATCCGGTCACACTTGTTCTATTCCTATTTTGTTTCTAGGCTCTAACGCAAAACCAAGAAAACGTAAACAGGTGGAAAAGAGGAGTATTTGTTAGAGCAGTGCTTCTGTTGCTTTAATTTGCCAAACTGGGGGCTGAACACCGCAATGTTGGCCGGTGCTCTCAAGGGGCATCGGAGCCTATAAATTGCCATCAGACTTGGTTTTAAACATTTAATGCACAGCGGCTTTTGCCCTTCATCTTAACTTCAGGTAAGCTTATTTTCATTTTGAGAGAATACTTGAACATATTCCAGCTAGTTTCAGGCTTCTTTAATTGCCTTTAATTGCGTGGACAGATGTTCGCTGTTACTCGCAACAGACGTTGACTTTCTGTCCACCTTTCAGCAGCATGGATCTGTGCGTCACCATCAAAGGGGTCTCCTTCCTCCTGCAAACAGGCATGGGCATCTTAGGGAACACGGTGGTGCTGCTGGCCTACGCTCAGCTCATCTACGCCGAGCCCAAGCTCCTACCCGTGGACATGATCCTGTGCCACCTGGCCTTCGCCAACCTGATGCTGCTGCTGACCCGCTGCGTCCCGCAGACCATGAGCGTGTTCGGGCTGCGGGACCTGCTGGGTGACCCCGGCTGCAAGGTGGTGATCTACGCCTACCGCATCGGCCGGGCTTTGTCGGTCTGCGTCACCTGCATGCTCAGCGTCTTTCAGGCGGTGACCCTTGCCCCCGCCGGACCCCGTCTGTCCAGGTTGAAGCCCGCACTTCCCTCCCTGGTGCTGCCCACCTCCGCAGGGCTGTGGCTCCTCAACATGGCCGTGTGCGTCGCGGCCCCTCTCTTCTCCATGGCGCCGCGCAACGGCACCGCCCCGGCCTTCACCCTCAACCTTGGCTTCTGCCACGTGGACTTCAGGGACAACCTGTCCTACGTGATCAACGGCGTGGCGGTCTCTGTGCGGGACTTCGCCTTCGTCGCCCTGATGTTGGGCTCGAGCGGTTACATCCTGCTGCTGCTGCTGCACCGCCACAGCCGCCGGGTGAGGGGGATCCGTCGCTCTCAGGGCGGCGGGGCGGAGACCAGGGCGGCCAAAACAGTGATCACCCTGGTGGTTCTGTACGCGGTCTTCTTCGGGATCGACAACGCGATCTGGATCTACATGCTGACGGTGGCAAAGGTGTCGCCCGTGGTGGCTGATATGAGGGTGTTCTTCTCCTCCTGCTACGCCTCTCTCAGCCCATACTTCATCATTTCCTCCAACAAGAAGGTCAAGGCAAAGATCCTGTGTGCAGCGGAGCAGGACCAGCCGTCAGTGGACAACCAGGAGACGAGCGACAAATGACACCCTCGCTTTGTTTTGACAGGCTGTCGACTAACAAGGCGGCAGAGCTGTACTCTCAGACCTCATCTTTTTCCACACTGCTGCACGGATGAGTGACATTTACTGAGACCCCTTGTTGGACAAACCGTATTTATATTTTCAGCAAAATCTAAAATATGCTGTACCCACCCTGTGGTAAACACCATCATCTTCATTGCAGCTAAAAGAATTCAATGAGTAAAGAAGTGAATTCATCTGCATAAGCTTTGAGTATTGGTTAGTTGTCAATTTACATGATTGGATGCTTTACTTGGCATTTGAGTTAGAGACTGTTGCTTGTATGATGAGCATTTTAAAGAGGAATAAAGCCAAAACTGAGGACATCATAGGCATGCCATTGAAATAGTTTGAGTAATTTGAGGTTTAACTAGGTAGAAGGCATCTACATCTAGGTACAGTTTTACGTACTTGGCACATAGTATGTTTTTGTTAAGCCTGGTTCAGATTATTATTTTAGTAATAGTCCGAATCTAGAAGTGGACTGTTTAAGGGTCATCAGAGTTATATTCAGGAAGTCATTAGATAAGCTCTGAAATTGAAAATGTGGACTAATAAAAAACATGTTTGTTACATCTTCGACCAGAATTTTAAGACGTTGCTTTTGGCCTCAGGGTTTTACTCTGAACGATTCATTAAGGAACAAATTGTTAGAATAATCAATGACAAAGAAGTATTGCTATTTACAGGCCCAATCATTGTCATGAAGTGCAATTAATTGCTGTTCCCTTATTGGCTAAAAGGTCAGGAATACTTTGGAATGGGGCATTTTGTCCGCAGAACAGCCTTTCAGGCAGCACGATACCACGTATGCTGCAGCATGTTCACTCATCCCAATGTTACGGTTTAAATAACGGGCATAACTTGTCAAAATAAAGTTTTCGAGGGAAGTTTGTGTTCCCTATCTCAATCTTACCCACGGAAAAAAAGGATTCTGAATGCAGCCCGAGCGACGGCCAACACAGCCTGCGAGACACGGCTGAGGGAACATGCCCCTCACAGCGGACACAACAAAACCCGGAAGAGAGAAGCGGAACACAACGAAATGTCGCAGAAAACAAGCGAAGTTTGTGAAGTGCAAGAAGACCGTTACTTGAAATAAGCGCATCGCTAACCCTCCCCACGCGGACGAGGGACACGTTTTAGAAATGTGACGCCTACGAGGGATCAATTGCGTCTTTGAAGTGTCGAGTCGCGGTAAAGCGCCGTCGGTTGACGTTAGCTTAACAAGCGGTTAACGTTAGCTAACTAGCGGCTAGCTCAGTCGGACGACAGGACGCCGCTGTGCTTCACGACCTGGTGACGACGGGGGCGTATTTAACGAGCGGTCGGTGATGCGTTTTAAAGGCATTTCCAGCTCGCGGCGGATCAACGAGGGGCTGTTTGCTGTCAGGTGAGTCGCTCCAGCCCGCTGCTAACGCCTCGCTTCCACGGACAAAGACGCGTAACGTCAGTTTACCGGCGAGAGACGCGCGCGTCACGAGGAAAGGATCCGTGACTTCACACCTGGTTTCCTCTGTTATTCATTCTCTTATTAATGCGGCAGTGGAGGAGGTTCTCAAATCATATGCAACGTTACTAAAGTGAAGTTAAAGTATACCAAACTTCAGTCTCAGAAGCTCAAGTAAAAGAAAAAAATAGTTGTAATGTTGACATCTACTTATCTTAACAAATGTAAAAGCACACATAATGCAGAATGGTTCATTTCCGAGTAATTCATGTGATATCACAGGATTATTGATTATATCCTTCTTAATATCATCTGTATGTGGAGTAAAACATTTTTTTTATATATATTGCACATACACGAAGTACAAGTACCTCAAAATTGTTCTTAAGTACTGCACTTGAGTATGCAGTTAATTACATGGCACCGCTGGTTAAATGTCATTTTAAACGTGCCCCCCCCCCCCCCCCCCTCTCTTTTGTTGTTGTTGTTGAGTGCAGAAGTCTGGATTCCTGCCCAGTCCTCCCTGCTCTCTTTGTGAGATGACCTGACCGCGGCTTCGCTGCTTCCAGCATCAGATGACAATGGCCAGAATAGCCTGGTATCAGGAGAAGGTAAGCCCGACTTTTAAATTTTTTTCATTTTAAATTACCAGAGTTTGCATTTCATTCGTCCAACAGACCGACTTTCTGACTGAAAGCGTTCTTCCCAGGAGCGATGCTCCAGGTTCCCTGTTTTCCCTCTGCTGGTTTCGTAAGACCGCGTACAAACCAAATAAAGACGGCAGGGAATAGGTGTGCACCAGTTCGACAGGTTTCCATAAGTCGAGACATGCAAGGGTGATGTTTACGGAGACGGGAAAAGGATTCCGAGCCCACAAAATACTGCGTCTCCAACTGCATTCTTCATGTCAATCAGATCTCACACCAGGCAGCATGTGTTGACATGTTTGAAAGGCAAAAGTGTTTTCAGCTAGCAGGCTTATAATATTATACGATTTAACCTTTATAAATGTTCATTACAAAAGTTTATACTTAGAAATAATTGCCTTGTATTTGTTTCTGTAATATGCTCTTAGTTTTCTGTCTTTAAATTACTGAAGAAAATCTCATTGGTTTATAATATTTTGTATATTACTTCACATTTTTAGAGCCAAATACCTCAATATATTTATATCTACAGTATCTTCAGTCTCTATAAAAACAGTGACCTTACAGTCAACAGTTAAAATCTGTTTGAAGTCCAATTGATTAAAATAATAAACCATTATCCCAAACTGAGTTTTTTTTTTTACATTTGAACTGCGCAAAATCCTTTTTAAATATGGACAAACTGAATTGTAATGCTTGAGTTTAAGAGTCAAAATTAGCACATAAGAAGAGCCAGTTTTTGTTTTTGCATCCCCCAAAGTGTACTCACACAGAAATCTAAATTAGAGCTACTAACCAGGAAAACGCAGCTGCTGAAATAGTAAAACCGTATATTCAGTGTGTCGTGCTGATGTTTATGCTGCCTATTGCATTTGTACATTAGGGAAAACCCTAGTGATGTTCTGTTGTTGCTTCAGATCGGCGCCTATGACCAGCAAGTCTGGGAGAAATCTCTGGAGCAGGCGGATTTAAATGTAAGACATCTCCAAAGAAAATGAATAATTGTTCGTGGATTGGTCTTGTGCATTACCGCCATATTGAAAATACCCCTTGCCATATTTCTAGGGTTTGGAGAGCCAACCCAGAAAGACTGGTCACATCAAACCAGACCTCATTGATGTCGACTTAGTAAGAGGTGAGCATCAATGAGGAGGTTCAATAACACTTACGTCATCTGCATACAGACATTACACACCGACAAACACATTTCCTCGGCTAGCACCATACTGACATGTCACTTCTGCCTGTGTTCTGCATGTTTCCCTGTTCACTTGCTTCCAGCTTGATAATGATAGAGGGACAACAAACCGACCAATCCCAGGCTTTGTATAGTCGTGCTGTCTTTGTGTCTGCAATGGATCCGAGCTGAGGGACTTCCTCCTTTCTCCTTGCAGGATCAACTTTCGGCAAAGCCAAGCCCGACAGACCCTGGACCGTTCTGACCCGGAAGGGTCTGGTCCGAGTGCTGCTGTTCCCGTTCTTCTTCCAGTGGTGGATCCAGGTGACCTCCAGGTCCATCTCCTCGTGGATCCTCGTACTGTATTTCATGCAAGGTTAGCTAAAAACTGTCTCTGTCCTGCTCATAATAAAGATCTATAAAAGATTACCAGTTTTAATGTGCAGATTGAGTAATGTCTTAATACTAGCTAACAAAGGGCCCCGTTTAACAGGGACGTCTTCTTTTATAATTTTGACAGTTTTCATTTGTTTATTGTTCCTTAATTCCCCAATATCATAATGCCTTGATTGCTTGGATTTCAGGAAATGAGAATATATATCTCCATTTGACCTATTTTACACTGTTTTGTGCAACAACAAATGGGTTACCCATCACACAATGCTATGATGCTTTAATGAGCCTGAATCTCTTTATAATGACTCCCCTAAGAGACCGTTTTGCTTGCTGTTGCCAAATGTTTTGTTGCCCCCCCCCCCCCCCCCCCAGTGGCAGCAGTGGGGCTGTTCGTGGAGGTCCCCGGGGCGAGTGCCAGCGAGGTGTTTGGGCCCATGTGTCTGATGCTGCTCCTGGGTACCGTGCACTGCCAGATTGTCTCCACCGAGTCCAGCCGGTGGCCCCCGGCAGCCAGCTGCACCACCAGCCCTGCTCGCAGGCGCAGGTTGTTGCCTCGTTGTCATTTTCCTTTACAAGCACACTCTCACCTCACCTGCATGGACACAAAGAAACACAAACACACACTTTGACATCAACCTGAAGCTATTTGATTCTGTGATACTGTAAGTCTCCTCTGGGTTCCAGCTCAGCTGCTGACACCTGCTGTGTTTACAATCTTTTGTCTTTGACTGTCCTGTATTCTGTGTCCTGTCAGGCCGAGGAAGGGCAGAGTGCCGAAAAGACCGGAGGACAAGAGCGACGGGGCGGACGCAGGGCAGCAGGGCCCGTGGCCGTTGGATGAAGGCCAGCTGTACAAGGAGCGGAGGGTACAGTCACTCAGTCAACTGGTCAAACTACAGTAACACATCATTGTCAGAATAAAATCAAAATAGAACTTCAACAGGTATGCGTGAAGTAACCTGGAAATGTAGTTAGAATGAAACCGTAGCGGTTGGTTTAAAGTACTTCATAGTGGTTTACTCTGGCATTTGTCAATTTCCTGCATGTTTGGTAATACTTTTTTTTTTTTTTTTTTTTTTTTTTTTTTTAAATGCACGCGTGACTCAATGTTCTCTCACAGACCACACGAAAATCCGGATTTGGCGCATCTGACGAGCTCTCCAGTGAGGAAGAGGAGGGGGTTGAAGTAAATCTTCCTCAGGCTCATCAAGAGCGGCACTCTGCCTCAACGTCGTCGGTCAGGAAGAGAAGTCAGAAGTCCGTCTCCGAAACCCCGTTGAGATCTCCGGTAAACCTGCTCGATCCACTGCGTGTTAATAAGGCCGCAGTTTGTCGTTGACGTGAGAGCGGCTGTGTGTTCTTCATGCGGAACGGCCGTTTTAAAATTGACGACAGCTCGGCGACTCCTTTTGTACCGCCTGCAGGAAGTCGCCTGCGGCAAGGTGCGTCCCCGAGACGTGGAGCGCCTACGGCCGAGCGGCGGCTCGCGCGCGGCCTCCGACACGGACGACGCACTGTGGGAGGAGCTTCTCCAAGGGCCTGACTCCGCCTCCTCGGGGAGCAGTGACACCGAGTCGAGCGGGAGGTTCAACGCCGGCGTGCCGCTCCCACAAACCACCACACTGAGCAGCGACGACGACGACGAGAGCCTCCAGCAGGGAATCACCGGGGTAAGATCGGCTTAAAGGCTCCGCTCTATTTCCTTGTGTCTTCAACGTTTCTATTCAAGGATGTCAAAACACTCCTAATGATAAATGTGGCAACGTGCTTAAGCGCCAGCTCCATTAGGCAGGCGCAGTCAGTAACAAACCTCCTGGGCGTAGATTGCGATACGCGCCGCATATTTCACACAGTGGAAACCGTCAGCAGACTGAATTTTATTTATTTATTGTTTTTTTTATTCCAGAGCCAGCTGTCTTGGCTGCAGGCGTGTCACCCGTCCAACGACCGGGTCAGCGCCATAATATGGGAGCAGGGCGAGTGCAAGAAAGCAGACATGTCGGTGTTGGAGATGAGTGGGATCATCCTCACGCGGGTACGCATCGCGCTGTGTGTATTATAATATAAGCAACGCCTTTTTCAGTGATGATTGATGGTGACTGATAACAATTTAAATGAACGTTTTGTATGATTGCCAATAGGACAACATGTGATATTCTCCTTCTGTTGAACGTTTAGCTAAATCGCTCCTAAACTTTAGAAAAATAAACCCTCACAGTGGCTGCCAAGAAAAAAAGGGATTTGCTTTCATCAGCATGACAACACGTCTCTGTCGCTCCCGTTTCTTGGCAGGTGAAGCTGGTGGAGCAGGGGATGGGTTACCTTGTGCTTGGTGGGCTGATGACGGCCACCCTGGCACTGCTGCCTTTCTTCTTCCACCTGGCGCAGCGTCTGAACACGGCGACCCTGAGCTCCCTGTCCCTGGGACAGCTGGGAGAACTGGTGTGGGGCCGTCGCGATGCCCTCGTCTACGTCTTCTTCCTCATCACTATAGTGCTGAGATTCTGCCTCATAGGACTGTTCTTCTTCATGATGTGCGTGGCCGAGAGAACGTACAAGCAGGTGATGCGCTTTAAAGTCATTGAACCCGATTGCTCGATCGCCCCTTCACGGATCAGCTCGTTCAGGCCGCCGCGGTGTCATCGTGCCGGGTTTGCTAGCTCTGCGTAGCTCCGCCTCTCACTAGTGCATATCCAATCGAAAGACGTACACATACTGACGTCACTGAAGAGAATAGACTAGCAAATTATATAAAATGCATGTATATTCTGATGTTTATGCCTGCAGAGAAGTCCCTGCTGAGGGATCAGTTTGATTGTATTATTACAGCTGATTTTAGTTTTTTTAATTTACTTCAATGAATTCTGATGCAACTCACCCACGTTACTCAATCCGTTCCTTCACTCACGGGAGCCGGTCTCCCCTCTAGTGGCAGTGAGGAAACATTGAGACAGAACCACCCCGCTTGCAGCACTGCTAAACTCAGTGGACTGACTTTGCACGCCGATGTGTTTTACTTCCTCAACAGAGACTCTTGTTTGCAAAGTACTTCAACCACATCACTTCGGCACGCAAGGCCAAGAAATCCGAGGTCCCTCATTTCCGGCTGAAGAAGGTCCAGAACATAAAGATGTGGTTGTCGCTGCGCTCCTTTCTCAGGGTTCGTGTCTATCGTTACTGTGCACTGTTTCGCCAGCAGGGGGTTGCATTGGACTCGCTTGTAACACTGGCTCGTTCATTGCAGAGGCGAGGGCCGCAGCGCTCCGTCGACGTCATCGTCTCCACCATCTTCCTTTTGGCGCTGTCCATTTCATTCATCATCTGTGCCCAGGTCAGTCGCATATCCGCCGGTAGAGATGGGATCTGTTGAGGGCGCAGAAATGAAACAGCGGGGAGGCTACCGTCGCTTTTTGTCGCTCCTCCTCAGCTGCTGCACAGCCACCAAACATTCCTGGAATCTCTGACCAACTGGGAGCTGATGGTGTGGGCCTCCTCCCTCGTGCTCTTCCTCCTGCGGCTGGCCACGCTGGGCTCGGAGACCGACTGCAAATACAGCAACTCCTCAGTGCTGCTCACCGAGCAGGTGAGAGACGCAAAGGGGGGCGCAGGCCGCTTGAAAGGGCGCTGAGCAACAAGGATATGATTTAACGCAGGTTTAAAGACCTCGCCAATCGCTTCGTTGTACAATCCACAGTTAAACACTGTTAGAAAGTTAAAACTTTTCTTGGTTTTTAGATCAATTTGTATCTCAAGATGGAGAAAAAGCCAAATAAGAAAGAACAACTCAATATAGTGAACAACGTTTTGAAACTGGCCACAAAACTCATGAAGGTAAGCAAAAATGAAGCCTCTTTTATTGAATAACAAGAAATTGTCTCATTTGGAATTATTGCAATTATTTTACTTTGTGGTGAGGTATTACTGACCCTGATCTAAGTGTAAAATATTGTCCACATTTTTATTTGGTTGAACATTATTCTCCCCAGATCACGAACAATCTCACTGCGACTGCATCGTACAGCCCCACACGGCATTTAACGAGCACTTTATAGTCGACTTTCATTTAAAAACTATAAGAACAGTAGAGTCTGAAAACTTTGCTTTTAATGTCTTATATTCATTTTCATTAAAAAAAAAACTTAACACAAATATTAAACTCTGCACAAAACCACGAACTTCATCTCTATCTGATGTTCAACTACTTAATCAACCTCTTCTATACGTCACTTACGATTGACCCAAAACATCTCTAAGAACCAAATACTGAGAGCTGTAGAACTAATTCAGATTTCAGTGTGATCACATTTGTTTTATTTTATTTGTATTGGTGTTGCACGCGACACGTATTCCCTCTCACCTCCTGCAGGAGCTGGATACTCCGTTCAGACTGCTGGGTCTGACTGTGAACCCTCTCATCTACAACATCACGCGGGTGGTGATCCTCTCCGCTGTGTCCGCCGTGGTCAGCGACCTGCTCGGCTTCAACATCAGAGTGAGGCGCCGCCTGTTAAACATTAGTTCCGCACGCAACAAATTAGGATTAAAGGGGCACTCGACCCCGTTTTCAGTTTGGTTTACTCTTCACATAAAGCGGTGGTGTCTTTTATCTTCTTTGGCTCTTGAACGAACTTTCGGATGTTTTTTTTTTTTTTTTGAGAACATCTGGGCAAGTTTGCAGATAAAAAATGTAAAACATGCACGATAATATTTAAAAATTGCTCACGTGTCCAGTGACTCATTTCTTTGAGTTAGAGAGGTTGTTGGCCTAGCTTAGCATGAAGCATGACTTGAAACCAGAGAGAAGTACATTGTTTTACTGACTCTTCCAGTGTCACAAATGAACCAGATATGCTTGTTTTACAATTCTGTTTGTGCACATATTAAACAAGAGGTTCATAACTAGTGTAATTATTCACTTTAACAATAAAACTAGCTAAAAGCATTCAGGCTCCAGCCTTTAGCGCAGACGTGACACTAGTATTGTTTGAAACTTGCAGCAAGAAAGTCAATAGGTGCAAAAAAACTGTTTTTCTACTCAGATCTGTAAGACGGTATTCTGATTTTCTCTAATGTGTTTTGTCTCCTCTGCTTTTATGTCTCCAGCTGTGGAAGATCAAGCCTTAATGTGAAAGCGGTCAGACTGTGGAGACCAGAAGCTCCCCACGTCTGCTCCACACAGCATCTCATATCTACAAGCAGAAAAGACAAAAACCGTGCAAACCTACTGTGTGTGTGTGTGTGTGTGTGTGTGTGAGATCATCGTGCTTCATCCCCGTTCCTTCCAGCCGAACCTTCTGTCTCATCAGTCATTCCCGAGCCGGAGACGCTGTGACTATTGCTCAGCCGCCGTGCACCCGCCACGCCGCCAACCCCCGTTGAGACGGTTCCTCTGTACGTGGTTAAATGTGCCGCTGAGTTTGAGATCTGCTGCCACGGAAGCCTGAAACTTGCCAAATGTGCGCAGATGTGTGGACCCAACATGACGTGCAGAAGTAGGTCTTAATCACTGGTGTTACTCGTCAGTGTAACTGTAAATTTAAAATGGGACGGCGGCTTAATTAACAGAATTTTCATAGGACTCAACGTTGCATTCAACCTTTTGTACTATTTAAAAGAAGAAACGTGGCTTTTATTTATTTGGGGTTCTGTTTTAGCACTTGTGACGGTACCTGTGTAAATCCTAACGGTCTGACCACTATCTGTTGAATTAAATGACTATGCAATGTCTGTAAATGTAAGGAAATGTTCGATAGCTGTAAATAAATGATTTTCAATCCACCGATCAGTTTCTGTCATTTTGTCACGCGCGTGTTCTTTCTTTTTTTTATTTAAAGCGTCATGCGTCGACTTACGGTCTATTCTCAACGTTACGGTAGAACTAAATAAATCCCAACGTGACGTGGAGACACACACGCGCACACACACACACCTCCCGCTTTTGAAGGACACCAGCCGGTCGAGGAGGCACCTCCGCACCAAGGACAAGCCGACCGGACGCGCTCCTGCGGCCGCAGTGGCGGACGCGAACTCCCGGTGCGGCAGATCCAGAGGACCCCCTCCCTCCCCCTCCTCCTCCCCCCCGAGGGGAAGGCGTGCGCGACGGCGTCCGCAGAGGCTCTCCTCCCGGCACGACTCGTCTGACATACACGTCGACCAGGTAGATGGGGAAAGAACGAGAAGCAGCCGCCACGTAGAGGAGGCGTCGCGAGGCGGGTCACGTTGCCACGCGCGGCTCGTGTCGTTACGTCACGTTTACGCGGTGAACTCGGTCCCCGCAAACGGCCGCCTGCTCGCGTTGGGGTTTTGTAAACACGGGCGCATTTCTTCCCCTTTAAGAGATGAGGTGGCAGCGTTTTCATCCTTGGCTCCCATCCGCCTGCTCCGCGAAGCTTTAACCGTTCCATGTTTAATCCACAGCTCTTCGGGTAAGATTCTGATCCGTCACGGATGCATGGAGGTCCCTCACATTTATCCCACCCAAGAAAAGAGCTTATTGTATATCATTTTTATTTTTTTCCCCTCAAACAGGACTCTCAGCATGTCGAGCACGGACAACGGCTTTGCAAACTCCGCGGAAGCCAAGAAGGCAGAGATGAGAATGAACGAGAAGAAGTGCTGTGAGTAGAGTCTGAACACCTGAAACAGGTTGTTCTGCACGGATGCTTTCAGAGTCAACAGGTCGCCACACAAAGCCTTGAGTCGTCCACTCTGGGAAATTGACTTTCTTTAGACCCTAATCCCACTCCACTGATGACATTTGGGTCTAAAGAGACACTTATTCTAGTCCAGTGCACACATGGCCTAATTATTATTATGTCTTGTAAAGATCCTGCATTTTCTTGCATTATTTTCCTTCGTTTGGTTTCATTTCCCGAGACGTTACAGTTCCATCAGTGCACGTTGGGTTCTCGGCCTGTTGTGCAGCATTTCACCATTGAAGCTTGAGCCTGTGCGTCTGTCTCCTGCACAGCGTGGGCCTCCTACATGACAAATTCTCCCACGGTGATCGTAATGATCGGCCTGCCCGCGAGAGGCAAGACCTACATGTCAAAGAAACTCACCCGGTACCTCAACTGGATCGGAGTACCCACCAAGGGTAGGTGGCATTGCTGTCAAATACTAAATGTCTTGAAACCTTCTCCGCATCAGTTACATATCATGCACATTTGGATGCCTGCAGCCTGCTCTACGTGAAGAGGAGGCTAAATTGCAGCAGCATCCCGCGTTGATGTAATTGGTTCATTTTTCAGTGTTTAACTTGGGCGTGTACCGCAGAGAGGCCGTCAGAGCTTACAAGTCCTATGATTTCTTCCGGCACGACAATGAGGAAGCCATGAAAATAAGGAAGTAAGTACCACTTTATCTAAATGTGCCAATTGTTTGCTTTTGTCCAGTCGTAACACAGGAAATCCATTTATTATTAATCCACCAGCAACGGATGCTGCAGCATCCCGCCGGTCCAATCCGCGTCTTTTAGTCAAAGAGTTCACCGACTTTTTTTTGTGTAAAAAGCATCACAGCTGTTTTGTTTTATTTCTCTTTAATATAAGCCCCCCCCTAATAACACGGGGCTGTTTTAGTATTCTGCAGCCTCCACTGCTGCATCAGTGACTAAGCTGCTGCCAGGCCTACAGTGGATGTATAGAAGGAGTCGGCATAATGTTCATACTCCCTTTAACTGGCACTGATCTGCAGTCGCTGTGCCCGTGAAAGATAAAGCTTTCCACTGCGTCTCCCTTTCCTGGTGGTCTCATCCAGCAGAGGTAATCAAAATCAAAAGAGTTTGTCGCGCATTGCTTTCATAAATAGGCACCAGGCGCTCGACGGTGTCCCGGCGCTGAATCCTGACCTAGATCTCCAGCAAGCTGCCGCTGTCGCTCTGAAGCTGACGCAAATCCGCCAGGATCCAGAGTGTGTTCCGGGAGTCCAACACGGGTCAGACAGAAGCTGCACAGACGGCGTCGGTGTTAGTCGACTGAAGGGAATAGGTTGATGTTTTCTTAAGAATTCACCTTTTTGCTCACAGCTCACCGAGATGCTGTGGCCACAAGGGAAAGATTTAATCAGCGAAACAGCCCCAGATCGTGCCGAATAAGTAGAAGGGACCTTTTGGGAAATGAGCTTCTCGCCTTTCTTGCCTGAGACTTACCTGAGAGCAAAGTGTCAAAAGTCACAGGATTATCCTTTTATTTAAAGATAGAAAAATATATTTTGCTGCTGAGCATTCCATTTTTTTTGTCCAGTCCTTTGAGCTGCACAAATTAAATTCTGTGTAACTCAATTTTGTTGGCGCCGGCAGCAGAGATTTAAAGGGGAATATTCCTCAGAACCACGGCACACAAAAACTAAACAAATGGTCTCCCTGATTAGTAACCACTATGGAATTATTTTGTTTGAGTAGACTGAATTTTTAATCAAGATTATATTAATATTTTTAACCTCTCTGTGAGAAATAACAGCGATACAAAACTCTTAAATGTCTTTAAGCGTTTTATTAAATCGATACAAGGAGTGAAATTGAGCTGAATGGATCGAGCTCGATAGGATTCGGAGGTCTAACAACAACATTTTTGCACAGAATATTTCCACAGTATTTTGTCTATTTTGTATTTTTGCCCCCCCCTTCGTATGTTGAGGCTTCGGCCAAGGCTGAGATGGCAGCTTTGTTATGGTCTCCATGTTCGGGGGTGAGGGGGTGCAGAACAGGATGGTACCGCAGCAGCCAAAACAAAATACCTTTGTGTTAACAGCATGTACTGTTTGGAGAGTCTGCATGGCCTCGTCTGCCCGTGTTCAGACTAAAGCAATGCGACTTGTATCTAATGAGTACGATATCATACATTTAACCCCATAATTTTTTTTTAGATTGGGAGTTTACTTGAACAAAGGAAGATGTAACACTACAAAGTCTCCTGATGTTTTAGGATTGATATAAGCGGATGAGAGCGTACTGATGGTCATGCCCCCCCCCCCCCCCACAGGCAGTGTGCTCTGGTTGCTCTGCAGGATGTGAAGGCGTACCTGTTGGCGGAGGGAGGTCAGATCGCGGTGAGTCTCTTGTCTCAATGTGGATGACTCATTTTCCAAAAGCTCTAAAACAACGTAAAGAAAATAGTGTTAAAACCTTTCACATCGTACATGAGATATACCTTCTTTTTTTTTTTTTTTTTAGGTGTTCGACGCAACAAACACCACAAGAGAACGCCGCGACCTCATTCTAGCGTTTGTGAAGGAGAACGCATTCAAGGTGAGAGTGGCCTTAAATGGGTTCGTATTTTGTATTGTATCATCTTTTCCTCATTGCGCATACAGCAGCGTTGATGACGTGATCTGTGCCTTTTTACCACCGGATGTGGAAAAAAACGACGGTCCCGTGACACGGCGCGTTGCCCCCTCCTTCCAACAGGTGTTCTTCGTGGAGTCGGTGTGTGACGACCCGGAGGTCATCGCTGCCAATATTCTGGTACGATCGCGTGTCCCTGGTCGCCTGGGTCGAATCCCGTAACCTGTGAATATTCGCACCGTCCACGGTGTTAAGCGACGTTGTTTGAATGCGCTGCGTTCCTGTGACAGGAAGTGAAAGTGTCCAGTCCGGATTACCCCGAGAGGCACAGAGAGAGAGTTATGGGCGATTTCCTCAAACGAATCGAGTGCTACAAGGTCACTTATCAACCGTTGGATCCCGACAATTACGACAAGTGAGGACTGGTCGCTTCCTTTTGCTTCTTTAGAGTGTAAAAGATATTCCAAGAGGGTTCATATAGAACTTACTGGTGATTCTTTGGCAGGGACCTCTCTTTCATCAAGGTGATGAACGTGGGCCGGCGCTTTCTGGTGAACCGCGTGCAGGACTACATCCAGAGTAAGATTGTCTACTACCTCATGAACATCCACGTGGACTCCCACTCCATCTACCTGTGTCGGCACGGGGAGAGCGACCACAACGTGGACGGCCGCATCGGAGGAGACGCCGAACTTTCTCCTCGAGGGAAACAGGTTCTCTTTTCGCAGTCTTCATTTTACGAACACCCCCCCCCCCGAGTCCTTCACGCATCCCGTCATCTCCGTGTTCTATTTTCTGATGAACGCACAGCTGATCGGAATGCTCCGTCTTTAATCTGTCGCATCCAGTTCGCCCGTGCCCTGCGAGACTTCATCGAGGAGCACGACCTGTCGGATTTGAAGGTGTGGACGAGCCAGCTGAGAAGAACCATCCAGACAGCGGAGGAGCTGGGCGTCCCTTATGAACAGTGGAAGATACTCAACGAAATCGACGCAGTCAGTACCTCATCATCGTCACCTATTGTACAATGTCCTTTGCTGGAGTAAAAGTACTAATACTCCATGGAAATACTCTGTATCAAGTAAAAGCCTTGAATTGAAAATCTTAAGCAATAGTCAGTAGAATAAAGAAATGTTATTAATTAAATGAAATGGCATAATGGTACTCCGTGTTAATAAATAGCCTCTTTCCAATTGCTCTGATGTCAATTGATGGATCTTTTAATAGCGGTTTAATTGACGAAAAAACATATTTGAGATGAAAACGTGGTTAATACACCAAGTACTCTATTTACATTCCAGTATATAGGATTGCATCACATGTGTAGTTAGTCTGTCTGCAGGTGAAATTCTTAGTATTCTTTTCAAATGTGCTGCTCACCTTTTTGACTTTGGCTGCAGGGTGTGTGCGAGGAGATGACTTATGAGATGATCCAGAACTCGTTCCCAGAGGAGTTCGCTTTGAGGGACCAGGACAAGTACCACTACCGTTACCCTGGCGGGGAGGTGACCCGGCAACCCTCCCTCAACACATGTCTTCCCTTTGTTTAAATGGTTCCTTCTGTTGGAAACCCTCTCTTCTCTCTCTCTCTCAGTCCTACCAAGACCTGGTCCAGCGGTTGGAGCCGGTCATCATGGAGTTGGAGCGGCAGGGCAACGTGTTGGTCGTCTGCCACCAGGCGGTGATGCGCTGCCTGCTGGCTTACTTCCTGGACAAGAGTGCAGGTCAGATTAACACAAGTGTGCACACACACACACACACACACACACACACAAATGACATCCCACCAGCAGATGGTGAAGACAATTTAGCATTTTTCTTCTTCATCCCATAGAAGACCTGCCATACATGAAATGCCCGCTCCACACAATCCTCAAACTAACGCCTGTTGCATATGGTAAGCCTTTACCTGTAGCTCTCAGTATTACACCATAACATACTATTCTTTCACATTATATGCATGTTTTCCCTCTTCTATCCTCCAGGTTGTAAAGTGGAGATGTTTCATCTTAACGTGGAGGCGGTGAACACGCATCGAGACCGGCCTCTTGTGAGTCGCTGTGAAAATCCAGCCGAAAATGTGTTTGTTTGTTGTTTACTTACAAAGAATTCATTCCAAACCCGACGTCTTGCCCAAAGTCTAAAAGGCTCGTTGTGTCTTCCTCCCCTGTGAGGCTTTGCTGCCTTGTGTTGCTTTTATCTTCAACCTCGATGAATCTGCCTGGCTTGAGCAGCAAACTAAATGTGTGTTAAGTCAGTTGTACATTTTGCTGCTGTTTCCTCCCCGATGGAAGCAAAGTGCCGATCGTGCTTCCTTGCTTGGCTGATCTCCTCCGTATTATTCCTCTGATATGAAGACTACGTGTGAGCCGCTAGACCCGTTTTAAAATCCCATATTAATCTTGATGGCAGCAGGCGTCCGTCTGTCTCCGTCACGCTGCCCTGATGTTTGGTGTCGTGTGGTGGCAACGGCCCCCGCCACTTAAAGCGCCTCCAGTGGCTTTAACCTGTTGCTGTGGATCCATGTTGATGGGACGGCTACTTTGCTTGGATTTGTCTGGTGACCCCCCCCCCCCACACACACACCACGGCTGTTTTGTATGTTCCCTCATCTGTTTCCCCTTAACGCTTGCGGTATTTCATCCCCTACCAGGACAAAGTCCCGAGGGACTCCGCTCTCATACACCGGCGGAATAGTTACACGCCCTTGTCCAGTCACGACCAGGTCAAGCGCCCCCGGCTCTACAGCGCGGGCAACCAGCCCTGGCTGCCGCTCGCCCCCACCCCATCGGCTCTGATGCCAGAGGGACGGCAAAGCCAAGTCAGTGCCGCGGTTACAGGCTCCCCCCCCCGCCCCATCCTGTCTAGATCGGTCACCTCCCGCCACAGCGGTGACCCTGTGTCTGGCATTCCCTCGCATCAGTGTTGGTTCATCTCGACGATGTAGTGTCCGTGTTAAAAGATCACGTATATAGAATCCATCTTTCTCTCTCTCTGGGCATGTTTTGGGTCTTGAATTGGTCTTTTTTGGTGTTGCGCCTGCCTTTGTCTCTTGCATGACCTCTGTCCCCGGCTTGAATATGCAGAACAACGCGCGTACGTCAAAGACATCTCGTGCTGAAGTTTGCATTGTTGGCTAACCTTAATATTCCCGAGACGTACAGTGAAGATTCCACTTTTAAAAAACGGAATCCCATTTGAGAAACTATCGGATGCATTCGAGAAAATTGACACAATATAGAAATGTGAGACGTTTAGAAATGCATATTCATGTGTTGGGTGTTTGTTGGTGTTGCCTCATGGTGCTTCAGCTCCTCTACACATCTCTCTCTTTCCCCTCTCAACCCGTCCTACAGCCTCGGACCGGGAGCGGCTGCCTGTGAGTATTTTGGAGATTTAGTACATGCAGCCTGCCCTTCATTTTCCTTCCCATAATTCAACTCACGTCCTAGTAACCCACGTGTCTCTGTCATAGTGGTGCGTTTATTTTTTGGTTTTCAATCTTGCCGTCTCTCTAACCTACTAACCACCTTTGCAATTTTAACTGGAACAAAAGCCGCTGACGGCTTTGTTTAAAAAAACAAAAAACATTCAGATGCTGATACTGTGGTACTTTAATAAATGGCCGCAACAATGTAAAACTCGTATTTTTAAATGTGAAAATAATGTTGGAAATGAGTGTTGATTTCATTGTTATTGCACAAATAAGGTCACTGTGATGCTAGGAGCCGATCATACAGCAGGTGAGAATGTGATTTACGAGGAATCACGTCTGGATCATTTGTCAAATAAGAGTCTTCGATAATTGCAGCAACCACATTTCTCATAATGACACAAATCTTCAATAGGAACTCAAAAGACGCGTGCCGCCCCCCTCCCCTGGGAGTCGGTCGGCTACCTAGAATAGGATGAGAGCCGAGCATCATTCATTTGTGAACATCAGTGACATTTTCTTTCTCTTGAAGGAGTCCCTGTGCGAAGGAAGCGACTTTGACAGCTGCGAAGAAACGAGCGGCTGCGTCCGCTTCTGAGTGAAGACCGAAGCCTCTTTCTTCAAGGCACAACGCGGTCGACAGTCCTGGGTTCGGTACTCTTCTTCTTTTTTTTTTTTTTTTTTAAATGATCAGACTATATTATTATGATACTTTTTGGTTCCATCTATCTCAACCTCTCTGTTTAACTTACCGCTCTGCATGCCGAGGCTTTGAACAGGAAGCCGTGTCATTAGTACCATCAACGCTTCTGCATGTCGACAAAATCAATCAAACAGGCAACATATCGTCATTATTAATATTACAATGCCTTACTGACTTTAAAGTATATTGATATAATTAGCTCTCGTGCATGAATGTAACGAAGAATTGTGCATCATTATAATGGAAGACAATTTTCACTATTGCAACTGGAATATGTTATAAAGTAGAAGCAGTAAACATATTTTTATAATAAAAATACCCTCATCTACCTGCATAAAGCTGTAGATCTTATGTAGTCTGAGCCATCATATCTTATGTATTATGTCATGATGAGGTTTAGATTTGAGAGAATGTATTTTTCGGGTTCTGTAGTAAATTCAAACACCGAAATGTCTTGTTACAAGCATTTCTGGACATATTGTGTATTCGCAGCAGATAAAACAAAACTGCCATTTCATAATGTTGACAAACTATTATCTGTCCCAATATTCACCAAATCCTTAGTGCTTATCATTTAATCGGTTAATGCGTTGTTTGTCTTGCCTAATATATACGATAAAGGGATGTTGTACAACAAAAGCATATCATGTGCTGCGGTCGAGTTAACACGTTCAGTCAGCAACGTTGACTGACGGAACAAAGAGAATAAAACAAAGCTGCGTCGCTTTGACCCGGTTCACGCTGCTGCTGCACGTCGGCGCTTTCATTGTTCTGTCGGGTCCATTTAGAAAGAAGCATTCAAGCACAGACGTGGTTGTTGCTTTGTTGCACAAGTTAGGCAAACAAACACAGCTAGCAAGCTAATGCAGCTAGCTCATAGCTACACGGTTGAACTTGAATAACCGCCAATAACACCGCGAAGTGTTCAGAGGAAGCTTCGATGTTTTCTGATTGGGGATCCATGTTTATAAAAGATCCACGATCGTTAAATCCCGCCATCGATTAACTCTTAGCAGGGTAACCGATGAGGGCAGCTCCACTTTTCAATGTGTACATGTTTGTGGGTCACTTCTTGGTTAATTGTACGGGTTCGGTCCCCGTGTGCCTCACGCACTTTCACCCCGTGTAACCTTTTACCACGATGATGGATCGCACTGATTTTACATTCGTATTGTCCTCACGACATTTTCATGCCCATCCCATGAACAAACAATAATAAGCCATTTCAAATAAAGCCACTCCCAGGTTGAGGTTATTATCTGAATCCGTTTCAAATGAACTCTGCCCTTTGTCATATTGTGTATTAGCAGCAGATAAAACCAAACTTGGTCTTCTGTCAAAAGCTGCCATTTCATAATGTTGGCAAACTATTATCTGTCACAGTATATATATATATATATCCTTAATGCTTATCATTTAATCAGTTAATGCATTGTTTGTCTTGCCTATAAATACGATAAAGGGATGTTGTACAACAAAAGCATATCACGTTGATGATCTGTTACCTATTTCTTGACATTTGTGTTAATGATACTGGCCAAATTCCATATCAGTTCATATTTACCCTTTAAATTAGATTTACATCAGTTGCATGTAGTTGCATCACATCTTGCGTAGCAAGAAATACTTTCATTTAACGTACTAATATTAGACAGTGGCACAAGTTTCATTATATGACTGTATAATAATTTTTTGCTGAACCCGCCTAATTGTGCCTTTTTATTAGCAAATAAAAGTGAATTCTAAAGTGATATGAAATGTTTTTCCAGAAGAAATGAAGGCGAAACTTGACGTGTGATATTTTCCAAATGGTTATTCTAATATTTGTGCCCTTAATTTAATTTTTTTCTGTTAAATACTAAATTGTCTCACCAAACGTACAGAAAAAACTTTGCTTAATACATTTTTGGTCTCGAAGATGGGAAGATATTTTATTCTGGCACAGATAACCCTCCCAAATTAATGTAATCAATTGTTTTATAGAACAGGAAACTATCGTGTTTAGTCTGACAGAATAAATGCGTTCTATTCTCTTGATGTGTTTCTGGTTGACTATTCTAGTAGCAATGCATCCACTACAACACTGGCAACAAGGAATTCAATTCAATCCTCCTTAATTCCTTTACGTGAACAACTTCTATATATATATATATATATATATATATATATATATATATATATATATATATATATATATATATATATATATAGATGATATCTTATTATATAAGTAGTAAATAACTACATAGTTTGTTTTTTAAGAAACTACAGTCCTTATCCAAACACATGAGGGGAGGCTCAGAGCAGGCTGCTGAGAACAACTGTTCCAAGGTTGGATGTTTAGTTGTCAACAAAGCACTCAACATTGCACTGGTTCCCCTTGACTAATAGTTGAATTGGATTTTGGATAATTGCAGAAAATAAACCCTGTGGCAAACACACACATTGAGATATTTATTTTTACTCATGCTCATGCAACCATGGTGTAGTTTGTTTATAGCCTAACCCTAACTTTTTACTTATTGGGATTGTATTTATGATCCAAATAGTATGAAAGTGTGCTCATTTGTAACTGGTATCTTTCTTGGGAAAAAAACAGTTTAAGTATTACAATCTTGTGTTGGCCAAAAGTCTTATTTTCTGCAATAGCAACTTGCAGGGTTGGTCTGCAAAAGTACCTCTTCACTGCACACGGAGCAGTTATTAGGGAACTTACGGTACGTGTTTTGTGCACCGAAGAGCGTGATGACGTCATAAGGACGTAAACTGACGTTTCACAAATCAGTCTTTCACTGGATGTTTATTGTTTGATGCTGGGCTGCAGTTAACAGCAGGTAAGAACATTATTTTACCTAACTCGTTGACATGTCAGTTAATATACCATTTTGTGTAGATAGATGACACAGAATTGACCAACGTATTTCTGGTTGCAAAACGCTTGTAAAAACGGTTAATAATAACAATAATAGGTTTTATATAGCGCTTTTCTAAATGTCTCAAAGACGCTTTAACATAGTCGAAGGGGGGGACGGTGTGAGGCAGACAGGCAGGAGACAAGACACGAGGGGCGACATATACGGGCCGATCGCATACAACTACATAGACTGAAGGGTAGGGGAAGGGAGGGGGGTTACAGTTTAGCATTAGCAGAGAACACATGCTACAGCTAACATGGTACCCTCATGTTTAACGTTATCTGTCCGGAAAGGTAACGTTATGTTCCTTTCATAACGTAAATATGTCCTGGATACATTTGTCAATAACTCTAGTGGCTATTCATTTCGGTAAAAACAATTGGCTACACTTAAAGATGTCTTGTTTGTCAGGGAGGTCTTAGCTTAGCTAAGCCAGCTAGCACACTGGCTACTGCTTGCTGTTGAGTTAACACGTTCAGTCAGCAACGTTGACTGACGGAACAAAGAGAATAAAACAAAGCTGTGTCGCTTTCACCCGGTTCACGCTGCTGCTGCACGTCGGCGCTTTCATTGTTCTGTCGGGTCCATTTAGAAAGACTCATTCAAGCACAGACGTGGTTGTTGCTCTGTTGCACAAGTTAGGCAAACAAACACAGCTAGCAAGCTAATGCAGCTAGCTCATAGCTACACGGTTAAACTTGAATAACCGCCAATAACACTGCGAAGTGTTTAGAGGAAGCTTCGATGTTTTCTGATTGGGGATCCATGTTTATAAAAGATCCACGATCGTTAAATCCCGCCATCGATAAAGAATTAGTAGGCTAACTGATGAGGGCAGCTCCACTTTTAAATGTTTGTAGGTCACTTCTTGGTTAACTGTACGGATTCGGTCCATGTAACCGTTTACCACGATGATGGATCGCTCTGATTTTACATTTGTATTGTCCATGATTTCATGCCCATCCCATAACTCAAACAAAAACCCATTTCAAACAAAGCCACTCCTCAGTTCAGGTTATTATTTGAATTGGATTCAAATGAACCCCGTCCTTTTGTTTACCAACGATTTTTCTGTGATGCAACGGAAATAAAGTATTGAGAAAATCCTTTGAATCAGCGAGATGAAATCAGGTTTTATTAATGATTCTATTTTATTTTTTAGATTCCAACCCTGTTCCAACCTGTTACCCCTTTACTGAGAAGCTGGTTGTAGCTAATCTGACATATTCACATATATTATAGGTATTTTAACAGTAATGTGCTGTCACATATGTTAATACAGAAATATTAACTTTTTGCTTTTATTGACAGATGTAGATCTGTTTTTACTTTTTAAAGCTGATGAAAGACAACAAAGGGAGGATATTTGTGTCATTTAAATTCAGAAAGTTGTGTTAGGTGATTCAAATAACCAGTATTAATCAGTGAGGAGAGATAATATATACTTTTCTAATTGACTTACATTAGCCAGGGACAGAAATCACAGCCAGAATCCACCAAATTGTACCATTTAAATAAAAACAATTCTGGTGTGGATCGTCCGTCACTTCTGTAGGAAACTTTGTGCCTTTGGCTCTTCGCTAAACAGCCTGAACACCAGTAAACAACAAAGCTCAGTCTAAAGACAAATATCCCACCAGGACATACTAGTTCAGTCTGTATGACTTTCTACTATACTGGGATAGTTTCCATGACTCTCAAACCGTGACTTTTTAAAACGACTTAAAAAAAAAATCAAAATTACAGCTGCAAAAGAAAAGTTATGCCCGGATATAAATATGTTGCCATTCAGCAACGTACTTAATTACAAAGTTGATTTAACATTCTTTATTATGTAGGTAGGATGTTGCGGCTTCGCTGTAAGACCAAAAATGGCAGCCACATAATGCAGGGCTTGACTCATCAGTCCTGCGTGCAAGAGCTGAAGAGCAAGGTGGAGGAGCTCACCGGCATCCCCTGTGACGTGCAGAAGATCATGGTTGGTTACCCCCCCTCCAGCCTCGACCTTCAAAATGGAGACGCTCACCTCAAGGACTACCCCATCAAATCAGGCAGGTTATCAAAAATTATTTACATAATTAACGTTTTTTTTAAGCCATACGAGTTACCACTAAGTCAGTTTTAGTAGAAATAACCATGACAATTACAGATTCTGTAAAAAGTTGTATTGTTTTTTTTAATGTCATAATTAAATGCCGCAAGGAACCCGGATGAAAGCCGGCGTCTGTGTTTTGAAGCAGGAATCTGGGAACGTGGCAAACGTCGTTCAGCCAACTGATAAGAACTAGAATCTTCTCTGCCGGCCTGAATGTGTCTCGTTTTGTCCACCTACAGGGGACACGCTCATAGTCGAGGAAGAAAAAAACAAGCCAAAGCCGCCTCAGGACCCCCCTGCCGTGACAAAACCCCCCCTCTTGGACGCCTCGCCCACGCTGGCGCGCCGTGTGGTCCCGGTCGACAACTCCTGCCTCTTCACCAGCGTGTACTACGTGGGTGGAAGGCGGCGTGTACGACCCCGCCTGCGCCCCTGAGATGCGGGGGCTCATCGCCCAGATCGTGTCCAGTGACCCGGCGGCGTACTCCGAGGCCGTGCTGGGGAAGACCAACGAGGACTACTGCGCCTGGATACGGCGGGACGACACCTGGGGCGGAGCCATCGAGGTGTCCATCATGTCCAAGTTCTACCAGTGCGAGATCTGCGTGGTGGACACTCAGACGGTGCGGGTGGACCGGTTCGGCGAGGACGCCGGCTACCACAAGCGCGTGCTGCTCATCTACGACGGCATCCACTACGACCCGCTGCAGCGGGAGACGCCCGGCTCGGACGCGCCGCCGCTGACCATCTTCGCCACGGCGGACGACGTGATCCTGGCGCAGGCCCTCGAGCTGGCGGACGAGGCCCGCCGCAAGCGGCAGTTCACGGACGTCAACCGCTTCGCGCTGCGCTGCATGGTGTGCCAGACGGGCCTGGTGGGACAGAAGGAAGCCCGCGAGCACGCCAAGGAGACGGGCCACACCAACTTTGGCGAAGTGTGAGCGCGGCGGGGTTTTTTTTGTTCTTGTTGTCGTTGTCTTTTCTGCCTCTCACAAATACAACCCCGTTCCCCCAGCGTGCGTCCTTCTGCTCGTGTGATCCTCTACCTCACGTTGTCCAGCGGCACGGCGTCAGAAGCACTACTGCAGCTCGGCTGGGTCCCAAACCCCCTTTTCGAGTGCAAACCGCTCTCCAGTCCCTCTGAGGTGATCCCTCGGTTGCGTTGGCGACAAAGCAAACGACGAGTCGCGCGTCGGCAAATCGAGAATACGCCAAACTGCCAGTACTCACTTGTGACTCACTAGACTCCTCAAACCTCGGCTCTAGGGTTTCTCAAACAACCATTAAGAATAATTTGCACTTCTTTGATCCCGCTCACTGTTGTCTTAACACAAACAATGACTGTTACCATCGCTTTGGTTACGTAGCGTGTTTTTTAATTTCCCCTTTCTGGCCGGTTTGTCAGAAGCTCTTGAAAGAGATGATCGGATTCATTTTGCAGGTCTGAATAGTTGACAGTTGATCATGTTCATGCTAAACTAGACCGGTCTTTATTCAGATGTGAGCTACTGAGCCGTGGCCATTGATTTTGAGGTTATGCATTTTAAAATGTATCACTTAGCAATCTGCAATCCAAAGTTTGCCTCATAACTTTGTTCCCCTTTTTGGTGTGATATTGTTTAGAAATGACAGTATTGTAGAAGAGGTACAGAAATAATGGTGCTGAGACAACATTTTACAGTCTCTGTAGCTCTGTTATTCTTCATGGGTACGACAGTATTTCAGAAGTATAATTTAATTATAGTGTGTAATCTCCAAATCAACAGATTTGTTCCATACTGCCGCATATTTTGAATAGTTCAGCTGTTTGTAGAGACGCCGTGTGTTTTGCACAACTGGAGAAAGCTCTCATTCCCTTTTGTTAGAATGAAGGAGGTGGACTTTTACCTTGTGGCCTCATGTGAAGAGCCAGTATTTCTACTCCGGACGCCTGCGATGGCAAAAACTAGTGTTTGCCAAAACAGTTGATTTTGGGTGTTGAGATGTTTCTTTGGAGAAGCTGTTTGAAAATTAACAAAAAGAATTACTGTGATTTATTGTCCTGTTAGCTTCAGTTAGTTTCCTTTCCACAGTGATATGGGGTTTGTCTGCTTCAGTGACACTATGACATTTCTTTGCAGTTTTTTTTGTATTCACCAAGTTCTCAAGACTCTTCAAGGACAATAACAATGAATGTTACACACAAAGCACTGCAGATTAACTGGATTTACTTGATTTTTCAGTGTTGTCACAATTAAAGGTCAGAGCCGACGGTTTTGGGTGTGAGTTGTTTTGTATCCACTGATAACCTTTTTTTTTTTTACGCCATTTTCTTGTTTTTTGTTGGTGGTGATTGTAAAGTTCTTTTGCAATACTTTGCGTAATACCGGGAGTCTCCACATCTACGGCGCCTCAGAATAAAGCCGCGTTGGCTTTGGTATTCTGAGCTGCTTTTACCTTCACTTAATACCACGGTGAGATCTGATCAGAGAAGCAAAACCTGTTATTTATCGTAAGAAGGCATTGGTTGATATGATACAGCGCTGCTCTTTTTTTTTTTTTTTTTTTTTCTAATATTTTTACGAGAGGCAAACGTTCTTTCTCCACTGTCAGTCTTCCAGCTGTACTGGCTTTTGAGATTCAAATTGAAATACAATTTAAACAATACTATAAAATGAGCTGGCGTATTACATGTTTCTGACATTCAGTACTCCGACTTGCTATGCTATTTTCATTTATTTTATTTTTCTGTGACATGAAATGACCTTTATACATTTTTATACGTACCATAACCTCGTTTTGTCTTTTATTTTTATGACTTTTCTGTAACCATACTAGTTTTTCAACCACCTATTCTGACTTTTTTTATGACCTTTCAACGGTTTGTATTCCCCTCTAGTGTCATATAAAGTAATATCCTTTAGACAACCTGCGGTGGAACATTTTTAGCTATAATTTCCGCATGAAATAATTGGTTTATTAGTTCTTTGAGGCCACGTGAAACCGTTGATGAAACTGCAACCCAAGCGCACTATTTCCTGGAGACGCTTCCTTTCTGTTGATAACGAGCCTCGACACCACGGTTGGCCGCTTGAAACGGAGATACCGATTAGTAGATTACCGCGGTTGTGGGTGCCATGACGACCAGGGCTCGTGTGTCTTAAGGAGAGCGCTGCTCTCCGATTGGCTAACCGCCCGAGGACACAAAGTCCCTCGTGCAGGTGACCCACAGCCGCTCAGTCACTCGCCTGCAGAAGATGGATAGCTGAAGACTAATGCTCGGGGATTCTAACAGGTATGTGCTCAATCAGGGTCATTTGATTGATTGCTGCCTGTTGAATCTATTTCAAACTTTGTCTAAACTTTCTCTTTAAGTCAACATGATAATATAAGAAGTGACTATCTCATTAATTCAATATATTAAGCTCATGATCATTTGTGGTGTCTTGCTCCCTTTTCGTATTTCCTTACTAGCTTCTGTTTCTTTAACATTGTATAATGTCATAATGAACTTCTTTACAGTGTTTAGTCACTTCTTATTTGCAGGCCCGTTTCAGACTGAAGGATGCAGTTAGCCGACTTAGTAGAAAAAAAGCGGGAATTATTTGAGTCCGTTGCAAAAGAAGCCGTTAAGGACAGGCTGATAAAAGCTACTCTTTATAGTCTCATTCAAAACAAAGCTGCGGTTCCTTTGATTGTGACGGCGGTTGCTGCCCTGTGTTCATGAACGTATACATGGAGATAACGTGTCTAGTCTGCCGTGTCCTTTCCCTGGAAATGGTCGGCGGGGTTAACGATTAACTGCATTCTTAATAGCGTGACTTTTTTTTCTTTTTTTTTTTACGACCATGGAACAAACCCAAATCCGGGAGCTCTAGTGTACTTAGGCGTAGATGGTGTAAAACATGCAATACGTGTTGTCTCTTTCACGTGATCTACCCAGATTGTTGGACGTTAAGACTAAAGAAAGAATAAATGCAATGTCAGATTCATATCCTGACTAATTGCCATGATCCGGGCAATAGGGACATATTGTGGGGATGGGATGACAAAGCAGGACCAGTGAACAGGAGGGCTTTTGTGTCGTCTTCGCCCTCAGGTACTGAAACTTATCCAAAAGTGAATTTCTTTTCCCTCGGATCAGACAGAGGTTCTTTTATACTGAACTCCAAGCTCTATGGTAGAAACATGAACTGTAGTCAGTTCTTGTGGTAAAATTGACATTAAAGAACCCTGTTTACAGTAGAAAAGTGTCTCATGTTGACCAAATTGTGGACAACGCTCCTTGTATCACTTTGTAGCTTCTCTTTAGGTCCCACCACGTTAAAACAATGATCACTGCAGTCATAAAACAGGGGCAACCTGGATGTCGTGTAGCTGTCGAGAGCTTGTTGCTGCCGCCTTCCTCTCCCTCTGAAACTGATCCGGCTGAGGAAGATTAGCAGTGGCATGTGTGCTGTAATCGGAGTCACATGCAGTTGGAGGACCAGTAAGATATCGGTCAGAAACGCACTGCGCTGTGACGCCGTGTCAACAGGGAGCTGGCGTGTGTTTGAAACGTGTGGAGGAGATTATATTCAGGCAGGGAGACATTTTAGCTTATTCATCTCATTGTCGTCAGAATATCCGACCTAGAAGAACCACATGGATGTTGGGAAAATACAGCTAATAATTCTTACATTGTTTTTGCATTAATGTCTCAATGTGCACCGTGCAGAGATATTATGTATAATGACGGCACAGATTAATTTGCCACAGCGGTGGACCCCACGTTGACATCATTGAAATACCCCGGTACTCAGACCCCCGTTGACAAAACCACATGGTCATCACGTCGCGCTCGTCTGGAGCTGTCCAGTCCCTGGTGGTGCTGATTGCTCATTTTTCCTTCCTCTACACGTCTGCTTGCCTCTTTGGACACAAATGTAAAGTCAGTTATACACGATTAGAGAAAGCCAAAGCATAAATCTGATGTGGTCAAAGCTATCATATATATATATATATAGGGATGAAATACAAAAGTACTGCAGTAGGAGGCAATAGGATAATAGTTTAAAGGAAATTCCAAATGTGGTATAAGGAATGCACACATTTCACAATGTATGAAGCGATCAAATGCCTGAGTGGGAGATCGATTAGTTCCCTCCGGGTTTTTAATTGTTCTAACTACCGAAACCTACTTTTTAGCGTGCATTTATTCCCCTTTCACAGACAAACTCATCTGTCTGGGCTACTGAAGTGAAATAGGGCACGAAGATGCCCAAAAGTGACACGTGGCCCGGTGGCGTTGGATTGGAGACGACGACGGGCATGGACAGCGCGGGCAGCTGTGACAGCGTTCTCAGCACCAACTCGGGCTTTGTAAGTGGCCGTACCCTCATCCCAACTCACTGGTTCGGCTGGTTACTCATTATTACAAACAATAGAAACACAAAACAGTGTCGGTGACTGAGCCGAAACCTTTCTGCCGTCGACGTGTCTCACAGAGTGATGACAGTCTTGACCACCTGTCTGCGGAGGAGAAGGCCTGTCTCATGTTTTTGGAGGAGACCATCGAGTCTTTGGACACTGAAGACGACAGCGGACTGTCCAACGACGAAACGGATCAGCTGCCCAGCCCCGGCAACCTCGCCAACAAAGTGGCTGACCTGTCGGCCTCCATGAGCAAGGGTGAGTTCTCTGTCCGCCGCTGCAGAACGCGCTGATCGGTTTAGTACTTTTTTCCACTCACTCACCGCTTTGTTTTTTCAGCTTCACAGAAACACGCATCTCAGGATTCCGTACAGCAATCTGCTGGTGCCAAACCCATGCAGAGCTACCTGGTTCCCACGCCTCTCGTTGTGGCGAGCGGCTCTCCCGGTTCCGCACTAAACGCGAAGGGACGAGTTCCTCCAGCCAAAAACGTCAGCTTCAACTTCCCCCCTCCGATCAACAGATCGGATCACGAACACAACCAGAAACCTGCCGCTTCACAAGTACCTCTCGAGGTGAACGTTGTGATATCTCCTCCTACCAAACCCAGGGACTACTCGGTTAGGAAAGCTGAAGGTTTACCTCGAGGTCCTCTGTCCTATGAGGCGCTCGTTCATCTGCGGCGCAGTGCCTCCACGAAGAAGACGCCTCTCTGTCCGACAATTGACCACACTATAGACTTTGACAAGCGCCCTCCTGTTACAGCGCAAGGCCCAAAACTTGTATTTCCTCCACGAACTGACAGATTCCAGTCAGAGGCTCACAAGCCCAAGACTGGTCCTCCGGTTGTTGGCCCCAAACCTAAAAAGGTCCATGCCAACTTACCTGGGAAACCACCAAACGAAGCATCCATTACCTCAACGTCTTCTTTTAATATCAAGAATGCATCAGATCCGCAGGTGGTCAGACTGGAAGCTTTACAGAAGCTTGGTCTCCTGGAAGAGCAGCAGCCCAAAAATCAGTCGGTCGCCCCACTTTTGGACCCAAAACCCAACAGATTCCCAAGAGGTCCGTCTCACATCAATTCATCCAGAAGCCCCTCGTTCTGTTGTCCTCAAGGGCCCCCAGGGCCCAAGAACAGGCCTCTGCAGAGCAGCGCCAGCTTCCACCAGGACTCCCGGCGCGAGGGTCCCACACAGCCGGCGCCCGCGTCGGATCCCACTCAACCCGGCAGAGGGAGGGCCGCCGGGCTGGAGCGCTCCGTCACCCTGGACAACCACAGAAACGGGGGAACCTGCCAGCCCCGCAAAGCCTCGAACTCCGTCGGGTACACGGTGATGGTGGTGCCCGGCATGGGAGCGGACCGCAAAGAAGCCCTCAGAAAGCTCGGACTGCTCAAGGACTGAACGGGGCGGGCAGCGGCAGCTTCGCAACCAGTTCACGTACCGCCGGCTTAAAAGTTACAGCATAAAAGTGGCACAATGACTGCAGACTAGCGGAGGAGGAAGAAGGGGAAGAATTTAAAGGGCAACAACAGCACTTTTGATAAATGTTTTAACACCACATTCACGTACTTGAGGACAGTTTTTTTTATCCTCCTGTTTAAATTAAAAAGAAGCACTTTGCACATTTCAAACCTCTACGTGTTTGATTAAAATCCTACGTTCATGTTATTCCATCTTGTGTTATGCTCGCTTTAACAAATTTCAGTTACGACTTGACTCAACGTGGGACCTGATGAGCGTAAGACTGCATACAATTTATTTTAAATACGTCTTTGCATCCACATTTATGGCTTTAATAAATTGTAATAATCCTATTAGACACTGAAGTGAGCCGGATTGTAACTTTCCATTGATCTTCCTCATACTGCTCTTAACATGCTGCTCCACTGTTCTTCTACTTGGAGAAACATGAACCCAAACCAAAAGATCTGATTGTGTAAAACTATAGTTCCCAGATGTGCCTTTAAGTGGAGTGCTGAGTGCATTCCTCTGATCAAAGCCTCAAACTATTGTAAAACTAATTTTAAAAGTGTTTTGGGTTTCATTTTAATTCTTTTTAATGTTTTCTAATATTTCATAACAATTGGCAGTACGTTATTATGGAGATCTGATACATCAATAACTCACTTTTTATACAAAATGTTTTAAATTATTTTGCAAAGGATTGAGATGTTCATCCAGAAAAATGTCATTATTTTTACCCACTCTGAATAAATAAAGAAGTCTGCATTACTTAAACTTGCATATTGTTCTTTTTTGAATCCTCAACTATAAACACAGTCCATCTATCTTGTCATTTTAAAATTTGCAGCTTTGTTTTTGTTGTACTTTGGATTTTAATGTGATCAACTGGAGCTCATCGCATTTTGCCTTTTCAACGAATGTCCCAGAATTGCTGCTGACCTGCAGAGTGACAGCAAGTCTCTGCTTCATCAACCGCTCCACTTACACGACGACCATAAGCCACGCGGCTCGTCTTACGCGCCACTCCGGCAGCGACGAAGCCCATTATCCGATTATCCACGTGACCTTAGCAGACCTGCGCTCTCCTGTCTCTCATTAAACCGTTGCATGTGAGACTTCTAATTCCAACCACTGACTTTCTTTGGAGGCTTGGCGCTCGTTATGCGACGGTGTTGAGTCGGTGCGAGGGACGATTACAGGTTTATGGCGTAATCTCTCATCCGGTCTAACGGGTCAGTATCTGTGTCAGCGCGCAGGCAAACAAAAGAACCTGACCCGGCTCTCTGCCGGTCAATGGCTGGAGAAATCGGGCCACCTGTAGAAATATGAAACGGAGAAACGTCAGCGGCGGAGAGGTTTGCGATCATCGGTGGAGATGCGTACGATGCAACTACGCCACCTGAGATAAAGACCTTTAAATAATTCATTTATTATCTACGCAATATTTTAAACACGCCAAAATCCACACCGCTGACCCCCAGAGGTCATACGGTGTGTAACGAGAGGTCACCCTCTGCTACCTGCAGGGCCGCAGCCGTGACAACAGCCCCCTTGGACAGCGTGTGACCGTGGAGTCGCGCCGACGGGGATCTCGTGTGTTAATACTGTTCACAGCACAGTCAGCGCGCCGTGTAGTAAAGGAGCCATGTGGATACATTCATTCATTTTATTTATTCTATTCAGCAGCAAGAACTTTAGAAGTTAGAAAAATAACTGTTGGTTTACAAATTTAGCAACGGCCAAACACATCAGAAGTTAAACGTGGCATCTGGACTTTGAGTCTCACAGGGAAGGAATAACAAGTGTGAAGGTGTGAAGGTACAACAAGTATCACACTGTAGGTAGTATTTTGTTCAAAATCAACATTGACATAGTGAATAAAAACCTGACACCCAGACTCACGGCGTGGCGGAAATGGGCCTCAACATTTTTGGTTTGCAGTGAATATGAAAATCAATAAATATATTCAGGAATTTGAAAAACTGTGTGAGAGTAGTTTTTAAAATCCAAAATAAAGTAGTAAAGTGACGGGAAAAGAACCTTTTCAAATCCCTTCGTTGTGGATGTGAGATTTGCTCTTTTTGCGCCTCACTTTGCCGTTGGACACCGGGACGTCCAGCGACTCCAGGCGGAAGGGACGCGGCAGGGCGGAGTCGGTGCAGATGGGCGGGGTCACGGCCCCCCTAACCAGGGGAGGAGGGTGGAGGACTGCGAGAGAAGAGCTCCATCAGAAGGGTCAACCCAAAATACGAGCCTGGGCAAACGCCTAAAGTGTTCAGAATGTGGCTTGTTTCTCACGCACCGCGTTGTACTTAAAGCCTGTGCTGTGATCTTTATATACACGTTGAGCCTGTGTCCAGTTTTACCGTGTCCCCTGGCCGCGTCCCGTCCCAGCAGATGGATCGCTCTCTTTGACCTGAAGTAGCTGCTGGCGATGTTCTCGCTGTCGCTGCGGTCCAGCATCTCCTTGTACCGGTCCCCCTCCTCCTCCTCCACCTCCTCCTCATCGGCCTGCTGAAGGACAGACATGAGTTTAGGGCTCCGTGACGGTGCTTCTGTGTGTGTGGTGCTTAATAAAAAACAAGTGGACCCACCGTGGACGGCTCTCCGCTGTCCCCCGCCGAAGCCCTTCCGGCTGAAAGCTTCAGAGTCACCGCTGTGTGTGAGATCATATTTAAGGGGGAGATCGAGTGACACGCATGGATTTGCACTCACGAGCCTCTGAACAGATGGTTTTTGTTCTCTGCTTTTTCCACTTTGCACCTGCAGGCAGGGTCGTTTTCTGCACCACCACGTCAGGCAACCTCCAGGTGGCGCCCTCCTCGTCCCAGGCGGCTTCTTTCTTCAAGCGGTCCAGGTTGCTGTAGTTGCAGTCGCGGCGCACCAGGGGCACCATCCGCTCCAGCAGGCCGTGCAGCAGGAGGCCGTCCCTCTCCAGCCGCCGGATGGAGGCCAGGTAGTCGTCCCTCTCCACCTCGAACTCGGCCTGCAGGTCACGGATCTCCAGTTTGGCTGCTTTCAGCTGTCACAACGGGTCGGTGTGGGTTTTTTCACGGTGGAATGGCAGAGCGTATCATTTCAACACAACACCAAGAGCTTAAGAGACTCTGCAAAGTTGATTTCACACGAGCCGCCAACATTTAGTGGGAACCTTGAACTATTTGGGGCGTTGACTAAACACATTGTTGCATGTGGGGTTTTGACCCTGAAGCAGGTTGTTGAACATCGGTACAAACCGGACTGCTTGTCCTCCAGCCGCGGGGACCCACCTTGCCCTGGACCTTGACCAGAGCTTGACTCTTTGCATGCACCTCTTCCTGGATGGAGTTGTAGACGTTCAGCAGCACGCTTTCACTGTCCTCACTGTCCTCGGACAGGGCGCGGATGAGGTGGACTTTTCTCTGGTCGGCGAGGTTCTTCCTCTGCTTCTGTCGTTGCTTTAACTCGTTGTTCCTGGCCTGCTCCCCTCCGACCACCTGCTGTTCCAGCTGCTGCAGTCTGCGGACAGATGGATGAGTGGAAACGACCGATACTGGACTCTTGAGGAAACTGTATTGCGTCGGTATTTAGGGAGTAGAACATTGAGGACATCCGAACAACTCTTGTTTTCATCACATATTGAAATACACAGTGGGATGTTTGCCCACATACCGTTCCAGGACGTGTTGCTGGTCCGGAGGGGTATTTTGGACACGGACTGCTGGTTCGGCGAGCTGGCTCACCGACGTGAGGAAATAACACCCCGTGAGTTTCACAATCCATGGTTCTATTTTCATGGCAGCTATCATTGCTTTTGGGTGATGTGGATCAGTGAGGGGAGGGGCCGGTGGACAGTACCTTGGTCGGAGGACTTTCTCCATGTGTACTGCGGCTCATGGGATCCGTGTTGGGGCACAACTCTGCCACAACATCCTCTGTCACACAGCTGGAGCTCGCTGATGCAGAGAACAACGACATCATATAAAACAACGAACGTTCAGGGCATCGACTCACCAGAGCTTGTTGAAAGGCCGGCGAGCACAGAAACTAATGTGGAAACTATAGTTACGTTGTGGAGATGCTGTTCTGTTCCCATTCTTTGGGACGGGGCCCCCCCTGCTGGCCGGAGACTTTTCCAAACGGGGCAGCTGGGATTGGCAGGAGGAACGCAGCGCGGCGATGTCCTCCTGCAGCTTCGCCTTGCACTCCTGCTCTGCGTTGTAGTCGGCCTGCAACTTGGCCAGCCTCACTTCGTACTCCTGCGGCGAGAGCAGAACAAAGTCCCGTAAATCACCGCGTTCTTACACAAAGCATCCGGAGACGGGAAGTGATATATTGGCGTGGGAACGGACCGCAGTGGCCTCTTTAATCTTCTCTGCTTCTGTGTTGGTGGATTGCGGCCTCGAAGGAACAGCGGGGGACGCCTCGGACAACGGACCAGCCAGCAGAGCTGCATGAGGACCACAAGTTGGGGGGGGGGGTTCAGCAAAAGAAATCAAGCATTTGGCAACTATCAAATGGAAATATGTTGTTCTCCTTTCACTTAAAGAAAAATCTGCCACTCACGCGCAAGGTCAGCGGTGCCCAGCTTGCCTGAGATGAGGGCCCGCAACTTCCTGATCTCCTCCTGATACTCCCGGAGCAGAGCATCCTTGGGGTCCTCGTTGATACGAGGCCGGTTCTGGATGCTCTTGGCCCGGTTGGCGTAGCGCAGCGTGCTCAGGCTTTCCTCGTAGTTGTTGTCCGCGGGCGAGAGACAGGCGATCATCAAGGTGCGCGTGTTTCCTCCCAGGGAGTCCTGCAGCAGCCGGGTCAGCTTGGAGTCCCGGTAGGGGACGTGCTTGGAGCGGCCGTCCACCAGCGCCGAGATGACGTTGCCCAGGGCCGAGAGCGAGAGGTTGATCTTGGTGGCCTCGCGGAGTCGCTCCCCCGTGGCGCCGGTCTTAGACTGACGCTCGCTTCCGGCCAGGTCGACGAGGTTGAGTTTACCTGCTCGTAGGCGGTCCTGGCCGCCTGCATCTGAGAGGGGGGAATAAAAGGTCGATACAAAAATATGTCTTTGGTGCCATAATACGGTTCTTGTTATGTGATTTTGTTCCATTGTTATTATTGTGGTTTGTGTGTTGAATAAGAATTTTGAAATGCCTTTAACTTAAATGGAAAAATGTATTTATGTGGAGACCGAGCTGGTAAATTATCCAGAAAGAGGCACATAAAGACGGATACAATGAGGCTGAAAGGCCAATTTATGCTTTTTCTGCACAAAAATGTGTGTGTTTACCGGTGTTGTAGATCTCCAAATGGATGGAGAAGATGGAGTGCGAGCGCGACGAGTCCTTGTTCATCAGCGTGTAGCCCACCGCCCGGTTCCGCCACCCTCGCTCTACGATTGTCTCGCACTCCCCCACGCTGTGCACCGTGTGCATGGAGAGGTCCCGCACGTACACGCCTCGCTCCGGATGCTCTCTCAGCTGAGCATTCATCCGCCACGAAAAAAAAACGAAAATACAATAAATAAAATCCCCTTGTGCAAACACCATAACCTTCTGGAAGCTGTGTAACTATGGCAACTTTCAGAGTATTGCGCAACACACAAGCAGCCTGTCAGCTGACTCTGTGCTGCTTGTTATTAAAACAGTTGGATTACGAGTCACTGTTCAGTAAGAGAGACTCGCCTCCAATCTGTGTTTGGTGTCACTACCCAACAGGTCTCGGATCTCTTCATTGTAGATCTCCAGGTACGAGGCCCTCACCAGGAATTTTGTGTTTTCTGCACACTGGCTTGCACAAAACGAGAAACATGCGCCGAATGACCTCCTCTGCACTTAAGAACGCAATTAAGTCCAATTATGTTCACTTACGGTGTTCACGACTTTACCTGAATACTCTCGAAGATGTGCTCAAAGGCCCTCGGGATGACCCCCCTCTGCGCGGCGGGATGGGACACCCCCTGCATGGTGAAAGACTTCCCACTCCCAGTTTGTCCGTAGGCGAAGATTGTCCCGTTGTATCCCTCAGTGACGCCCTGGAGAGACGGGAGGGCAGCAACAAATGGGTTGACCTCGGACTTGAGACACACGTTAGAACCGGAGGCGCCCGGTGGACCGGCGCGCCCTCGCTGGACCGCGAGACACTCCGAGAGGTCCACGGAGCTCACCTCGACCAAGGAGTAGGCGGCCTCGTTGTACATCTGCTCGGTGGTCTGGTCCAGGAAGTAGGTGCCGTCGAAGGTGAAGTGTTTGGGGGGCTCGTCCGCCGCCCCGGGCTTCTCTATGGAGCACTGGCACCGGCGCGGGTCCACGGACAGCACCACGTCCGAGGCGAGGGCCCGCTCCCGGGCGTTCAGGGGCCGGCACCGGACCACCACCGTCACCGACTCGGACCCCATGTCCACTTCCGCCGGGAGCGTTTAATTCGGCTTTTATCAACACCAGAACCGGGCCCGTTCGGTCAGTAAGCGGAGGACAGCGGCTCACCGACGAGGCGACATTCATTTGCAACGTTAGTTAACGGACTTGCTGCGGCGTTGTGACGTTGCTTAGCAACCGGTGAGCGACGGTTGCGTATAAAAAGAGAAACAGCATTTTCGGAAACTTCACGTCTCAGCTCCACCACCTTCAACGGTACAACTCAATCAATCCCACGTGGATCGATAATAAACTATTTGCAGATCTTTCTCATATACCAAACCTATAGATGGGAAACAACACTTTTGCTGGATTTGGTTTGAAAACATTTAATCTCAAACAGGGATCAACGATATGAAAATTGTTCGTTAAGACTCGTGGAAAGATGAATAAAAGAATCTCAAATACGATCGAGACCTAATATCACACCCGGCACACTATTACCAGTTAAAACCAGTAAGCGGTCACCTCACAAACTTTAAACACTGATCATTTGAACATGTTCTTTCTCAGGAGCCCAAAAGTAAAGAAGAATAATAATGTGATAAAATATTATTTTTATAAAAACAACTAAACAGAGAAAACAAATGTATGGCTTTGACACCGTACGCAATAATCTGCTGGACTGAACAGTTTCATATGATTACATTTGAAGTAAAAAAAATAAAATAATAAAATCCCCAAATACAAATAAAACCACTTCTTAACAGAAGATTATATTTAAAAAAATCACAAAAAAGCAGCAGGGCCAACATATTACAGAGGAGTCCCCTCGGATGGAAGGACGGGTACACTGGACATTAAGTGCCAACGCCGGTAACGGGTGCATTGAGTTAACGAAGACTCCCACACGTAGAAGTAAAAGGTAGGAGATTATTTATGTGCAAAATAAAATGGAAAAGAGTCACTTAGTCCGAGGTTGGCATCCTCTGGTTCCAGTGTGTGTGTGTGTGTGTGTGTGGCTTAAATCCATTCCTTTCTCTGGGCACTCTTAAGCTGGGCTTTCTCAGGCGGCCTGCTGGCGTGTTCCTCCCACTCGTAGCAGTGGTTCACCCGGGCGCAGCTCAGCGGACACGCCAGCTCCCCCCGAGTCTCCGTGTAGTGTTCGATCAGCTCCGCCAGGGAGCCGAATTCAGTGCTGTGCGTCTGCCAAAAGAAACAACAACAACAACAAGACACAACACACAGTAAGATCAGAGGTTGCAACGGGTGTTACGGAGAGCTGCTGGTTAAATCATTAGTAAGGGGTGATGCTGGTGTGTAATAATCACACATTAGATGCCTTCCATACAAACCTTATGGAAAAAAAATATACACGAGTTGGAAAGTTGAAAATCTTGATGAAACAACTACCTCCAGCAGGAATTTCCCTTCGCTGGTGTTTTTGATGAGGAGCGTGAGGAGTCCAGAGGGCATGCGAATGATGAGGGAGCCACATTGGTTTTTTTTAGGATGAGGACACAGGAGGTACGATCCCAGAACATCGTCTGCGAGCAGGGAACAGCAGCTTTCACTGGGACGGAGACGGAGAAGTTAGACAAAATACAACAAACACCCCCCGACCCCACCCCCCCCCCCCTCCTTTGCCTCTGAGCAAACTAATGCACGCTCACGTTGCGATTCCGGCACAACACCACACCGCCTGCGCCAGAGCTTCTTCAGTCTCGGCCAATCTGGGCGCTCGGGTTCTCCTCACCGGCGCGTCTTCCTTGTGCCCTCCTGAGTCAGAGGAGAAGAAGGAAGACGTTTTCATGCCGAGTCCACGTGCAGAAAGAGGAGGCCTTCCACCAGTGTGAAGGCCGGTGTGCGCGTCTTTAAGTGCAACGGGACTGAGATGGACAAAACAAGATGTGAAGAATCCGCTTAACGGTGAGAAGCTGTGGAAAATGCACACAAACGACCATTAATCCACCTCCTGAAAGTGGCCTGAATCCCCCGAAACTACCTTCTGACACCACAGCAGACAGTGAGCGGCTGCCCATCACCTGGACACATACGCGTGTGTGGTGGGGGGGGGTTACTTTACCTAAATAACTCTTTGACTCTTGAAAGCGCTCTTTGAATACTCTGCCCACCTGGTGACCCCCTCAGGTGCCACTGAACGGAGCGCTGTCTGAGCGGCGTGAAGGTGAAGGAGCGGTACGCCCCCGAGCGCAGCCCTTTGGTGCGCATGGCCTTCTTTCGCACCAGCGAGGGGGAGGAGGTGGGGAAGGATTCGGAAGGCAGCTCGTCGGAGGACTTGTGATTCTCCTGGGGGGGGGGGGGGGGATAGAGGACACCGGGGGTTAAAGTGAAAGGAAACAGGGGGGGGAATTCGAACGGCTGAATACACGCAAGGGGCATTCGGACCGTGGTCCCCGGCAACAGCCCCTGGAAAGGGGCTCTTCCTGAAGGAGACCAGGGCGCTGACGCTGAGGGGGAAGCCGTGGTTGAGCAGGGAGGGGTTGCGGCGAGGCAGCGGGCCCCCGGAGTCCTCGCGGGCCTCCTCCGGGTGCTTCTCCAGGTAACGCAGCTGGAAGCAGCGGCACAGCAGCAGGTTCAGGAACTGCGCCTGCAGGGGGGGGAGAAGGAGGGTGGGGGGGGCGCAACGTGCGGAGAAAAAAAAAGCCCGTGAGCCGGTTTTAAAAAGCGGAGGCGGAGCTGCTCGAGCGGCGCTCCTTCGTCTGGACGGGCGGCGGTTTACGCTACTCGCCGCTCTGGAGTGCCTGGCCCGGTAGAGGTCGCAGTACAGCTGGCCGTCGGCGCGGCCCGGGTTGTGGGAGATGAAGGCGAACTGGGCGTCGACGGGCCGGGCGGTGGACAGGGAGACCCGACGCAGCGCGTGAGCCATCAGCAGCGTCTGAGGACGGAGGGCGCGCTTGTTTTAGCGTCCCATATGCCCGCAGGGTTCTGCGCGCACGTGTGCGTTTTGTCTTCACACGTACCGTCTCGTCCTCATCGTACATTTTCACACCTTTGACGGAGAACTTTAGGGACACGGGCCTCCGCCTGTCGCACGCCTGCTCGGAGGCCAAACACGACACCCGTTAACACTTCTCGCATCAGCAAGCGGTCGCACATTTGAGGGGGGGGGGGGGGGGGGGACTCACTCTGAGGGACTTGAGCTGAGTGTGCAGCAGCTTCATCTGGTCATCCAGGCAGCGGTCGTCCACGGGAAACGAGCCCACGTACTTCCCAGTAAAGAGGCGAGTTGAGGCCAAACAACAACTTCAAAATGTGAAGAATCTGATTATTATTTCTTGGGTTTTTTTTGTTACCTCTGCCGATACGGTCACTGCACCGTCGTCTCTGACGGGGGCCTCGCCCATGCTGCCCGATCACCGCTGTGAGAGCAGACCACCAGAACATCTCGCACTCATGTTAACAGGTACACAATTTAAAAAAAAAAAAAAAGAGCTTTCGGGAAAACAATAAAATTGGAAAAATAAAATAAAAGTCCAGTAATGTGAACGATTGTTCCAGTTTGAAGAGTCTACGTGAAGAGGAGCGTCATCTAGCTGGTGCTGGAATGTTCACCTGTGATTTTTGGGTTCTTCAGGCGTCACAAGTGCGTCAAAGTTAGACGATGAGTAACACAAGTTAGATTGAGCGAGAAGTCTCCTTCTTCCAAACGCGGGTCTACATGCCTTAAAAAAATACGTTGATTAACTTCTCCGTTTCAAACCGTTTCCGCCCCGTGTGTGTGTGCGTGCGTGTACGTGTGTACGTCACAACTCACCGCTCAGGTTTTTCGGAGTCCTTCGAACTCGCAGAAGCTCCGAAACGAACCGGCCCGCTCGGGGTCCGGGTCCGGGTCCGGGGTCCGGGGTCCTGGTCCTCTTCACACGGGGTCAGTCGACGCGTTTCCTCTGACTTCACCTGCTGCCGCCGCGCGGTGGTCCAGGTGTGCTGCTGTGCGCGGGGGCGGGGAAGGAACCGGGGGAGGAGTAGGAAGGGGGGGCCGGCGGGGGGGTACAGACACAGAGGCCCCTGGATCACGGAACACGCGGAGGATTACGCCTTGAACGCCTCCTCCCGCCCCGCTGCTCCGCGTTTCTTTTCTTTTTTTCTTCCTCCACAAATTCCTGCTGATGTCGCAATCAGCCCGGTGACGTCACACGCCAAGTGGATCACTGTTTACATTTTCTCTTTCAATTCAAATCTCTACGGAGATTTTACCTTGAACTTATTAGTATACATATAGAATACATTCTATATATAATTGTTTCACAGTGCGTTTATATTAGGCACGTATGTTATGAACATGCAAATACTATTTACTTTTGTTGGGTTATTCTTTTAATTTAACAAGCTCCATTACACACACACACACACACACACACACACACACACACACACACACACACACACACACACACACACACACACACACACACACACACACACACGTCTGTAGGTTGGCAACCACTGGTACACACATTTTAAGCTAAATGGAACGGTTATCATCTACCATTAAATAATGCACATACAATCTCATCAGAAAACTAACCAGCAAGTATAGCGATTGGTTTATGCTTTTGTAAATGCATAATTTATGCATATTTAACTTCTGGAATCAGGCAAATGTGTTGAGTATTTCGAGTAAACAGAAGAAACTAGAAAAACACACAAGAGTTTACAAATATAGCCATTTTATTAATGACCTGGAAAAGAAGCTTAACAACACAAGATTACATTGCATGCAGGGTGTGTATGAACCAATGTCCTCCTTTTCCTTATGAACACACATCTCTTGCAGTTTGGTACTGAATTACAGCTGTGAAGCAATAAAATCAATGTATTTGCTTGATATAGACACTTAAGTCTTTAAAATTAATACTAACAATGTTTTCTACTTTGTTAAGTCAAGCTTGTGGGCAAAATCTTTTCTGGGGGCATTTAATTAGTGTTTTAAAATGAACAAATATCAAATTATGTAAATAATAATTCATAATTAAAAAGGATGGATAACAATTCAAATTCCTGTGCAGGGCTGCACAGTGAAAAACATTGTTTTATCCCCCAATACAGGTTAACAATGTTAAAATCTGTGTTTTATAAAATATTGGGAACCATTTAAACTTTCCAACCCATATAAATTAATAAGGACATTTGTTTTCAACCCTTAAACACCGACATCAGGGTTGATTTGATATTAGGAAGGTGTGCTGCCAACAATTAAAGAGTGGGTGCCGAACAGATATAAAAACGGAGGTCACTACACGGCTCTAGTCGCAGTTTAGAGAGGGGGGGGGGGGGGGGGGGGGGGGAGACACCACGCCGTCCCTGGCAGCTGGTCGCACATCTGTTTCGACAGCAACGGTAACTGAGCTTCTCTACACACGGTGGTTCAAAAACAAAGATCCCAAAACGTTCAGTGTACAGTCAAAACTGGGAAAGAGAACATTCTTATTCTACAACAGAAATGACAAATCAAAACGAAAGAAAACTGCTCCGCCGCTTAAAAAGGGAGAGAAACGGAGCGCTGAAACGAAGCGGCAAACTGCTGCAGCTTCAGAGCGGCCCAGTCCGCGGGAGGCCGTCCCGGGCTCAGTACTTCCCCCTCTTGGTCTTGCGAGTGGACGTCTTCCTGCCCCTCGCCGCGGCCGGCGCCGCCTCCTTTTTGACTGCTGGTTTTACCGGGGTTGTCTTTTCGGGCGCGGAGCGCCTGGGCCCCCCTTTGGCCGCCGCCTTTCCAACCGCGGGCTTCTCGGGCCGCGAGTCCTCGGGTTTCGACCGCTTGGACGCGCTCCTAGTCGTTTCCTTGGCGACGATGGCCTCCTCAGGGGACGATTCTCTGGACGCCGGCCGCTTGGACCCCCTTTTGCTCTGCTTCTTGACGGCCGGCGTTTGGGGCTTTTTTGCGGCGGGGGCCTTCTTCACTGGCGTGGCTTTAGGGGGCGGCGTTGGTTTCTTCGTCGCGGCCGACTGCTTCCTCCACTCTCGCTTGACCGGAGACGCCGCCTTCTTGACCGGAGACGCTGTCTTTTTGACCGGAGACGCCGCCTTCTTCACCGGAGACGCAGCCTTTTTGACCGGAGACTTCTTTGCGAGGGAGCGTCCCCGTCCTTTGGCTTTCGACTTGCTAGAGCTCCGGGACTTCTTGGCTGCAGGGGGGCGCGGGGCCTTGGGTGGCGGCCTCTTCTTTGAAGATTTTCTAAAAGCAATTTGAACAGGCAGCTTTAATTTGTGTATGAGCAGCGCCCCTTGTGGTCATTAGAAGAACAGCACCTTGAACAGTCACGTCACAAATGCCGTTGGACAAGAAAACTGAAAATGTTTCTTTTCCCACTCACCTATTCCGAGAGGGAGCTTCGTCCTCAGACTCTTCTTCTTCTTCTTCTTCTTCTTCCTCCTCCTCTTCCTCCTCTGAAGAAGAATGAACCGGCCGCCTCCCTCTGGCTGGCGGCTTTTTATTTGATTGGTCGTTGAACTTGTCTGGGTACAGGATGGTGGGGCTAAAGAGAAGACGACAATCATCAGGGATTCTCACTTTTAGCTCGTATTCCCTCCAAAGCTCACACTCATCCACTCCCGACTGGACCACAGCATCCTGTACGGCACATCCACCGAAACCTCGCGCAAATAAACCACCGACACCAGACGCAGTGGACGTACCTCGGGTAGAAGGGGAACGAGAGCTGGTAGGTTCCTGTGAAGCCGTGACCGGTGATCTGCTCCATCCAGCCGAGCACTTTACACTTGGTCAGGGTTCTCCTCAGACTGGCCACTAAAGACAAGCGTTCTTTACTAAACAAGCACATGGCTGCCTGCACCATCCCGTTGTATAATCAACTTGTCTGAACTTTAACTTTGATTGTTGCAGAGTTTAGACATTCTAGGGGCTGTAAAAGCGCTTGCGCGCCGTCTTGCTTTTTGTCTAAAGAGCTAATAAATAATAAACGGCGGTCTTACCTAATCTGTACTCCTTCGTGTCCTTGTTTGCGTCCACTAGGTATTTGCGCAGAGTGGTGGTGCTGCAGGTTTTGGGTTCGTTCATGGCGGTGATGGCGGCTGTGATGGCGTCCTCCAAGCTGCTGCCCTTCAGCAGGACCTGATTGCCGGCGCGCTTCAGCTGCGACAGTCGAGAACAGAAACATCGTTAGCACGCCGGGTCGCCGAGTCTGTGGCTCGGAGCCGCTTTGTCCTCCAGAAGCAGATTGAGGGGCAAGTGTTGCTAACTGCTCTGTGAATTTAAAGAAAAATCTATACGCTGTGCAACAAAGAGTTAGCTTTACCTGGAATGTGCCGTTGGCTCCTTTCCCAGTGATTTGCTCCAGATGCCCCCTCTCCACCGCCTTCACCAGGGCGGACTTGAGTACATCCGGCCTGGGGGGGCCAACCGTTCATATTTTCAATAATCCCAGATGACGTTACATTTTTAAAACTTTAATGAGCATCCATGACTTCAGCAGTCCATTTATTCACTCACATGGATTTATAGGTTATCACAGGTCAGACAAGCCGCAGAGTTTAATAAAGGCAACGTTCCAACAGGACGTTTGGTTTTTCCTGTACCTGTTTTGGATGTTTAAGGTGGGGAAGTGCTGCTCCAGGTATTTCTTAATCATGTAGTAGGAGGCTTCTTTGGGCTCACAGAGCCGAGTGATGATGAGGGGAAGAGCGTCTCCCAGAGCCTCCACGTTCACGGCTGCTTTCTGCAACACCATCACATTAAGACGCATGCAGACAAACCGAGAGACGGGGAGAAGAAACTGCTGCAGTAACAAAAAGGCGAAAGATCCATGAAACGAGTGCGGGGAGCTTGTAATTTCCCAAAATTATATTTTCACAGCACTACAGCTAATTAATATTGGAGACGGGATCCATCACTGCAAACCCTTCTTCGCGTGGTTTTAACTGAAGTGTAATACGCAAAGCTACAACACGGAACATTTAGAACGAATTCAATGATTAACACTTATCAAAGACCTCGCAACAAATAACCTGTTGTGTATCGAGGAACCAACAGATCCTTAAACAATACTGGGACGGACTTTTGATGACACTGCCCATCACTCTAGGGGACACGGTTGTTCCACTTAAGATCCCGAGTAGGAACACAGCAGTGTCCTGCGACATACCTTAGGAGAGGCGGAGATCTTCCCGATGGCGAAGGTTCCTGAAAGGCCTTTCCCCGTGAGCTGCGTGAGACGGACCAGTAACGAGAGTAAGTAGACCCGACACATCTCCGGTGTTCCCACCAACACTTCATAAGCATCTGTGAAATAACCTCATCGCTAAAAGGAGCCAGACCTCAAACCGATGGGACTTCATTTTAAGTTTCAAGACAATTCCCTGTAATCCCCACAGAACTCTGCTAGGCTACATTGTTATCAGTTGCCTTTCTGTATTTTTCTCATTAATGATCAATGAAAGGACTTGAGATGATGCCCTCATCTATGTTTACCTGTTTGATAGTTCCCTTCTCCAAATGCTTCTTCATTGCTTTCTTGATGAGAAACTTCTTATTTTCGAGCTCCATCTCCGGGTACTTTTTCTGAATGTACTTCATGAAGCACTGGTATGAAACTCCAGACTTGTCATTAGAAGACTGCGGAGAAAGAGGAGAAGGAATTAGAAACCCGCCGTGACCGGGCGCGTCGATGGATGGAGCCTCCGGGTTCCTACACACCGTGATGGCTTCGATGAGAATGTTATCCACTCTGTTGTTGCCTGCAAAGGTGGCGATGGGAAGCTTTTTGCCGGCGGCGACGGTGGCCCACGCAGGAATCGTCCTTTTCACCTTCTTGCCTTTGGCTTTCGCGGACTTGTAGCCATCCTTCAACCTGCCGCCGAAGAGAAAAAAGAAAGAAAAAAAAGGAAAAGGAGGAGGAGATACAAGTTGAGTGAAGCGGTTCGTTCCTTCAGAAGCGATATTTCACTGTGATTTCTACCACCCTTATCTCTGCCACATCCTCACCTTAGTAGGAGAACATAGCAGTGTGTTGCACACTGTCCAGCTGCGCAGTCCTTGCATTTGTCCCTTTGTCACCGACGGGAAAGACAAAATGAAGTTTGAGAACATCCGTCTTAATGATCACCATGTCATTCGACCCTCCCTGGATGGCGACGCTAGTGCACTACGTGCAGAAAAGTTTGTTTGTGAGAAGAAATTCACTTGTATAATAAGTCATCATCGTGGAAAGACGTAACTACAGCTGCATGTGGACTTGTCCATCATTGTGTAGCAGTTAAATGTAGTACGAGTACATGTTTTTCATGTGCTTTAGTCCCTCTGTTAGTTATTTCTGGGTACGAGTGAGAACGTTGACTTCATTCAATAAGTTTCTTTTACCGTAACAACTTAATAAATCTGTTTCAGGTGACGGTAAAATGAAAGTTTAGAAAAACGAAGTTTCCGACCGGGAGTAGCCTCGGTTGCGCGTGATGCGACCACGACCACGACGTGTTGAGTGCGTAAAGTATTTTGCATGAGCGGCTCTCCAGGAAGCCAGTGCTTTGCAAATGCAACGCCTCATCGATGAGAGGAGCAGCCTGCTGTTGTCCAGCAGAGGTAAGGATAATATAAACAGATAAAAAGTGCTATCAAAGTGAAATATCGCAGCGTTCACACGAGCTCTCTGGTGAAACTCACTCTTTCTTATCCGTCTTTTCTTCTGCCTTCTCCTCCGCGGGCTCGTCGCCTTTCTCCCCGTTCTCCGCGGGCTCTGCCTCCGCCTCCTTTGGAGCGGCAGACGGTGCGGCCGGTTCCTCTTCGGCGGCGACAGCAGACTCCTCCGAGGACGCCTGAGGCTCTGCGGGGAGGGAAACAAAAACACGTTTTGCAGTTGATCAGTCATGGCGATGTGCAAAGAGCATATTTCAAGCAGGTCAAAAGAAAAGTCTGACATTTTTATGTCCATGTTGCCTCATTTGCCTCTCGCACACGTACTTATGCTACTGCTCTGGGTGTGCAGGACTGTTCTTCCTTTAACTGGTTTTGGCCACTATTTGACATGGTCACGGCCAGGGCTGTAGTGGAGGGTAAACGCACGTAAACGCCGTTTACGCACCTCTAGAATTTTGGAAAAGCGTTTACGCACCTATAAATAGCGTTTACGCACCTAAAAGTGGCGTTTACGCACCTCAAAGTTCCCTGCGCCTTGTATTCTTCCGTTGGAATAATCCGAAATAAACTTGGTGTAATTTTAAAACAGCTAAAACTACGTTTCCTATTGTTGAACATATAAACGCCGTAGTCTGAATCATTTTCATTTGCGCTTCATTACGGTCTGTGAGCATCCAATCAGTGCCTTGCGGCTGCAGCAGCGACCAATCAGGATCCAGGAGGTGTGTAAACACACGTTGTGGATCAGCCCAGTGGTCCCCAACCTTTCTTGGGGGGGTAGTAGTCGCACGCTGTGTTCGCTGGTCGTGCACGGTAAAAGAAAAACGCCTGGTGACGCGTAGATTAGAAAACAAGTCAGTTCTCAATGTGAAACAAAACATGCTGTATAGGCTATTTATGATGACGGAGGTAGTACATGAGTGTTCCTCTAACTTGTGTTGTCAGTGTAATTGACAGGCTGCTTAACTGGTTAACTCTTAAATTCAACATATTTTTTCAGGCAGTGAGAGGACAGGCAATGATGCAGAGAGCACAGGGAGAGGAGAAACACCAGGTCGAATAGAGAGAGAAGCACAGAGGAACGTGTTCTGGGGTTCATGGCTCCTCTGTGCAAGGCAGGACCTGACGTGGAGGACAAGGAGGCCCTCTGGGCACTACTGTAAAAAGGAGACTCCATATGTAGATAGTTCTTAATCTGCAATTGTGTTGTTGTGTTGACATTTTCTTTACTGTTTCCTTAAATTTAATAAACTACTAACACATTTATTCATTGTCATTGATTGTATATGACTTTTACTGATAACATAATCCAATATAGCCAGGACAGCCTTACAGAGTCGCGACGCTTTGTGTTGCGTTGCTTCGCATCGCGTCGAGGTCTGTATGATCACAAAATTCAGAGTTTACCCACCTCTAATTTTACCACTACAGCACTGGTCACGGCCGATTGGCCGGATCTGCTGTAGTTATCTTCAAGTTCAGGCTTAATCAAGAGGTTTTAAAGGCATCTGCAGCCTGACAACACTCAGGTGTTTGCGTGTGCGCGTGTGGGATGCGACGAGTACCAACGGCTGCGCGTTCGCGCGGGTGCTGCGTTCAGGGGCTGGAGAGAGCGCCGGCTGCCTTACCTTTCTCTGCTGCAGCAGAGGGGGCCTTCTCCGGGGTAGGAGTCGCTGCTACTCGGCGTATCGGCATCACACGAGATTAACCTGGACGAGGAAAACAAAACAAGGGGGCGGGTGGTTGGTGTGTGTGTGTTGAAGGGGGTTGGGGGGAGGTGGGGGTGTCATTAGCCCTCAGCGCGGGTCTGGGGCCCATTCCCGTGTACGTGCGTTGTTAAGACACGGAGGCGACATCGCAACACCCACTTCATTCATTTGGGCATCCTTATCATGAGGACAACATTAACAAAACAAAAGGCGCACTTGAGTTTCGCCGAAAGCGTCCACCTTCGAGGCGGCGCGATGCTCTTTGCCTCAACCGCCGGTCTCTGCCAATGTGTTTCCGATAATTTGCACACAGCCAGAAGACGAGTTGCCAAAAAAAATTCGGCAATTTCGCCATTTTGTCCGTTGGTTGATACACACAGTAATGGCGTCGCACAAGGCAGAACATTCATTTCAGTTGCATTGAGTTAGAACCACCAGCCTGCGCATTATTCCCAGCTTCGCATCCGTGCAACACATTTAACTAGTGACTTATCGTAACACGCGTCAAACTTACCTCTTACTAGTGGAGAAAAAGTGAGCTACTTTGGAGTAAAATTCTGCACGACCCTTTATTTAGATTTTCTGTTTACAAGCCCCGCCCCATTAGGACCGTTGGGTTACGTCGCGGCGTCACGCGGCACGTCTGTGGGGCCCCACTGTCATGGCCGCCGACAATTACCGTCGAATAGGCCATTCTCGACTCTCGTTCGCTGCTGTAACCGACCGAGGCTAGCGGGAAAGATGCTAGCTAGCAAACAAACGTTCTTCCATAACGTTTCTCAAAGCTCAGTGGTAGTTTGTGATCAGTTCAGTTGATGCTGTCTACAATAACGTTCAACGCAATGCGAGCAAATTGTTAAATCAAGAGATACATGAATAATTACCGCGTTAAAAACTACAGCCCGGATGAGGTTTTCAGAGGCTGTCTTTGGCAAAGACTCATGGGAGCTGTAGTTGTATCACAAGTTAAGATGAAGACACATTCTCCTATTCAAAACCGCAGTGGATACAAATTAAGAATAAAGACAGAAAAACATCAGAAACATACTTATGATTTCTAGCTGCATCGCTATGAGTAAATTAGTTAAACTTTTTCACCACATGGATGAGGAATGCAACCTTATAAACAGTGTATAACGTTCGTTAATATTTACCATTATTTGAATTAATACAAGTTAATGGATTAATTGTTTTGCCAATGAAATATGAGAAAATTTAGTACAGTGCCAGTCAAAACTTCCCTATGTGAATCTTCATCGCTTATTATGTCTGAACATTGAAAAAAAATAAATAATAAAAAGAGTGACATACAACAGAAAAGAAGGAAATTTTCGCAAACAAGAAGCTGACATTTTCAGATCAATCAGCAATCTATCCAGTGGCCTAATAATATGCCGCATGATGCCGGAAATTATTTTTGGGGTGATTTAAAACCAACAAGCCAATTGCAGTAAAGACAAGCACGTGCACCAGATGTGGATAAGCAAGCCCCCTTTGGTGATCTGAAAAGCACGTGATCATGAAGACATTGTAAGGTGAATAGCAGTACATGCATGACCACATTAAAAACAGCTCAACTGGATTCATACACGTCAAGAATATTTACAAAAAAAACATATAGAAAAAGTGTAGTTAATTACACGTCACAAAAGGAACTGTTGCAGCTTAAAGCCACAAGCTGTGAGTTAATTCATAACGTTTGTTGGTGCTTTAATTGGCTCATAGCCCCCTCCTCCCTCCCCCACTGCTGCTGCTCCTGGGTTCACATCATAGGAGGTGCTCCTGTTACCCAAAAAATGCAAAAACAGACTTTTGAAAAGAAACATATCTGGCAACCCTCATTTTTTAACTCCAAACAAATAAATGACAATGAGCATTTTTAAATACCTTTTTTGTCTTTAATGTATTTACAAGCTTTAATCTGCTCTGTAGGTCTGAAGTATTACAAGCATTTCAAGTTCAGCGACTCTGGCGATTTGCTTTTTAAAGTTGCAATTTTTGCTCGTTTCACTTCAATGTATCCGGTTTGTTCATCGACAGTTCTGTGGACTGACGCATCGCTTCTCGAATGCATTACCTGGGCCTCTCACGAGGCGTATGTACATGTCAACGCAGAGCTAGCCGAGGCCGAGGGAAACACCTTGTGGTTATCAGGATATAACCTTTGACCTCAAAACGTCATACACGGACAACGTTAATGGGTTCTGTGCATCCACTCCTTTTTTATGTCTGCTTCCCCTTCATCCCAAAATAACTTTGTTTTACCCTGTTTTAAACCAAACAAACAGTGTGGAATCCAGGGAGGCCATTTCTTTCACAATTATTATTTTGTTATTATAATTAATTATATTGTTAATTCTGTTGTTCTCATTTGTGAGCATCTGCAAATGTTAAATAACTTTCATATTTGCAGTCCTTAAAAAAATAATAAATTAAAGAGTCCAGAACCTATGTATCTTTAAGTCTCTTCTTAAAAAGTAACAAAACCAAAGTTAAAATTTAAAACAAAAATATTTTCTATGTATAATACAGGTATTTAGTGCTTCCGCCGTTGAAATCCAAACTCAAAATGGCGGCATGTTTCGGAACCGTACCGCAGAAAAAAAATTCCAGCCGTAAAAACACGTCGTCCGGCCCACACACCCATTTTGAATGTTTGTTTGTTCTGCCGTAAGGATGCAGTTCAACTACGTCGCGTCCCCGGGGGGGGCGTCTCCCTCGTCAATTGTCTTCCGACTCCTCCTCCGCCTCCCGCAGCCAGGTGAAGAAGGCCGTGACGGACTTGAGGGCCACCCCCTTCCCCTGCTGCTCGGCGGGGTCTTTGCTCGTCTCCCACTTGTAGAAAGCGTCCTCCGAGATCACGTCCTCGTCGTACAGACAGTCAAAGAACATCCGGAGAAGGTCTGGAAGACAAAAGGCGCGTCGGCCATCGTTTTAAGTGAAAGGGCTTCCTGTCCTGCCGTGGTAAACCGCTGTAAACTACCAGTTCTCTGAATTACTTTCTACATTTTAGCATCAATGTTTCCTGCTGATGAAGATCATGTGACGCGTTCAACAGCTTCTGACTAGCAAGGAAAAGGACAAGCTGACATTACATATTCCACGATAGCGGTTCTCTCCGCCCAAGGAAGAGACGCAGCACTTACTCGGAGGCTGATCCAGGGCGACGATCAGCGCCTGAAGTGCATAAAGTGCTTGCAGCTGTCGCTCAGTGTCTGAGTTAAGGTACTTTAGTAATACAGGCAATCTCTTCTGGATGATGGCCGTGTCCACTCGACAGTTGGTGGTATCGTCTGTTGGGGTAGAGCGGGATGCGGAGTGAGTTCGCTGGTGGCGTTATAGAGTTTCTCCTCCAGGTGGCAGAGGCGCTTACCTTTCACTGCCGCCTTACACACAGCGGTCATCAGGGCCCTCAGGAAGGGAGACGAGCTCGTCTGAGATTCGTCTACGGTTGCCTGGGAAATAAGGAGGACAAAACACAGCGTGCCAATTTCCAAAAGTATAGATTATAAATAATAATATTTAAGGAGAAATAACAACATGGATGTTTCTGCTGCTCATTACAGGCTGCCTGCTCCATTTAGGCCACTAGCGTGCAGAGTTTAATGTTTCTTTCCCCGCTGAGAAATGTGTGACTTGTCATACCTCTGCCCATTTAAAGATCTCCTCATCGCTGACCATGTCCTCCAGGAGGAGTCTCTCCAGCTGCTGGCTCAGCTCCTCAGGAGACAAGATCCTCTTGGACACGTCCCCCTCAGGACCGTCCGAGAGGAACTGGAGTTTCTGGTGTGGCGGCAAGGCGACGATGGAAGAGGTAAATGATGAAACGGGGAAAAAGAAGTGAGGAGGAAGTCAAAGTGTGCGCAGTCTTCTTTTTGTCTTACATTAGTATAAAGAAGCCAATGATCGGTGACAGAGATTTCCTACAGTATAAATACTTCTCGATCCATACTGAGGCCTTTTTACTAACCTGTTCTGAGATGAAAGCCTCAACGTCCTCGTCCTCCGGCAGGAAGTCGTCCCAGCTGAGGGCAGATTCCCTCCATAAAGAAGCCACAGTCCTATGGCTCTGTGGAGACAAGATGAGACAACCTTCTCTGATGCATCTTTCTAGTCTCCAGGTAAAAAAGATTTCAATGGGCGCTATTGGCCATTTGATTTATCTAGTAAATGCATGAGAAAAACATTTAGAGCAACAATAAGTGCCAAAATAATACATATATGTTCATATATAAACCACCTCGACAGACATTTAAGTGGCCGTCGTCTGATACCTGTGCATATCTAACCACAAGCTACTGATTAAACTACTGGCTTTATGGCAAACAGGTGACTTAACTGAATATTGAAGGTGTTGCTTACCGTTCGTTTGCATAGTATGTGCAGTATTTCAGAGATCAAGATCCCAGCTCTTCCCACAGGAAGCAAAGGTTTGCCTAATTCGCTGTGCACAAAAAGAGACAAGAAGCAGTTTAATGACAAAATTAAACACAAAAAACAATCTTATGTGCTGCTATTAGGGCCCATGCCCAAAACACTGCAATTGGTTCCATTTATTCTGAGCAAACAGCACATGTGTACTTTATTTTTAGCTTGTTTTCTCCTGGAGAACAAAGTGTGCGCTTGGTGTAGCACCTAAAGAGCTCTCTCATAGAGAAGGCCTCTTCCTTCAGCACCGGGGCGAGCAGCTCGGCCAGGTACAGCCAGATGTGAGGAATGTCGATGGCCATGTCGTCCGCTAGTTCCAGCGTGTCTGCGAACCTGAGAAAGAGAAGAAGAGGGCCGAGCGGTGGTTAGGGAACAACGCACAACAGTCATGTAATTGCTCCTGCGCTCTGGAGGCTGACAAAGACCAGTCACTCACATACGTGTAAAAACATGTATAAAACACAGAGCAGCTCTTTACTCAAATTTATTCTCCATTGTATTTATCACAGAACTGAAGACCTTTGGGACCAGAAGAAGTAACCTCCACTTATACGTTTGAGTTTGAGTGCAGTATTGTGGAACGTTGGCTAACCGTTGACAGCATCCTCTTTACAGATTACACTTTATATTTGCTTTTGTAAAACCACCATTGATCCAAAAGTTATTAACAAATACGTGAAGTTGCACGCAGACAACAAAAAGAGTGCGTTGAAGAAGTCGGGGAACTGACCCTTTGTAGAACTGAGGTTTGGGCAGGATGCCCTGCTGCACCAGCAGGAAGAGGAGCTGGCCCATGTGGTCCCGTGTTATCTGACTGCGCTCCAGGGTCGACTCCACCCCGACGCGCACAAAGACGTGCAGCTGAGAGCCCAGGTCCAGCTCGCTCACACACTGAACGGCCTCCTGCAGGAGAACACACACGTGATCAGAAGAAGGAACAAGAACACCACGCACATGCTACTGCTGCACAGACAGCGCGGGAAGCAGAACGAGTAAAGCCGCTGTTCTGATATCGTCACAATCTCATTAAGAAGAAACACAGGGACAGTTTAGACTTCTCTACGTGGGGTGTTTTCCCACTTCTACCTCACCCGGGTTGCAACTGGATTCTACGGGGCAAAATGTTTTTGTCAGGAGTCTTGTGGATTTGTAGAGAACAGATGGATACTACGGCTTCAGTTCCACATTAGAAAGACCTTTGTTACTGTGAGGTAAAGCAGGGAACTACTGGAAACACAGCGTTCACTTAAACATTAATTTCCCTTTAGGTTTGCTGCTCCCACAGAATTCCAGTGCACCAAGTCCTGACTCCTGTCTCCGATCTGGGGTTGTTCCAGCTGCAGAAAAGTAATTAAACCAACCCCACCCCAAGTATGCCACTGATCTAGATTAATCTAGTGAAACCAATACTGAAAACACAAGCATCTCCTGGCGATCTTGTGGAACTCGGTACCTTGGAGTCATTTATGTGCAGGAACTCATCAATGATGGACTTGGACTTCCTCTCGGTCTCCTCCACAGACAGAGGAGGTCTTTCCGGAGTCTGAACCACTGACTCCGGTTTCACTGTTGGGGTGAAAAACAACGATGACATCAGTGTCTGTCTGCTGTGAGCGCAAGCTGGAAATCCACATCTGGTCTGTTATTCTCTATTCGGACTTCCAAAAATATTTTTTTTTAAAACTTAACGGGTTTTTAGAAAATACACTTTAAAAAAAGTTTTAAACATAATATTTACTATCTGGACTAAAAGACGCATGATAACATTACAGCTAAAGCGAATTAAAAATATGCACTAAGATTAGACCCTTTTACAGTTTCACAGCAGTGAACGCGATGCGAGGGAAACCTCAACAGATGACCTTTATAGTTCTGTCAGTGAGCCGGTACAATACATTAGCTTGTGGCCCCAGCGTGTAACGTTCAACCAGCGAGAAACGAAATGCAAGTCTTTATCAATCATCAATGGTGTATCCAGCATATCTGATGCCAAACAAAACCCGTCTATGCTTCGATCAGTAAACAGCCGTGTGTCGAGCCACTAGAGACGCTTTGAATTTGAATGTCATTTCCAATCTCGGTCCTGTGCGTCTCACCAGGTTCCCGGACTCCGCTGCTGTCCGGCTCCTCCTTGTCCTCGGTGACGCTCTGTCTCCGGGGCTCGGCCCCCTCTCGCTCCCGGTCTCTCTGCGGCTCCTCGGGGGTCGGACTGTCCGGCAGCTCCTTCGAACTGCCGCCCCTGGCGAACGGTCCGGGCCGCGACGACGGCGGGGCAAAGGTCACCGGCTTCTCGCCGCGTTCCCTGGCCGCGCTGTTAACGCTGCCGGGTAGGAGAGACCCCACAAAGAACTCAAGTCAATCGGGATGTTTGGAAAGTGAGAGCTCAACTACCAGAAGCAGGCGTTAGTGTGTTTTACCTGGCCAGAGTTCTCCTGGAGTCAATGTCTGGGTTGTGCGGGGGAGGCGTGGAGGGCGGGGGAGGAGGCGTCGACTGCAGCGCAGAGTACCGATTGAGGCCGGCTGTCCGTGATAGTTCTGTTATGGAGAAAACAGGTACAAGAGAGGAAAGTTACGGATCATTAAGAGTTTTGGTGTTTGCAGAATCCAGAGAGGAAGAAGAAAATACGAAATACAAAGCTGAGAAACAGGTGAAAGAATCTCTGCGAGTTTCAGGATCAAACTGAAAGCATCAGTGAGCATCGACAGAGGGGATCCCCCAATGTGACATTCAAGTCGGTTGCAGCTACAGTCTCTGTGTGTGCGTGCGTGCGCTCAGGATATTACTTCTCTTGCCTTCCAATCAAGTTGGAACTATTGTTTTAAAGTAGTTCCCGATTGTAACAACCCACATATGGATGAAATGAACAGTCATCTGAACAGAGGTGCTCCAGCTCTGGCGCCCTTTCTGCGTTTACACAATGCAAGAAATACTTCGCTGTGTAATAAACACCATTTCAGGTCCGAGCTCCTGCAATGTTCCGTCGCGCTGTGTTGGATCAGTTAATGAATTCTTACCTGAGTCACTGGCCTTGGCTCCTCCACTGCTGCCCTTCCCCCACGTGACTTGAGCGCGGGGGCCCAGCTGGATCTTCTCATCCATTTGAGGCTGCAGAGACAGGAATCATTTACGATGGTTCGAGCACACATGGAAAACACACAGCGATAAAAAAAAAGGCAAAAGAGAACAACATTTGAGAAAAAGAAAAAAAATTATATTTTGATGGTTCCTTTATCACGCTGAGCTGAAACAGTACAGATCAATCAGCAAAGGTACTGAGAGGCTTGTGTCATGTAATTGTGGCCTCCCCAATTTCTGCAGAATACTTTTTTGGTCTATTTGTAACTTGGGTCTTAAGAACGCGCGAGTTAGAACTTTGGATTCAAGATAGCACACAAAAAGCACCAGCATAACATAAAGAGTATACTCTTACTATACTAGTTGTCAACAACGATGTAAAAGCAATGTCCTCCTTGTGCAGCTAACTGTAAGAAGATGGCAAAATTCTTTTCACACGGCAGTACCTGGGGGGTCCGGCAGGGGGACTGAGCATTACCCACAATAATGTGGCTCAGAGGAGAGCAGGCCCACACGAATGAGTACACATGAAACACAGGTGCACATCCACTGGCTCTCTGAAACACTCGAAAGAACAACCAGCACCGGGGAACGAGCTTCTGACCGTAGAAAAGAACCAAAAGAAACAGACAAACTCGTCCTGACAGGAAGAACAACCTCAGCGCTTCATCCGAAAGACAGAGAAGACATAATAAAATGCTGCTACCAAACGGGGCTATATGGGCACAGATAAATATCACAATATAAAAACTAGTGGGATTTTTTGTGGTTTGAACAGTACAAACGCAGAGGTTTAACACACCCATAGTGTAAAGTGGTTATGTCTGATGTGGTTTGTTTGCACGACTCAAGTCATGAAAGCGACGTCGTGTGACCGCCGTTACGGCCACATTCAGCACGCACGAGTCAGACCAACCAAATGCTCTTTTTTTGTCATTTGCTCATTCATATTCTTTGAAAGTTCTGATCGGCGGCCAATGGGATTCTTCCTGATCTATCAGTGAAAAGGAGTCGTGCCACTAATCTGCTCCAACCTTGTCTCAATTCCTAAAGTGCAGGAGGAAAGAAATCAAGGATGCATGTAGGAATCGGGAATAAGAGCCGTTCCCCATTGCAGCGCTGGCTTTGCTCGCACTGAAAAAGCACCAGCGCGTCTTACCTTGGAGATCTTTGGGATCTTGGTGGGGTCGATGGTCCTGCTGTTCTTCGTCACTGGTACAGTGTTCCAGGTCTCTTCTCTCTGCACGCGCTGCTCCCTCTGCTCCCGCTGATCTCTGGGATCTACGGAGGCCAAGGAGACACACACACGCCTTACAAAATGCACTTGCAAAAAGGTCCAGAATCCAACGGTATTCTCATTCATTGACCGGCCAATGAAAGCCAGCAAAGTGTCATTTCTTTTACTTTTTTGAGCCAAACATGGTGAAAACGATGAGTCAGCTGACCGATGGGAGGGACTGAGGGGCTTCCTGTCTGCTGTCGGGCACAATAGCATCTCTGCAGGCCCCAGGGACAGGAAATCTGTCTGTACGACTGCTGGCTTCCCGAGTCACTGTAGCTGTGGCCACTAAGCCTTAAAGAGGATTTAGACTGCGAGACTGACCTGGCCGTCTCTTGCTGTCCTTGGAGAGAAGTTGCTGCTGCACTTTTCTCTGCTCCTCCTGCTCTTCGATCTTTGCCTCCTTGTGGATCTGCTCGATGGTTTTCGGGCCCTGGTCGGCTCTCCTGGACACCCAGTTGTGCTGGAAGAATAACGAGAACCACAAATGCCTTCATTACCGATCCCATGCAGAGCACTACTATATAAATATACACACACATATATGTTCAGACACAGACGTTAACGACGCTGTAAGTTTCAACTTCCATTGTGACTCTCAATTAGTTTTATCAATATTTGTTTCATTCCATGATGCTGAACATGCCGCTTTTGTTTTTATACAAAGTGGATTCATTATGCAGCTTAAGCAGCTCACATACAGAACCTATGGATTAATCCACACTATGTCTGAAGATTCTTGGTTTACAGCCACTAGTAAATACGGAACGGTGTGATCCCATTTACTGTGTCAACAATGTAATTTACTTTTAACAATTAACTCACCAATCTGAGGTCCATAATGTCCTGCAACATGAAGCGTATACGAGAGGACACCTTCCTCTCCTTGACTATTTTTTCCATCTGATGGAAATACTGATCCATCCGGGGCTGAGCGGAGAGAGAGAGAGAGACAAAGAGGAGGTTAATTTGAGAGATGAAGGTTATGTTCACAATTTCTCCATTAAATCTAATGGACCGCAATCTCAGATTTCCACATTATTTCCATAAACCGACTGACTGGTCAGTTTGTCCGGACCGCCCGAGATTAAATTAAAACAATTTGGGAGACGCTAGAACTAAAACTGTAATAGCCCAGAAAGCCATCATATTGAACAGGATGAAACTCGTCTGAAGGACCAGAGGAATTATTCACGTTTGAAACTGTGCTTTTGTCTTGTGAATACTGTTAAAACCCTTCAGTGTCAAATGGAAAATGAAGCAAAGCAGAATTAAGTTGCTCCTTGCTGGCCAGAGGGCTTTGCTTCAGGGGGGGCGACTGGCAGGTGAGGATCAAACCACACATCAGAAAGGCCCTCGGCGCTCTCGGGGCACCAGAGGACTCTCACTGCGTCCCACCGAGGAGTCACTCAGACAGAACACAGCAGGTATACACGTTTCCTCATCATGAACATTTCCCCCTCTGCCTCTCGACCTGTACCAGCCAATCCCACCACAACTTCCTCTTTAAGGTCCGTGATACCTAGAGCCGGGCGCCAAATCAATCTCAACAATTCATTAAAATGTGTGAAAAAAAAGGAAAATCAATTTCCACCTCAACTCATGTTATTGTGGTATAAAAGCTGCCACAGCTTCCCTCGTCTCCCGTAGTCCACATTTAACATGGCAGCATGGCTTGTTGTCGAGGGAACCGGATGCTAGAACAGGTGACCCCTGAAGCGCTCTACCACGAGGTATTCATGGTAGCAGAGCCTGACCGGCGTGCTGTGCTCATGCCGTCCCTCCCTGGCTACTCGCACACAATTCAGACCTGCTCCAAAAAGGAATCGAGCCACTAAATAGGTTAGATATTCTCACTTTAGATTGTATAATAAATCTTTAAGCTAAGCTAAACAAACCATGTGGCAGTAACTGAACGGTATCAATGTCTTAATAAACCCGCGCGCCTCCTCGCCTCACCTTGGCCTTCTCAAAGTCCAGGTCCTTGCCGATGGTGGTGAGCAGCCTGCACAGGCACTCCAAAGACTCCTCGTCGTGGTTCTTGAGCAGCTTGACGACACAGTCGTGCATGATGGCCTCAGTCAGCATCTTGAGCTTGAAGAGCTCGCCGATGAACCGGATGTTGCCGATGGAACGCCGCCGCGCCTTGTCCTTGGCTTCCTCCAGCTCTTCCTGGAGCCGCTCGCGCTCCGTCGTCTGAGGGGGGGGTGGTAGGGGGGGAAATGCTCTCAGGCTTTGGAGTTTAATTCCATCCGCCTTGCTAAAGACGCTTCGGCACGGCCAGAAATCCAGTGTCACGCTTCAGCAATTCATACGCACCGATGCAGCAGAGTCCAGCTCTTTCTGCTTCCTCTCGAACACAACGTCGTCCACCTTGTCTTTCTCAAACTCCTTCTGGCAGCGGTTTAGCAGCAGCTTGCGAAAGTTCACTGTGGTGTTGGGTTTATCCGTCATGGGCACCTTGAGCTGCCCGGGTACAGTAGACACAGTGAAGATGTTTAAAAAACAGTATTAATACAGTTCAGGGGACAAATAAACCTTTTTAAAATGTTGAAGAGTGCTGCGAGCGTCTAGCACACAAGGACAAAAGGAGTTTACTGAAACTCACACAGGAAACTCCAGCACACCTTTTGATATTTAGATGTGTGGAGTATCGACTTACAGCCTAATGTATGCTAAATGTGTGGTTGGGCTTACTGTTGATAGCTATAGTTGTTTCCTTGAAAATCAAATAATCATACTGCACACACCATTTAGTTAGCTGTCGACTGTCGGTGGACTCCAGAAAGTTTACTTATTCTTGAAGTAGAATTCCTGCGCTGCGAATGGATCGCCGCTGAGGTGACGTTATTCATTCACGTCCTGTGTGCTTACCGTGGCGAGGCAGCGGCACATGTTGCCGTAGGCCACGGAGAAGCTGGGCTCGTCGATGGCCTTCTCAAAGACCAGGTCGATGACCCCTTTGAGCCTCTCCTCGGTGTCGATGGTCAGGTCCGTCACCTGCTTCATCAGCTGGTTGAACTTTTGAGGAGTCAGCTTGTTCAGGATGCTGCGCACCTTCTTGAACAGCTCCTGAGGGGAATCAGTCAATCAGTCATCAAGCATTTCGTTTGAAGAGCATCCAACATGAAATGGCTTCCAGATATCGGTGGCTTTTGAGAAAGAAACCATTAGAGAAATATATATTTATACATATTTCCCTCTTTATTATGTAAATAACACGTCGGGCAAACCCCCCCTCCTGTGTTTGTGTACATGTTTGGCCGTACCTGTGTGTTTTGCACCTCAGGATCATCGGCCTGGACCTCCGGCCTCTTCATGCCGGGTTTCCAGGCATTCTCCGATTTTTTCAGCTGAATTTCATTAACAGACACGTTCATGATGATCTTCCTGGGTGGAGGCCGGCGAGTTCCCATGTTCATCATCTGTGAATGCAACATTAAGATTCTGCTTGAACTATTCAATAAAAGCCTGCTTCGTTGACACGGCCACGACTCTCCTCATTACCATGTGACTCGGACGAAATGTGAAATCTGCACTACCTGGATTGGCCTTAAAGTGGCTCGAAGACTAGATGCACTCTTGTCTGCATTAAGGTGGGTTTATTCCAGTCAAACTCGGACAGTGGTAAGAATGTGTTTGAGGTATTGGATCAGCCGCTGAATACTTGTGGACTGACACCGACTGTAACAGAGTGCCTCAAATCGTTTCCTATCACCCTCAGACCTTCAGGCAAAAGTTGTGTAAAAGATGTGGTGCATCTTTTATATTTTCTTCCACACTCAATTGCCAATGTGTACAAGACAGCTAGAACATTTCTAAAAAGGAAGAAGAGGAGGAATTGGAGGCGTGTGTGTGACTTCATGAACGATTTTTCTTCGAGTGTGCACGTGACTCACTGTGGCGCCTCGTCCTCCGGTCATCTGCCGGCCAAAATCTGCGAAAGCAGGTGTGAAATCAGGGCCCCTGGAAATGGCCCTGGTGTCCACCACTCGAGGCGGCAACTTGTTCTGGTTAATCTGCGCAACACACAACAGACACACACACACACACACACACACACACACACACACACACGATGAGTTGGACAGCAGGGGGAGCAGTAATCCCTGTAATAATAATGGCAACAGGGTAAAAGGGGGTTGTACGTATGTGCATTTCTAAGCCGGTGGGTTACTTAAAGGTGAGCCGTTGTACATGACAGTCAGACTACACTAACAGCTCAGAGTTTATGTATTTTCACTGTACGGGTGATAAATTCTGCTCTGCGCGATCAGCAGACAATTGAGAGAGAAAAGTCAGGAGCAGATGTGGAGGGGAGGGAAGGAAGAAAGGAACGCAGCAGAGAGCGGGAGTGGGGGGGAGGTAAAGTTGTGGGGGAGGAGAGCAGAACAAATCCAGTTCTTTGTCTTTCAGCTGTCCTTGACTTCCTCTCCACTCTTTGCCAATGAGATTTCACTTTCTCCTTCGGAGAAAACGAGACTGGGATTTTTGCATCGCCGGTCGGGCTGGTCCTTTTTGGAGAGGTGGGGGAGGGGCGTTTGGTCTCAACACGGCCAAGTGTGACATAATAGCAATGTGATTTTAATCAAAACAGCATTTCCGCGGGCCATGTGCTCCACCCATTCGCAACTGTGGATCAGCGGAACGAACCAAACTGCGCGCTGTATCTTTGGTCCCACAGTCACACGCCTGTTGCTCGGAGCGCATGATGAAGGACACCGTTACCCCAAGTGTGTTCAAACTAGTGCTTTTGGATGAATATAATCCATCAGTTAATAGCTTCCTTTATAAAAACCTGAAATTCTGAATAATTTCAAAGAAATGGCTCATTGTGTCCGACAAACTGTCTAAAACCCAGACAGCAATTCTTTACATAAGATAAGAAAAGCCAAACACATTGAATGTTTGTTTCAATAGAAAGGATTCTCAAAACTATTAACAGTTAATTTTAATAGTATTATGTTTAAAATAAATCCTTTAAAAAAAAAAATGGACAAAGCAATGTGTAGTTGCCACTTTCCTTTTTTTTAAAGCAACATCAAGACAAAGAAAAGAGATGAGCTCTAAAAGCAACACCACTTGGTAGTAGGTGGGTTAAGGGCACTGAGGGCGGAGTACTTGAAAAGTCTGCAACAGGGGGTCTACTCACCTTGTCCAGCACCACATCGCTGATGGGCGGGAGACCCTCAGGCTTCTGCACGCAGGCGGGCATGAACTGGAAGCCCAACAGGAAGTCCCTGTTGTACTGGCGCTTCCCACTGGGATCGGCCAGGTCTGGACCACCATGCGGGGTTTGAAGAAAAAAAAAAAAAAAAGTGTAAATACATATAAAACTGCGGCAGCAGTAGCTGCGCCAAAGGAACGGGGCCCTTCTAACCTTCCATGTCCTGCGGGGCCTCCGTGGAGTTCTCCTTCTCTCCGGGAGTGACTCCGCTGTCGCTGCTCTCCGTCTCCGACGTGTGACCGGCCCCGTTCCTCATGGGCTCCACATCGGCCTCGCCGTTCTCCTCCGGGACAGCGGCGGGCTCTCCGTCACCCTCGGGGCTGCTGGCGGGAGCCGGCGGGGAGGAGAGGACTGACGGAAGGGGCCCCGGGCTGCTCGCAGTAGCCGACTGCAGGTCCCGGTCTCCAGCAGGCTGCTCCACCGGGCCGGGCTCGTCCTGTGTGGAGGAAAGGCGCAGGGTTCACTACGCTCTGCTCGATTATCATTTAGCAGAATTAAAAGGGGTCAAATCTGTCACCTTTTAGTGGATGGGCAATTAGTTTATGTAAATTCATCAATTTAAGAAGAGAAGGTTAATTTCTCCTGTAAGCTCCTTAGTATCTTCTCACTGCTGCCTTTCTAGGGTTTGAATGTAGGCGTGAGAAATTAGGGAAACAAGTGAAGGGAAGGAGACTCAAGGGGGAACGAGAGATGAATGGGTCAGAGAAGGAGGAGAAAAGACATGTGCCTGACTATTATCATGTGTTTATTCTACGTAAAGTGTGTGTTTCTGCATGAAACAAAGTTTGTTCTTCGCTCATTGTGCTTGTTCGAAGCAATTTAAAAGTTGACACCGTTTGTTGCTGCTGTGAAGATTTTCCCGCAGTGGTAAGCCCGAAAGACAAAACAATAGAAGAGATGATTTGACAAAGAGTGGGTTGTGTGAGCAATGAGGATGATGGATGATGATCCTCTTCTCCCTCTCCCCATCTCTGTTCACATACTATGTAGGCATTCGGAATTCAGCCTTGTTTCCTCATCCTACACGGAGAGACGGAGAGACGTTTTGGGCTTCTTTGCTTACCTCGTCATCCTTTTGAGGCGTGTCTCCTGCAGAGATCCCTTCATTTGGTTTCCTCCAGCTCTTTGGTGTCACAGAAGCAGTCTGATTAACTGCAGGGAAATACAAATGCAGAAACAGCAATCAGCCACAGCAAGTCGTGGAACACACCCGTGATGGATTTAAAAAGGGAAATTAGTGGTTAAAGCCCAATGACTGCAATGGAAATATGTTAGTGAACATTTAAATCTTGGTAAAGAAACACAAAAATATTTAAAATCTAAGATGTGAATAATTGAGAAGAGAGATAATGTCATGACAATGTCGTGGCATTTACATATTACCAACACAATACACCTCACATGTCTCTGACCAAACTAAAAACACACATTACTGAGGTGATAGTGGTTAATAGACGCATTAATGGAAAAAGTTGATTTGACTTGAACCATTGTTTTGTAGTTGTCTTTCTTAGGATAGGAACATACCAACAGGGAAACAAAAGAATTTAAAAATGGATTTCCTTTCTGGGTTTTCTGAAAACTGCATCCAAGCCAAGTCTGATGAACTTATTGTTCTATTTTGGCATAATACCAGTAAATGTGTCTGCTCATAAAAACAATATTAGTGTAGTTGCATCTGATAAACTACCTGTAGTGGGACTCTTCCTGGTGAGGGCTTGTTGCTGGGACTCAGCTCTGCTGTCAGTAATGCCTCCACCCGCCTCGGTCCCCACTATGGGGACGAGGTCCTTAGTGTCTGAGGACTTGCTCGGCTCGTCCACCTGCGTCGTGGCCTGCACTAGAGGCGGGAGGCCAAGGGGGAGCGCAGCTGGCGAAGCTGCGGCGGCGCTCGAGGTCAGGGTGACTGGCACCACGGCCACGGGCGCATTGGGGGCGAGCGCAGCAGCGACGGGCGACTCTGGCCTCACGTCAGAGGCCAAAGCTTCAGAGGAGGCGGCCTCCAGGGGAGCAGGAGCAGAGGCCTGGGGCTGGAGTGCAGCTGAAGACTGAAGAGAAGGCTCGGGAGCCAGGGCGTCCAGCTCCGTCCCGCAGTCGGCGAGGCCGTTCAAAGCCTTGGGAGGGGGGGCTGGCGAGGCGGCCGGACTTGGTGGAGCGTCTGAAAGAGGCTGGTCTGTGCTGGGAGTCTGAGGTGGCGCCAAAGAGGGCTTGTGCTCCTCAACTGCAGAGGAGGGAGGGGAGGCTGAAGCGGTCGACTCCCGGGCGGACGGACGTTCACTGTGGTTGGCCGCCGGTGAGGGGAGAGTGACGGGGGCGAGCATTGAAGCAGGGGAGGGAAGCTCTGGTTCAACAGGGGAGGAGAGCTCAGCGACGGGAGCTTTGGCCTCAAGTCTCTCTACTGGAGCTTCGGGCTGCACGAGCGCCGGCAAGGAAGACTTCTGGACAAGTGGCTCCAGTTTTGGCGTACCATCTGGAAGACGAAGAGTTTAGATAAACACACCCCATCTAACCATGCATGGTCATATTTGCATCATATTTAAATCTCTTTCTTTAAACAAATCCAGGGTAAAGATGCCTGGGTACGATTGTGACAGCTCCAGGCGCAATAAACCATTTCCCACCATTTGCAAAGAGAGTATTGGTTTAAACTTTAGCTCACAAACAAACCTCTACGCAAACGTAGAACGCTGGGGGAAATTTTTCCGACTCGCCTTTTCAAGGAAACGAAAGTGAAAGCGCTCCATGTAATGCATGTTCCGGGGAAACGAAATTCGGTGCGTGACAAGTGCCTGGTAATTGTCTGGGAACAAAACACTATTTTCAGGAGGAGTTTGGGGTGCATTTTAAAGTAAGAGGGGGCATGTGGGTGCAGACCTGGCCCCGGCTTGGTGTCTGAAGCCCCGCTGGTCGCTGGCTGCTGTGGCTGTTGGGGTAGCGCAGGCTCCAGCGGGTAACCTCCAACATGGGCCTGCTGTGGCAAAGGGGGCAGCGGCTGCAGGTGTGGCGGCGGCTGTAGCTGCTGCGGAGGCTGTTGTTGCTGCGGCTGCTGCGGCGGCTGCTGCTCTGGAGTCTGGCTGCTGCTCGGCTGCTGCTGCGTTTTGAGGTAGAAAATGTGAGGATAATGAGGGTGCGGCCATAAAAACTAGCAACACAGAAAACCAGAGACAGGCACAGAGATGTAGGCAGGCACGCACACCAACAAGCCCGAATGTAGCAAGAAGCAGAAATAAGGAGTCCAATGGAGGGGGGGGGGCGTGCCGTTAGCAGACAAGGCAGAAAATGAAGATCAATGCAGGAGGAATGGAAAGAAGAGGGGGAATGGCTCAGAAGGAAGAGAGAGAAATAAATCAAAAGGGGGCACAAAAAGACAGGAAGAGGAGAGACTGTCATCATCATTTTGGGCTTGGTTGATTTCATATATTAAATGTGCCAATGGCTTTCTTACTACGATTTGTAATTAAGGGGCTTCAATGCAGTTGTTTAATGACCATACCGGAGTGGATAATAAAATGTGAGAAGAAAAACAATTCAGGTGCAAGAATAAAACAAGTATAAGTTGTATATGATACAAACCGACTATTGAGGTCAAAAAAGAAGAAAATAGTTGACTGACAATATTCAACACTCATCTATAATACAATTTACAAAAGTGCTGATGCATGTTGTGGACAGAAAGGCATCATGAATTCTTTATGAGAGGGCAAGATGGCAGAATAAGTTAGCAAAGAAACGGAAGCCGGGTCCTGTGGTGCAGAGCAGAGAGGATCCCGGCCCGGAGAGAGCAGGCGTCAGGCGCCTCTCCGATGGGCCGCTCTTAGTGCTTCGCCACCACAACTGGAACCACTGCGGCCGAGTGTGTCGGGGAGGCATACCTGCGGTGGCGTAGGGGTAGAGGAGGGGCGGCCGACAGGAGGCGTTGAATTCCTGCTCCCTGAACCCCCCGCCATGATCTCCTCTGTGATGTCCCTGCCACCCTGATTGGGGTCACGGATACGGATCTGGGAGGACAATGGCACAAAAAAAACAAAAACTCACTAAAGCGCAGAGTCCTGGCGCAGCCCCGCGTCGGCCATGTCGCACGCGTCCTTATCAGCAGCAGCAATATCCACCAACAAGGCTTCAAAACACCACTTTAAATCACAACAACTCCTGTGCGATGAAATGCAATTACTGCTTTGGTCTGGTCGCTCAGATCGTCGCCGGAAAAGGGAAACTATTCTAGATGTAGCATACACTTAAATTGATAAAACTTGAAGAAAACCTTTTATTACTATTATTTTGCGAGTTTCCACGAGGTGCACTGGAGGTGCAGAGCCTCAAATCTACTGGAAAAAGCATCTTGGGTCACATGTGGCCTCACAAGAACTACTAAGACACTCACTGTTTTCTTCTCGCGCTTGGCTGGTGGAGGTTGCTGTGGTGTAGGCACTATGATGGGGGGCGAGGGGGGGTACACGGTGTGTCCTTGGTAGTAGGACGGACCAGCTGTGGGGACGGGAGCAGGAACCGAGGGAGAGACAGGCGGGTGGTACCTGAGGGGATCTGGAGGGAGTCAATAAAAAAAAATAAGGGAGGAAAAACAAAGGAATTTGTACAACATTGTTAAACACAAGGCCCCTCAGACGAGAGTCAAATTGGATTTTAAAAAGTGACACGATACTGTTGTGCTAAGGACTCACGATATGGGGCAGGGTATTCCCCCGGACCTGGACCGGGATAGAAGGTGCCGGTCCCTGGAGGCTGTACAGAATACTGCTGAGGAGGCCCCACGTAGGGCGTACTGTGGCGATACTGCAAGCAGGGGGGGCAGAGAGACACACCGCTCAACACACCAGACACTGTACAGACTTCTGCAATCAGTGGTGATCAGTTTGGCGGATACGAACTCTTTAAAAATTCCGCCTCGAGCAGTGTTATGACTTGTATTGCTAAAAGTAAAATATATGCAGAACCAGCTCCAAACGGAGTTTTATATCTGTAGTCGGTCGCAAAACAATATATTTGCAGGTGCCTCTACAACAGAAAACGTATATTAAAAAAAAGGTGCGGGAAGTGAGATATGGACTGGTGTAGGACCAGGAAAAATAGTGCCTCTGGTACATGAAAGGAAGAATTCCACTTTAAGGGAAATTCCTTATTTTTCCCTTGCCTAGAGTTAGATGAGCAGCTTGACACGAAGTGTAAGGCCTACAGCCAGCAGATGGTTAGCTTAGCACAAAGAATGGAAACAGCTAGACACAAAAAAATGTAACATCTGCTTCCAGGCACTTCTGGAGCTCCCTGAACACACCATTTCCAGGTTGTTAAATTTGTACAATACACTTTTTACAGTGCAATAACTTTCGGGAAAGACCGATAAGAACGGAAGATACGAGGCAATTAACTGCTGCTTCAAATTTAACAGAGTCATGAGAGCGATAAGCGTCAATCTTCTTATCCAACTTCTTCCAAATCAAATGACTTTCAAATGAATTCCTCACAATGTTGAACTGACGCCAATCAGTTCAGTCTAACAAGTACCTGCTGCAGGCAAAGCAGTATTCAATAAACTATGAAGAAAGATCAAAACCAATGGAGCAAAAAACAGGACACACGGATATTTTTTACATGTCACATGAAGATAAAAGCGTAATGGTTCGATGCGCGTGCGCCACCTGTGGGATGTAGTACTGTGCAGCCTGCGGGGAGGGGAAAGGCATGGGGGCCATGGCCATCATGATTGGTTGGTTGGTGGGGTAGACGGCCGCTGTGGGGGTCTGGGAGCCGGGCCGTAGGGAGGGCGTGTTGGTGGCCATGGTGGGCCTCGCAGTCTGCATCTGAGTCCTCTGGAAAAACTGTGGTGTCGCGTGCGAGAAAAAACCAACACAACACATTAACCACGGCGTCCCGGAGGCAGCGCACTCATTTCCACACGCTGCCAAGCTTTATCGAAAAAAACACAAAAAGAAAAGCACAGCTTTTCAGATGTCTTCACTGGTTGGGCTGCACATTTCTCAGTGAGACACACGCCGGTTTTATCTGCAGCTTGGAAAAAAGAAAGAAAGAAAAAAGATCCCTCAGCCTGAACTCTTGTTCAGGCACAGGATTTTCAGGCAGACATGCACATTCTTATATTAGCATTGAATGCCTGTATAATCAAACCATAGATTACAATATTATTACTTTATCTTGTATTGTAACTGACAATGTTAAATTAATCAGATAAATGACATCTGCAAAGTGGGCAGCGAATAGTGAATATTTCCCCCGATAATCATCAATTAAACAGAAGCTCTAAAAGCATGATTAATTTATACCAAAATACAATTTGGGAAAAAGGAAGCCACGGCAAATTACCGTCAATGTAGTGCAGACTGAAGCTCTCAATTATTGTAAACATCCGCAATATGCTCCGCATAGATCACAAAGGTCATTATGATTTATGGTTATTGAGGGTGTGCGAGAGCAATACAATGATTGAAGTTTCCACTGACTCAACAGAGTCTGGCGATAGAGCTTCTGTGTTTTTGTCCTTAAAGGACCTCTGTGGTATCTTGACCTACATTCTTTTCTTTTTTTACACAGGGAGAACTTGGAGTTTAAAAAACGTGGTAAGCCACATATGTGCGCTCATCTAAAGATGTAAACAAAAGCAGATTACTCTGCACTTTTCTTTGTTATTAACTTTTCTTGTTTGTCATTGCATTACTATTCATGTCAATAGTCATTGCTGAATGCTGAACGCTGTTACAGGTTTTCCCCTGAAGCCTGGTGCAGTTTGCTGAACTCTAATTCAGAGTTTCTACACAGTGATATTCCACAGCTAAACACACACTGGTCCACGGTAGAGTTTCCCCACGGGGGTCATGGGGGGGGGGGGGGGAATCGGCGAATAAGCAAAAAAGGACATCACATTATCGTGCAGATAAGCTAAAGGGGAATTGTGCGTGTACATTCTTTGTAGATGGTATTTGTTTTTTGTTTTTTCTCCTTTTCTCACCAGTCTTTCTAAACCGTAAATGAGCTTCACCAGACTCCACAGCTGCAGAAAAAAATAAGATGTCTTGAAGATGAATTGCTTCAAATACCTCCTTCTTAAGGCATGTCCAACTTCGCAGTCACCGCATGTGACGAACGCGTCTCTTTATCAGACAGCAACACGGCCTTTTTCTCACGCGTCTCACAGAACTTTGAAAATGTCCTCGTAGAGACTGCAGTCTCAATCTGTTTAAAGTTTAATATTGGGAGGGGCTCTGTGGAGAGACCACCACCAACAGCTGTGACTGACTTCCAAAGAACAACAGGGCTGAAGCTGGGACGACGCAGCCACGGACACACTGTGCTCCGGTGAGGGAGCGCAGAGTAAAAACATCTAAAAATACCCTGGAGGGGAATCACTTTCAACAGAAGAAAAGAGCTGAAACCTGTTCATTATGACCGTCGTAGTGAAATCACTGGCAGGGCAAAAAAGAAAAGAAAAAATGAGTTGACAGACAAAACAACTTCAAATCTGTCAACAGAAAAATCCCTTTGAAACAATAAGAATGCTCTCCAGCAACGTTGAAACCACGAGAACGCACAACAGGCGTCTAGAAAGTAATATTAACACATTTCCAATGGGCGACAAACACAATAAAGCGACGCTTTCATTCTGCATGCCGTTTGAAAAAACTGCAAGCTAATTAAAGGAGCTAAAACTACAACATTATGACGTGAAAAGTGAAGTAATACAGGATAAAAGACTAGAGTAATGAAGGATGATGATAACAGACTTTGCATTCGGTGCGGAGAAGATGAGGGTGCACAGGGTTAAAAGTTAGGAGGGATGGGATCATTCCGGAGCGATCCCCATCATGCCATGCAGGTCTGCAGAGAGAGATAGTTGTAACAGAGGTTAATGTTACCTGGATGGGCCTGAATCCTCCCTTGAGTATTGAAAGCAGGAAAGAGAGAAAAGCCAATGGGAGACCGTACAGGTGAGACTCGATACAACAACAAGCGGGCAATGATGCTCCCACACACATTAAGGCACAGCCCCACCCAATTATTCCCATCCACCTGACCCCGCGACTGATCCCGAGCCACTTGCATCGGCGGAAATAACTCGTGCAATAGAAAGACCTTCACAATGAGAGTTGGTTTATCTTTGAGTTTACAAGTCAACGAGGACATATCACATCAGCGTTTGTACATCGCCGCGGCACAACATGATGTCCGCAGGCACATCCTCTCCCACTTTCCCGCCACGCGTCGGTTCCTTTGTCAAATTGTAACCGTAGACTGAATCAAATATGGATGACGTCGCCCGTATTCAGGTCCATAGTTAATGCTAAGCTCAATGCGCTGACTGAGCCAAGTGGCTGAGGAAGTGGGGCGCCGGTGCAGTTGTGTCGGGCCCAGCTAGCGGCCATGGCCACCTGGGATGACACCCACCTTCAAAGCAGCCACGCCCCTTGTTATGTAAGCCTTAAGAGAATTGATAAGGGTGTGTCGATTGGCTCCCCTATGGAGAGCGCCTCAAGTGGCCGTTAAAGGAAATGCAGTTTAGCCGCTTGCGCGTAACAGAGCAAACATTTAAAGCTAAAAGAAACGATTTACACTCTGAACGATTGCGACGATGCTCGTGTTTAGACGGATTCACGCTTCAGCTCCTCCCCCCCCGCCGATCTCTACGCACCCTTTTCTGTGAATTGAGTGTGTTTCAGGGGGGACAATGGCCGTTTTCACCATAGACATAAAAGGCTACTGTTCGGCTTTAACTGCCATCCAACCCCACTTCCGTGGTGGCACAAGAGATCCCAGCGCCGGTTTGTGACAGCCAGAGAATGCACTTGTATGCACGCACGCATGTGCACACTAACCAGGGCAAACACATCCGACTTTGACAGCGCACTATTAATAGTCCTGTCAGAATGTGTCCACACATAAGCATTGGGAAGGTGAGGACGTTGGACAACGGTTAGACGGGCGCGAGGTGTGAATAACACATCAATCAGAAAAGTGGGCCGCTGCGAGAATCGTTATGCCGAGAATCAACAAACAGAAAAGAGATAAAAGGAAGTCCGACGGGTCGGATGTCAGCACTCAGACACGTCGATGAATGTTAGCGTCCACCAGCGAACACGCACAGACAGCCAAGTAAAAACCGCACAGCCTCCCAGACATGAACACATTAACATAACCTTCATAATCCAGAGTGAAACCGACACGAGTGTCTGACACACAGACGCACACTCTGCCGGTTGGGTTCTTTGGGTTCTTTGTTTGACTGCGGTCCACTTAGAACACATTATGAAAGAATCGGCATCCTCAAGGAAAACTAACCTCAAAATGAGCATTTGTGTATTAATGACTTGCCCTGCGTTACCTCGGTCTCGCATGCCCACGGTGAGCAAAGAGTATGAGAACTGAGATGTGCATTTGTTTGAAGGAACGTATCTACATGAAAACGTTCGTTGACAAACTCCCACACTCCTGCAGTCCAACCAGACTCGTTCACCTGGAGCCACGGGAGGAAAGAGAACACGGGGCGAGTGATGGATGTACAAATGGTCAAATAGGGGTGAAAAAATTCAATTGATATGTTTTTGTCCATCTGGTCTTGTAAATGCGTTTGAAGAAATCTAGACCACACAATTCTCACTCAAACCTTTATAATGATCTAACAATGTAGACCGCTGACTTTTCATTATCAAAACCATTTCCGTTAATTAATCAGTTGGTGAAAGCACCACCTGATACTCACCCTGAGTATCCGGTTTGAAGACACCATATTGCATCAACCGGAAGTGCAGATATTACGTTGCTCCTATAACGTAGCTTCTCTCCCACCTCTTCTTCCACGAGCAACACACTTTGGCATCGTCACACCAGTTCAGAAAGTCATTCCCTCTTTGGTGAAGCGTAATAAATATCAAGATTGTTATCTTGTCAATCTTATTAACTGCCTTAGCGTTCCTGAGATAAAGATATGAACTGTAAGGTGATTCCCGATCGAACCCTGATGAGGACTAATAAATACCGATTCAAATCTGGGAATCAGCTAAAAAAAAAAAACATGAATAGTGTAAAAACACACATCTGTAAACTGCCCTGCACACCTGGCTAGATAGCTTGATTACAGCACACTCAGCACCCCCGCCCCCCCGGAATGATAATCAAAAAAGCTCTTTAACTCCATCCAGGACACTTAAAGGCTTTCAAAAATCAGGCAGCTTTTTTTACATTTCTTTTTAAGGAACAGCAGACATCCCATGAACGGCCCTTTGAACAGCTTTCACGGTGGTGCAAGAGAGGGAGCAGGAGGGCTGATCAGCGGGGGTAAATTACCTGATGGTGGGTTGGTCGAGGGCCCGTGGCAAACTGGTGGGGGGAGGGAGGAGAGGTCCAGCAAGGCGATTGAAGCAGGGATGGCAAAGCGGGGGGAGGGGAGAAAGAGCATACAAGAGACACGGACATAAGATGAGGGCAGATGCTTGAAACAAAAACTGAAAAGAACATGGTATAAAACCACACAGCAACAAAGCTTAGCAGACACTCTATATCTCTAATATCGTACAAATGTATTATTATTTAGGTGGAGGCTTCAAATAACCCCAGAGGGCTTTCTGCCTGCACTGGATTATTATTCATCTTTAATGTTTGTGCAAAAACATAAAACTCATTTTTATGTTGTGAAGCATACTGCAGTGGCATGAAATGCATCTACAGTTTCTCGTGTGGTGAACCTGCAACTGTAGGCACGCAGAAAAGGAGACGTATGCATGTGCATGCGCACAGACCGAGAGGTCTGACAGCCTCACTCTGCTGGTGGGGGCTGGATAGGAGCCAGGCAAGATGAATAATTAATGCTTCCTGCAAGGTGCGTGTGTGTGTGGAGTGAATGCTGTCAATGTAAATGTAATATATTATTACTAGGCTTGTTGTGGAGGGAGGTGATCTTTAAACCGCTCCACTAAAGCAACACTATGAGAGAGCAGCTTGACGTGACACACACATTCCAACAAACAGACGATTTAAACTACATCAGACACCACTGACACAAGGATTGACCTTTTAACATTTACTTCTAGACTCGCGGCCTATCCGACACCACAACGGGCCTTAGAGAGAGGAGACCTCGGTAACGAGACGGAGCAGATTGGGACGCGTGTGTGACTTCGTAACGCCACACAAACGGAGGCAGGTGCGGCGCGAATGTACGACCCGAGGGACACTCACCGGGCGGCTTTGTGGCTGTGCATTCATTGGCTGCGTCTGGGGAGAATACACGAGCGGCGCGGAAGCAGCGTTTTGTCCGGGGTTGTATGGAGACTAAAAAGACAAAAGTAGAGGGTTACCTTCAGAACGGGAACTGTGCAGGGATCAAGCCTTTCATTTAGACCCCGACGACACCCTTAGCAACACCAACGTCCTCTGAATGCTGCTGGGAGAAAATTTGTTTTCGACTGGGATTTGCATGCTGACCAAAGATAACTGGTACCCCGAAGGACTGAAAATCCTCCTTTGCTTTACTCCTCATCGAGTGCGCAGTGGAGCTGGGTTTAAGTAGATCTTCCTGCTCTTCTCCAAGCTGCTGCTGCTGATAATTTAAGTCAGTGCTGACATAATGAGCAGAGACCAGTGTGGGTGAGGCAGTCGGACGTACCGGTAAAGTGAAACGACTACATTCCCTGAAAGCGTGCTCACATACTCTAAAAGGAGGAGAGTCACGCAGTCGACATGCCTGCACGATCGGAGAAGACCGCAGCATTGTCGACTCGTGATTAACCCTTTAAATAGATCGAGATGTGTGATCGGATTTATTGAGGCCTTTGGGGAGCCTTTCTCCCCATGTGACCAGGCCGTTGCTGTTTTCCTGTCCTCTGATTGTCCTCATTGTCCCGTTCCACCTCCATCACATGTGTGTGGATCTCACTATAGATATGGACGGAGAAGGAAGTCCCTATCAAATGAACCCTTAGCTGACCGCCTCCATCAGCTTTATTAATAAAAACTGAAACTAAATGCAAGCTTATCCGGGTTTGAGAGAGTTTAAATCCACATCTCCCTTCATTGTATTTCCAATCTCGATTAATCATTTCCCAGTTTGCCCTTTGAACGCAGCTTTTACCCAAAGCAACAAGGTCTTCACATGACTTGCAATGTTATAGTGATGATCCTACTACAATAGTTAAGAGCAGACGTACATCCTGAAGGATCATACAATAAGAATAATGGCCTTATGGTGAGGCTTACGAGGCCTGCTTGTCTGTAGAAGAGGCACCAGTGCACAGATATTCTTTAATTACTCCACTGGTTAACCGTATGTTCCTCAAAAGAATATATTTTTACAGAAAGCAAAAATCAAAACACTTAGTAAAAGGAAAAGCAAAAGACAGATCAAACACGAAGAGGGGACGACGCGGACGCACTGATGAACTCACCCCTCCGCCTGCCTCCCAGCCCTTTGGGTAGCGATACGGGGAAGCTGTGGGTAGTGATACCTGAGAGAGCGCTGGGGAGTGGGCATGGCCGGGTGGGGTGCCCGCCAGGTTCGGGTGTCCCTTTGAGAGGTCGTGAGCAGTGTACGGAGGGCCAGCATGCCTCGGTACCTGGAATCACGTAAAATCAGATTAGACCCTTAACGAGACATCGTGGCAGACTGACTCACACACACTCACACACACAAAAATAATGTTGCTGGGGAGGAACAGAAGAAGCAGAATTCCACAGGTCATTAGTCCTCCCTCCTGCTGAGGAATGTAAATTAAGCCCCACCAGCTCTAGGATTAGCCCCGGTGAATGTGTGCAGAGGTGGAGACCTGCGCTGTGGACGGACGTTGGAGCCTGCAGAGGTTGGCCGAGACCGACTGAGGCCTCTGCTGCAGCCCGATGTGCTCGACGCTGCTGCGCAGGAATGTCTGGGCCCCATGTGGCAAAACTGGGTCAAGTAATCATGTTACAACCCCATTCATCTGTGCTAAATAGAGTGCATCTAATACAATAGATACAAGCGAGTCATGCTAAACGCTCCTCGCCGATGTGGGCCAGCAAAGCGGCTGATGTTCGGCACAAGGCGACTGAGCGGCATCGTCGTGGGGAGAGCAGATTGGACTCAGCGTGTGGTGTCAGAATGGCCCTGGGCCGCTGCAGCTGTGGGCTGGCACAACTGCAGGTGCTGCTTGTTGCTGCAGCGAGCCTGACACACCAGTGAATGAGCCGGGATACTGCGGGAACAAGCTGGAGGCTCTGAGACGGGCTGGGAAGCTGCTCAACCCACCTCTTTTCGCCCCTTGTTTTCCCTCAATGCTACACACCCTGGCCGTGGGAGCTTTTACAGCGCCAAGAATATAATCACATCATGACATCATATTCACATCCAAAGGAAGGACCGGCAATGTTCTGCACAGCTTCTATTGTACCGATCCGCTCGGCTCCTCTCCATCTTCTATGTATGGCCCACTTCCCCGACATGACCTGGGATAAAGCAACTAATCTAGCCGCTGTTGCCAGGGGAGGAGCGGCTGTGCTCCGGGCGGGTGACTGATTCGGAGGACATACACAGTGATGGAATGGGGGAGGGGAGGCGAGCGGCTGTATAGGAGCTGTACATGAGGGGAAGGGGGAGGAGAAAAGAGAAGGAAAAAAAAGCCTTGCATCCACTGCAGAGAACGACCGTTTCACGCCATAGGCACGGTTTATTTCTGCCAGTGTCATCATTGTTACAGTCTCATGCCTTAAAAAACGAACTTCCAGAGCCAGAGATAAATAATAAAATGAAATAAAACTGTACTGTTGTGTTACAATGGGTAAATAAGATTGCAGCTGAATTGCCCGTCCTTTGGTGGCTTTCCCTGTTGAATGTGCAGCGGCCTTCTGCACCTCCAAAAATCACTGGATAACGTTGCATTTGTGGTGGCAAAATTAGCAATGCAATTGTTTACCACAATGCTCCTTAGAGTAAAAACAAAAAGCATGATGGGGCTGCCAATACTTTCCACGACAGTGTTGGTTTTCTATTCTGTAAGCTCAGTTCATTTTGCGAGAGAAAGAAAAATCAATGCAATGTGAAGTGGAGAGGGAAATCAATACTCCGTTCTTTTAATTTCTGTACTGACTATTTAATAGCAGGACAGCCACTAATCAGTATCTGACAAAGCCCTCTAAAAAAAACCCTGCTATCCAGATAATGCACATTTGCCTATCAGAGGAAGGCGAGAAGAACGACCGAGCAAAGAACTGTGAGTCTGCGAGCAGCAGTGCTCAGCGTGCATGGGTGCATGGCACCATGCACACCTACAGATGGAAAGGAGGAGTGAGGAGAGAGTGAGAGAGTGCCATATCGGGGTTGCGTTTGTCTTCCGGGGGGATACAATAGGTGTGGCTGGTCACACTGACTAAACAATAAATGCAATACCAACGAGACATTTACATTTGGGATCTTTTTTTCTCCCTGGAGCCGCTAACTGAATTTTGTGCTGATTGTCACGACAAAGATCTGGTACAGGAAATGTTAATAAACTCCCAAAGGAGACCAGGAATGGCAAAAATCCCCTGAGGTGACAATGTTAACAAGCATGCCTTCTTCTTTATGGAATAACAAACACACACACACACTCAAATGCATGATCACAGTGCCTGTAAAAGCTTCTCAACATCTTGCAGGGATTTGTTCACATTTAGAGTGAATACATCAATATTTAAATTGCATGAACAAATATAAAAAGGAGGGCCAAGTCGTTTTACAGGCACTGCCATCTTGCACGCTAGCAAACCACTGTGACATTTAAACTCACACACACACTCAGTTGCCAGTTTATCAGGTACACTTGAAAACGAATGCAATAAATCCTACCTTCATAAAGGTTAAAATGTTCTTAGGAGGAAACTGGTGCGTTTCTCCTGCACTGAACTTCAGTTGGCCGCTCTGCCTCAAAAAAACGGCAATGTCTGTGGCGCTCTGTGGTCAGGTCAAAAACAGCAGAAAGAATCACCTCACATGTTGATGGCTTTTAGGGGGCACGAAGCCTACATCACAGCATGATTATGATGGTTGTGGTTTTCTGGGAGAGGATCTTCGAATATTTCGTCCACCGTTTTCAACGCGGGTAGACTAAATATTAGAAGCACTTCTCAGAACGATGCAATGCAGTTCAAAGGGTTGAAGAATGACGATGAAGTTAAATCAACAGTTGAAACAAAGACTCAACATTGCAACCTTTAGGAAGGTGTTGCATGATACTGCAGTTGGTCTAGCCAGGGCAGATATACCTAATAATCTGGCAACTGTGTTGTATTTGTAATGGTACATTTGTAGACCAAGTGTTTGCAAATTACATAGAGTTGTGTTATTTTAAAAATAGTTTGTGTGTGTGTGTGTGGGTGCGTTCTGTATCTGAAGTGTGTATTTGCTGTGCATACAGGTGAATGAACACGGTTAAGAGAGGGGCTGTGTGCCGGGACTCACGCTGTACACTGAAGCAGGGAACATCCGGTCGTCCAGCGTTGGCTGAACCCGCGGGATTCTGCAGAGGGCTGCGTTAAGGAAAAAGGAAAGCGGCTGCTCGCTGCGTAAGAGTCACTCGTCCGAAAACATTCCCATCATGCTTCGTGGATTTATGCGAGAGACACCGTTATGTATGGCTGGATTATAATTCAATTGGAACATTTATTGTGATGAAAGCACATATTCAGACATGGTGACAGTGACTTCTATTGAATTGACAAAAACTAACTTAAATGTCAAAGAAAACTGGAACATGTTCTTAAGTTCTTAATATGATGAAAATAGGTTTTACTTGTCAAGTATTTCAGGTTTATTAGTTACTAAACCACATGAAGAGACTCGATGTGGAAGTTACTCGTTCAGCATAACCACTGACATCCCTGATTACTTCATTCCACACTTCCATGTTTTCATTCGCTGGTTCAGATTCAAAGAGATTTCCTCCAGCCTTGATGGCTCTAGTTTCATTTCAAAGATCCCCCAACCAGCAGGCCGAAATGCCCCCCTCTCTGAGAGTACACTGTGTACCTTCACCAGTTAACAGTGCTAGAGGGAAAATCTGAAATGGATTTCTGGTCCACTCTGGGCAAAGGGATGGCCAGAGCAGGAAACGAAAGGCAAATGAGCATTTAGAAATAAGAAAATACGTTTGATTCACGGTTCCTTCTTATGATTGATGAGAAAAAAAAAGAAAAGGCCTGTCACGCATCACTAATTCTTCAGGCTCACTTTGAACCGAAACCACAGCAGAGCAGAACTATCTTGAAGTTGATGAGTCACAAGCCGTCACTTAGATGTTGGAGGAGACAGACGAGGGGAATGTGAGGAGTGAAGCCCTGTGGTTTGTAACCTGCTCAGTCAGTTGTCTGTGCGTGTGTCACACACACACACACACGGTCACATGGTTTAAGGGAAACCAAACGTCTGGCTTTTTTTCCTTCCTCCTGAGGGAAGTGTTAGGCAAGAAGCATGTCGTCAATGTGTTGTCAGATTCTGACGTATATTAAAAGTTAGGTTTAGAACGGCCACATTCAAAAGGTGCAAAGGTGGAATGAAAAGCCAGCTGTCAGGTGGGAGGGGGGGGGGGGTAATCAGCGCAGGAAGAAATTCATGGTGTTTCAGATGTAATAAATAAAGAAATAAAGAAAACAAGCGGGAGCTCTGAGGCTGTGCTCTGGCTTTAAACCTCCCCTGTGCGAATGCCTCGAACCGTCCAACAAGCTGTTCTGACCGAGCGAACTGGCCCTTTAAGCCAGTTGACTCCCCTCTCTTGCCGGCGGGGGCCTGCGGGAGGCCTCGTCTCTCCTGGCCCCCTGCCAGCGCCACAACCAGTAGCCAACAACGACGGCGACTTAAGGAGAGAAAATAATGATTTGGAAAAAAAAGGGCCCAGACTCAAAACGCAGGCGGGAAGCATAATCTTCTCCCCACCAACCACCATCACACCAAAATGGAGAAATTGGGAATAATTAGAGGCCTCTTCACAAGTGACCGAGGAGGAGCACAGCAGTACCGTGGGCAACAAAGTATTAACACCAGCACCGGCCATGAGACATCCATGGAACACGACGCACATCATCGCTCCTGGTCAGAGGGGCCAGTATGTGGTGCATCCACTGCCACACAAAATGATGAACCGCAAAAAAAGGGAGGGAGGGGGGGGGGGGGGGGGAATCATACCTGGGGTTTCCTGATCCCCCTTCCCTAACCAACTGGTTGAACGCTTATGGTAATCGAGGGAAATAAAGGAACGAGATGAACCTTTGAAAAAAGGTTTCTAACTGCCCGGGGGGTGGGGGGGGGGGGGGGCAACACCACCGCCTGGAGGTCGGGGGCTGTTCTCAAGGGCGGGAAAAGCCAACGCAGAGATTATCGGGTTCATCGAGACTCTTGTAAAAAACAAATGGTGTTTAAAAGGCGGTGAGCAGAACTCTGTGATCTCAGGAGAACACATGTAGTCCCAGAAGGATGTTGTCACGACACAAAGTAGTTTGCGTACTGTTTGAACACTTGTGTCGAGCCTTTAAAAGGAAGTATCATATCATCACAAGGGGCATATTATTCTAAAGAAAACGAGATCCAGTCTTGCTTTTCCTCTGGATAACGTCTTAATAAAATGTCACTTTGATATCAATGGACGTCTAGACGGCTAGAAATATGATGCAATATGATGCATTTTTACCGCTTCCCCAAATCGTATTCACTGCTCTTGGTGAAACGCACGCCAATATGGGGGGGGCCAGGTAGCCAGATGGATGCAGAACACAGACACTTTTCAGTCAAGCTCTTCAACATCCTTGTAAGTGGCTGACGGCACTAATTGGATATCAGCCGTTTGTTTGAATTTCCATTCATTTTCTGCTTGAGGGCAAGCGCAATGTCGACCTTAAAGACCTACAACAGGGACACTGCTCCAGGGAATAAGAGCGTCAGCGGGGCTGAGTAATTACCTGCGACACTAAATTAAGCCAATGGGGAGATTGACATTTGACCCTCACATCGACTGAGACGAAATGAAGTGTTCAGATGAGGGCGGATTTCAACTTCCCATCAAGCACAGCAGCTGTTCAACACTAAAAGATCCTTTGAAGGTAAGCGTCGAGGACGCGTTCACATAGGGCCTCATATTTTAAAAAGGGATCTTCCGTCCCACACACAGAAAAGGAGACTGTGGTCTAAGGCAAGACGTTTATTTGACCCCGACGCCTTGTCCCTCGACTCCACAGTGACCTGTAAGCCTGATTTGGGGTTGGGGGGGCATTAGTGGCTTTACAGTAAAGCCACTAATGTGCTGATTCCGCGTGACGGGCAAAAGACGGGAGGAAATACAGCCTAGAAACCAGCAGGGGTGTGATCCAGACGATGATACTGCCCTATAAACCGTAATCTGCAGTTACTGATTACATTAATGAATCACCGCAGTGTATTTAACAATCTCACCCGTGAACGTGCCGAGTGACTCGTTCAGGGGAAAGAGGCAGGAGAGGGTCAGCGTGAGAGAGGCAGGCTCAGCAGAGTTAGCTGCTAAGTCTACAAATGCTCCCTGAAATCAGAATGTGCCATCTAATAAAAACACACAGTCAACTGACGGCGAACAAAATAGCCTTGTGTCACATGATACGGCACACGTTAAAAAAACTCCACGGTTTCTTTGAATGGCACCAGTTACCTGGACATCCCAGTGCAGCAGAAAGGGGCACATACACACACACACACACACACACAGCTGATGCTGCACTTTCACTACAGTACAAACGCTGGCTGTAAGGTTGGTGGAATCAAACCCAACAACCCAAATCTTAAGCAGCAGCTCTGCAGCAGGAGGCAGATGCACAACACAATTACTGAAAAAAAAAAAACAATTTCAGGGATGGATACAGTTGTATCGAATGTTCTTCCTCTACCGAGTGAATCCTCATTCAAGTTGCCAATTGCTTTGAGTTCCAATTACTGGAAGTCCTTTGATCGTGATAAAGTAATGCTAGCATGCCAAATATCTTTAAAGCCAGAGACAGATGTGCATGGAAAAAGAAAAGGGGTTTCTATTCATTTATTTGGAAGTTGCCCCCATAAGATCGCATACATTGCCCAGGCAGCGTGTCCTGGTGTCCAATGGGGAACGACCACATAGGGTAGTCTCACGGAACGCGGATCTTATCAATTAGTCGGGCAGAATGCAAGAGGACTTTCCGTCGTTGAATTTTGAGTTTGATTTTGCTTGGAGACCCTGCGGCACTGAGCAGTAGTGGGAAGCAGCAGCCAGGAATCCACGCCGCCTGCTTACTGGTCTATGTTTTAAAAACCAGCAGAAATGTTATGTCTCTCTGTTTACTGTTCACAGTACTCAACCCGTTTACACTGCACACAAGTAGTGTGTTCTAAACTGCCTGTGCAGTAAGGTAGATGAACTCCTGGACACAAGTGTTAGCGCGGTATAAGACGTAGCACTACTTGCTGACGTGTGGATGGGAACGTTCTGGGTCTGCAAACACACACCTCACTGTAAATACTGAGTATCCAAAGATCAGTCAAAATGCAATGAGAGTATAATCATTATATATATATATATATATATATATAATGAGACAATTCTGCTGGTTGTGTCAGAAAAAGAAAACTTCATCGGCAATTATGTGGAAATGTCACTTGAGATAAAAAAAAGTGTTTTGACAGCGAGCCGAATGTCTTCCTCTGCAGACCACTCCCTCTCTGGAAAGAACAATCCTGCATGCTGGCTCATAACAACTCAGCAGTTTATTTATAACATCCCACAGAGTACGCTCATGAGAATATCTTGATCTGATGCGGGCGGCACACACCTGTCCTGTAGCGCAGCAGTACGGCGGCGAGAGGCAGAGCGGCCGGGTCCGCTACGCAGCTCACGCCGGCAGCACCTGCACGTCTGGCTCACCGCTTACGTTCATACTTCACAGTCAACTGCTCTCTTCCTTTTGTCCAAACAAACACTGACCTTGACGACAAAGAATTGAAAAAATAAAGAATAGTGAGAGAGAGAGAGAGAAAGGAGGGCAGCCTCTTCAAAGGGAGAAGAAAGCACTGTACCATGAAAGCGGAGGAGTGGGAGGGAAGGGGGTAAATGGGGAGAAAGCCTGGGTTTTCTCAGCTGGACCAGCAGCAAGGCGAGGTGAGCTGTGGGGGGAGGGAAGGACGACGTGAGAGGGGGAGGAGGGGAGGTGTGAGAGGGGGGGGGGTTGAGGCAGCCTGGGTGACCTGGGCCTTTGTTGGCAGATGGTGGGAAGCGCCACCTTGGCCTCTCGCTCTGAATGCTAAGCAGCAGCGCCATTGTCTGACAAGTGCAGCAGCAGACGCATGTGCTGGGTGTTTCTCTGGCAACTGGGGAAAGAAACAAACTGCCCCCCCCCGTTCTCATACACGCCTCGCCCCCTGCTTCTTTGGATCCCTGTGCACCTCAAGACTCCACAAACACACATGCCAACATTCGGCATACACCAGGAGCATAGCGTGAGTGTCCTGACCTCGGAGGGCTACAAAGAGGTCAGATGATTGGCGACACTCAACAAGGGTCTGCTGTCATACAGACATGGAAATCAAATGTCTTGCGGAGTAACCGGGGGTCCTGAGACCATCACAGGGAACTACAAGGAGCTCACGGGACGAAGCAGGCCAATTTGACTTTCCTGCAAATTCATCATTTGACGTCAGAAGGAACAATTCAGATTTTCTTTTTACTGCCACGTAATGTACAGACGGTTTCCAAATGCTAGAAAAACAATTATATGGTATTGTAGTTAAAATCATTAAATTAAATTCAAAAGTATGACAACGTACAAATCAACCAGTCAGTTGAAACAATGCTTTTACAAAAAACTAAAATGATTAACTTCGTAAAAGTAGAAAGGCTTATTGCACAACTGACTCATTGGATTCAATTCAGCTGGATGAACCCAATGAACTGGAACAGTGTCAGTCAATAAGTTTATTTGCCTCCAAATCCCATGTGGCTAGAGGTGGGATTGTAATGTTATAAAAGCACCTAAAAGAGTATAGGATTATTTTCGATTGAATTTGATTCTGTTCATGATATTATCACCAACCCTTGAATGCATTCTGTGCAACTGCAGTTAAAAAGCCGGGTTAGCTGATGACTTGAGAAGTTTCGTTTTGACACGCTGCAGAAACGAGAGTGGAAGTAACGTGTTAATTGTCGTGCACGGCAGTCTGCCACTGATTTACCCGTGCACCTGAAAACAGGGACACAGTTACTCCTACGTCAATAAACAGCACAAACTCCATAATGCTGAGCATATCACACTGAAAACGTCCATCGATGTGGAAACTAAGCAAGAGTGAGCGAAATAGAAAAAAGGCAAAACAAAACCATTAAAAGCTCTGATCATTAAAAAGAGACACATTTACCATTATTAGTAATGGTTATGTTTTCCTAGCCCTTAAAAAGAGGACAGCAATGGAGTAAATGGAGAGTGTGCACTTCTGTACTCAACTAGTAGGCACTTCACATCTAAAAGTTGGTTTAGTACATTTCAAAAGCCTGCAGAGTCAATTGAGAACATGGCACAACAAATAAAGAGATATTCTGCGTTGCGTTTGCATTGCTCATCCAACTCACAGACAAACGGATGAACGCGACACACTGCGAGCAAAACTTCTCTTGGCCACCGGCCACGAGCGGCTCCTCACGGTCCTTCACAGATGTCACAAACACCGGGATGCTGTGATCGTGGGTGGCGGGGAATCAGGTTGAGACGTAACGCCCCAAAAAGAAAAACAACAACAACAACAGGAGCTGTCAGATCACAAAAAGAAAACTCCCACTTGCGGGCAGGAGACGTCAACCTAATCCCTCCACCTGACACAACGGCCACCATGCTGTAAATAAAACAGGCGGTGACGTAACCACGGAGACTTCACCCACAGTCGGGTAGAGTAACACCGATGCATCGCCGGGTTAAAGTGGGTTTTGGGGGCAGTGACAGTTCAAACACACGAGATTAACCATATTACACACGTAGTGCATGGTGGTATTTGGAGACAGGTGTCCGGGAGAACACCGGTTCCCCCAGCTGATGGTGATTAACCAAACCCGGGCAAGTGGCAAGCTAATGTGTGGCTGCTTATTGAAATACTCTGGCTTCATGACAGCTCACCGGCAATTAATAACAGGCCTATCGAGGTGCAAAGCGACACCTCTTTAAAAAGCATAAGTCGTGTGAAATGGGAAAAAGTAGGTTTCCAATTGCCTCAAAACCTGGCGTGTCACGGGCCAACATACCCCCACGGGGTCATCGCCCTGAAACGGGTAAAGCCGCGCAGGCGTTGCGTTCACGGACTTGTGCACTTGCCATCGAAGCGACCGTTAAATTAGCTGGCCGGCACAGCAGACTACGACAGGCTAATGCGCCCCGCTAGCCAACTGCTGTGAATGAACAAAGCCGGTAACCGGTGTGGGAAGCCCGGTAGCTTGCCGTTGACGGGGCTTTCCCCGCAAAAAATAGCCACACCGCGTCTGTAGTGCACCATTTTTAAATGACAGTCACGTCCAATCACACACGTGAAGTGAATATGCAGCGCAGAGCGAACTCCCGAGAAACCCAACTGACATTTCCGTTAGCTCGGGCAACCGGCGTGATAAGCTAACGTTAGCATACTTAGCTAGCTAATTGTCCCCTCCCCTCCCAGCTCCCTCCAAACGAAACGACCCCCCCCCCCTCCTCCCCTCTACGCCCCACCAAACCCCTGTTACCTACCAAGCAACGGTGTGCGGTACCGTCTTCCACGGGAGAGAAATGCATTAACATCACAAACCGTTTTCCACGTTTCCCCGAGTCAAAAGGATACTGAGGCGGCGGCACAGCGCCGGGCTGAGGAGCTGTTGGGGCTCCCGGCGGTAGAGACACGGAGGTCAGGGTAGCCCGCAGTTGGCTCGACGGAGAGGGGCCACTTCCAGGTCCGCTAACTGCGACAGCGGCGGGTTTGGGCACCACTTTCGGTGGCAAACTCATCGCAAAAAAAAAAACAACAACAACAAATAAAAACTATACCTTAATAAATACCGATACAAACGACGCCTAGCTTGGAGGCATGGAGCAAGCGTAGCAGATTCTTGAAGCAGGCCCCAAATCCCTTTAACGAACCGGGATAACGACGCTCGAATAGCAACACAAACGTCTTTTTTTCATGGAAAGTCGCTGTTCGGATCAGGGGTGCTATTCATGGGGACGGTGGGAGGTTTAGCCTCCCTCGTCCGTCCGGAACCTCAGCGGATCCGGCTCGGTTTCGTTTCCTCCGAAGATCAATAATTCGCCGCGATCTTCAATCCCCTCTCGGCGATCTACCTTTTCTTCTCGGCGCGTATGTTTTCTATCATTTTTTTTCTCACAGAGATGAGAGACTTCGCCAACATGGCGTTGCGGCCGCTTCCAGCAGTCCGGGCAGGACAGATGATTCGGCAACTCTCGGCAACCTACGGATACGCTCGGCCAATCAAAGGACCTACGATCCATGCCTACGATCGGATAGAGAACCGCGCATGGTTCATGTTTTTAGAATAGTTTTTTCGTGTTTGTGTATGTATATAATAAGATATATATTTTTTCTTCTTCATTTTTTTTAATCATTTCTGGATATCAAAGTCCTTAATTCAGTAAATCGTATTAAAGTCCAGAAATTTAAAAAATGCTATTGGCAATTCTCAACAGATCGAGAAGCAAGACATTCAAACTAAATATTTGAATCGCATCTAATTGCCATAATGTAGTATTTTCGATGATTCCATAAATCCTGGTCTGTTTTCTGCACCAGCTGCAGTACTTCCCCGTTGATTTGTGTCATGTTAGCGCCATCTATCGATCTTCTGCCCGCTTCGCATCGTAAAGTCATCCAGGCAATGTCCCATTTATTTCTCCACTATCGGATAAAGAGTTGAAGGTGAAACAACGGGCTGGGCCAGCCGCACGTCTCCGTACGACAACGCACAAGATCGTGAACAAATGGAGGAGACAAAAAATTGGTTTTAAGACTGGTTTTACTATACAAAATAATTTGTGACAAACTCTTACTCACAAAAACAGGTATGGCACATCATAGGTTGGCCTATGACCACGTTCTGGATGAAAAAATAGTTTGCATTTTAAAACGTTATTGCTGTGAATGTCTTAATTCCTCCATTTTGTGTCTGATTTGCTTTGCTTTTCCATTACAGAAATTAAGCCACGGCAACGGGACACAAATATCAAATATCACATCCATATCTCTATAAAACATAAGAGTTAGACCGAAAGGTACGCAAAGTGTTAAATATTGCAATGGTTCAAGTACAACTTGAGTATTAAAACGCACATTATTTAAAACTGTCTATATATTTTCATCAGGTTAAAAATTTGTGACCCCGAATAAAATACAATAAGAAATTGAAATGGGAGAATTCCCACGCACAGTGGAGAAGAAAAGAAAAAAGAACACATGCACGACTTTGTGACCGGCAACTTCACGAAATTGGAGAGTGATTCTCCAATTTTTACACAATTTGCTGGGTTTCCAGTGCCCGTTCATAGTTCTACATTTAACTTCAGAAGTTGGGGAAAGCAGTTTTCTCAACCAACAATCCTTGAGGAGAAGCACTGAAGATTGCAATCCTCCAGTCAGAGCAGGCAAATGTCGTCCTGAAAGCAGTGGCACGGCAGTAAGAGTTTCAGTGGTTCTTCCGTCACTCTGGAGAGAGTCTGTCAATGTGTTCGCCCCCAAACGTCCGTTTCGCTCCTCGCTGATTAACAGCGACGCGGCGAATCACCAGAGCTCGCACTTGTGCTTCGGGTTCATGGGGGCGTCTGCTTTGCAGCCAAAGTGCTTTGAGAAGTCTTGTGAATTGGAGATGGTGCCGATGACTCGAAACCTGGACGGGCTGTGAGGATCCGTGATGACGCCCTCGTGTGAGCTTTCGGGCGTCCTGACTGAGCACCATACCTGCGGGGATCATAAATGATGAATAGACACACAATAGTGGGGATTAGTTTAAGAATTATGAGGGTATTTCCGGAGAGACTAAATTGTTTTCCTCACGCATTATGATTCATTCTGTTTTTATTATGGAGAAAGTTGAACATGAGAGGTGCAAACCTGTGCGAATCCTACAAAAAAGAGCTGGTGGTTGGTCATTCCCAGGGCAGGTAGTGAGGCCTCCTCGCCATTCTTTTCGATCCAGTTCACATAGGCCTTCAAAGCAACAAATGATCATGTTACACACACACACACATGCACTGTTTTGGCTTGTGTTAAAGTGCATCATGATGTATGAGGGAGGGGGGGGGGGGAATAGGAGATCCACTTTGTGTTATTTCCCCAGTGGTTCCCTAATACTTGCATTTGATTTGCTCATCTGCTTCCCAGCTCGTGACCTTTTACAATACATGGAAAGAATGTGTGCATGGGAAGAAGTAACCAGAGGCTGACAAGGCCACTCGGAACCACCACCTGTTGCGTTTCCAGGCTTCGCTGCGAACCAACACAAGCGGCTTTTTCCAAAACAGATGAATGGATGTGACCCCCCGCGACGGCCTGGAAGAATAAACTAATCCGCGGGATTAACGTCCGATCCGCGCGATCGTCTCCTGACCTTCTAGACTGTCCGATCTGCCAACGTAGCCCCCCCACACACACATTCATCACACCTTGTAGGCGGCCTTGAGGCCACCGTTGTCGGCGATGTTCTCTCCCAGGGTGTGCTTCCCATTCAGGGGCTCCTGGTTGATGCTGTAATTGCCGTACTGCTCCACCATGCACTGCGTCTGCTGCTTGAAGGCCTCCACCGAAGAGTTCTTCCACCAGGGACGCAGGTTTCCATCCTTGTCGTATTCCCTCCCTTCGGTTTGAAGTGGGGTGCAACCATTTGTTCTCGGGCCACGTCAATCATTTTGTAACAGAGGAATAATTCTATGTGACATCCTGTGCCAACCAACCTTGGTCATCGAAAGCGTGAGTCAGTTCATGTCCCATGACGACTCCGATTCCACCGAAGTTAAGAGCTCTGCAAGTCATGAAAGAGGACACATTTTGAAAGCGGTTGTAAAATCCACATTTTTTTTTTTTATAGTTCCCCTGCAAATTGTGAAAACCTGAAGCGAGACCTACTTGGGCCAGGAGCGGCTGTAAAACGGAGCCTGAAGGATTCCCGCCGGCAGAACCATCTCATTCTTGGTCGGGTTGTAATACGCGTTCACGGTCGGAGGCGTCATGCTCCACCTGAAAAAACAAACGCCACACGGAAAACACCAAATTCAGAGCATCGCCGCTGACTGCAGATCAAGTTTGAAAGGCATGGGAGCCCCGGTCCGTCCCCTCCCCCCTCAGACTAATTGGAGACAGGGAATCGGTTCAGCGGAGAGAAGTCGTTTCCCTGGGAACAATTGTGGATGGCAGCGGCATTCTGCCGAGTCAGTGTGATGGGAATGTGCCAGCTCGAGGGTCAAACTCACTGGTTTCTGTTGGGAGTTTTCCTCAGCTGGTCCGCGGTCACTCTGGCCGAGAAGTTGTAGTACTGCATGACGTTCTGGAAGTAGAGCTCGGAGACCACCTCAAACTGAAGGGGAGAGGAGAATCGGAAGCAGTGGGAAAATGAGAGTTCAATGTTTCGGTGAGAATAAAGGGAGACGGGAGGGTCGGTTATTCGCTTCCACGTTTACTCACATCATTAAACACTTTGTCCAGCTTTGTGGCGTTCATGATGAACTCCGGATAGCCAACCATGTTGTATATAGCATCTGCCTGTGACAAATAAAACAAAATGAAAACTGTAAAAGACCCATTTTCACACCAGGTGGCAGTGCTGTATTTCTGAGGCCGTTGACGCGTCCCCGCAGCGGCAGCAGGAAACCCTCCCGGGAAAGAAACACACAGCATCTTTGTCCCACCTTTTCTTTTGCTGCTTTTTTTGTCTCCGAGTCCATCCACCTGACATTCCTCAGGCTGTCCTCAAATGCCCATTTAATGTCGCCGACCATCTCTTCCGCCTGAAGCACAGACGAGACAAAAGGCGGTCAGAGACACAGCGCCTCGCGCTGCGGGAGCGGCCCCCTTTTGTCGCTTGTGTGCGCTTACAATGGCCTTGCTGTCCTCGGCGAAGGTGGCTTTGACGAACATGGCTCCCAGGGCGAAGCCCAGGGCGCTGTCCGTGTCGCTGACGCACAGCTTCCAGCGCGGCGTGCAGCTCTGCGAAGTCGACACATCGAGACATGTTCAGGAAAGACGCATCTTCACTTGTTAGGAGAACGAAAAATCTGGTTGGAAAGGGATCTTCTTTCGGTGGGTCACATTTTCTTAAACTCATTTTGTCCCCTGCGGTTAATGACGTCCCACATTTCCCAGAATGAAGGTGGGTGACGTGTGTACGTGGGGGCAACTGCAGCAAAGTCACAATCAGATCCGTTTTCCACGAAAAGGACGTAAGCGGTTCTTTGAATCGGCAACGGACGGAGCGACTAAGACCGTCTCTATTACCTTAGAATTCAAATAACGGATTCTTGGAAGATAAGCGAAGTACAGTAAATCTTGATGGTAAATATTCCCACTAAAGACGAAAGCCAGATGTTTGGGGGTGGGAGGGGGTGGGGGGGTCCAGGCGGAATGGACCTTGACACATTGTTGGTCTTTCTGCTAAGACAACACAGTCCACTTCCAGGCCGCTATTCCTCCTGCAAAGCCCTGAGATGGTTTGGCCAATCTCTTCCTGCTTCTTGCCCCGGTGCATGCTGGGATAGGTGACCCCCACAACTCTGAACATTTAAAATGTCCGGCGCCCTTCATTGGTTTGGTTGTTGGTTTTAAGAAATACATATTTAAGACATAAATGCATCAACTATATCAGCATGGCATTTGGGATATACACAATACATCACATTTAAACTATAACAATTGACTTTAATCAAATGAAGTAGAACACTGAGGCCTTCATTTTCTCAAAGATTCATCTAGAAGAAAATAAGAGACAATGGCTGATCTTTTAGAAATGTGTGACCTCTAAACTCAGTCATTTTGAGACGAAGCCCAGCTGTTATATATATTTTCATTTTGCCAAGTATTTGTGTGTTAAGTACACATCCCCATACAAAACATACTTCACCTCATGTGAAGTATTTCACACAGGCTATTTTTTAAATATTATTATTGAGGTATCCAATAAGATTTAGGCCATACGGTCCACATATCTACTTACATCCATCTACCTTCAAACAATGACTTTACATCTCAACCCTCTCTCTCACAAAACCAGCTAATTCGTTGGCCGCATGTGGGAAAAAACGCCCGTGTATGACTGATGAGTTATTATCAGGTGAGAGGAAGGACAAGGACAAACACGGTTGCAGTGAGGAAGTGAATAGTGTTCGGAGCAAGCGACAAAAAAAAAGGTTGTAAAACGAGACGGAAAAAGAGCTCTCACGCAGAAGACAGACGAACAAAGAGACACCACAGAGACAGCTTGTTATTGCAGCTTGACCCCGGGCGAAAACAAGGCCGAGGGAACAGGGTTTTGTTCAGATAAGGGCGCAGAAGCTCGCTGAGATGGTACAACGCGTTCCTACTTCTATCCACCGTACACTTAAGACAGGACATGTGTCACCGTCTGTGGTTTTCGGTCCATATTTCCTCACTTATCTGTAGCAGCGTGGCTCTGCACACCGAGGCGCAAGCCCTCAGGTATTTATCATGCCGACAGAAAACCAGGTTAGGATCACGTTTGTCCAGAGGACAAATGTCGCTGTGCGCAGCAGATTTCCTCTTTTAAAGCTCTCACCGGGAACATGGAAACCAGGTTTCCCGGATACTTAAAAATAAAGGAGGCAGGTTGTCGGATTTTTCTACGGCTCTTTACACAATACACGAAAAATGTGGCTCTCCTGTCGGTGCCCATTTTCACGTGTTTGCATTCAGTTGAATAAACGAATCATCTTTGTTTAAACAAGAGGTCAAGTGAAAAAAGCTCTTTGAAACAGGCTGTTTGGCTTTGGGCCATTTCCTCTGACAGTATATCCCAACGTCTGAAAAGGCCAAAAAGGAGGAAGAGAACCAACAGCACCGTGAAGATCCAGTTCACGAACATGCCAAAAATACATTACCCGGATGGGCTGCTTAATCCCACCTGTGTGTTTGAATCTATCGGCGCCATGCTGGATTCCATCACTCACCTTCTTTGTTCCGTACATGACCTCAAGGAAGCGCTGCTCCGCGTCCTGGAACCGTTGGTCCAAAATGGACCCCATCTTCCTCACCACCTTCATTATCATAAAGTTGTTGAGTAGGCTGGGGGGGTAAAAAAGCAACATTTTTATGTATTAAACGTGCACACTGATTTATTGCCATACAAAAATGGGTCCAATATTTGCTTTGGAAAAAAATCTAACAAAAATCCGTAGAAAATTTACGTAGTTTTGTCTCACCAACACACTGATTGAGTCATTTTCAAAATGCTAAACATGGCTTTTAGCTGTGTTATTATCTAACGTATCCAAAGAAAATATGAATGTGCGCTTTTAACCGTCCCGACAGCGTTCACAACACTGTCAGACTGGCTGCCGACCGTCCATCAGTACGACCATGCCCCCGAAAGGAGATAAGGAACCCAAGAGTGGTGTCTTCTTACGAGACGAGGAAGCATCACCGTTTGAAACCAGCGGATGAGCTTCTAACAAGTGAATGTTGTGAAAGAGGGTCTTTGGCTCCACACTTGTGTTGCTCAAAGTGTGAACATATCAAGCATTAAAGAGAATCTGACCTTTTATTTGTCTTAGTTATGAGGTCAGAAACCTGCTGCAGGTATTCTTTGGCATAAACCACCACCGGCTCCGACTGGTTGAGCGGCACGGGGGCAAACACCTCTGTGAGATACGGCATCCAGTCCACAGCTGGAATCAGAGTCTGCGAGGACGCAGACAAAACACACACACACACACACATAAACACACACGCTGAGGGATGAACACAACGGTGAACAGTTCCTTTTACATTTTCACCGATTACAGCTTTTCACTTGCAGTCACGACTAAAAGCGTCACAGGCTTCGTTCGTCCGGCGGGGCTCCTACCGTCAGGTCCTTGGCCTCCATCTTATTGTAGATGAGCTCTTCGTCTCGTCTCTCCTCCTGGGGGACCGTGATGTTGGCCAGGTTAGTTTCAAAGTCCACGATCTCGGCCATCAGCGTCCGAGACGTCTCTTGGGCGCCGCCCAGGAGAACCCCCAACTCCGTCAGGAAGTTGAGGTACGCCGTCAGATACTGTGGGCGAGGGTGGTGTCAGGGAGACAAAGTGTGCGCGTGCGTGTTAAGACTGACCACTAAACGAGCAGATATGCAGTTTGTCTTCCCCTGTAGGAACAATATTTCTCCTTTAATATTTATTGACTTTCTTTGCAAACATCAGCAGCCAGACTTCGGGTATCATTGTAACAGAAATTCATCTACTTTTAGAGACTAGACGTGACGAAAGCGCACTTTTTACCTTTTCATTTGCCGTTTGGTTGAGGTAGTAATCCCGGGAAGGAAGCCCCAAGCTGGACTGATCCACCTAGAGTCAAGACAAACGCCAGATGACCTCAGCCTCCGTTTTCAACTCTCACAAACAACCTTTTTGTTTCCGTCCCCGCCGTTGCCAGCGAGCGCGGGCTAAAAGTGGAAGCTTGCTGACGAGACCGTACTCTGTGCCATCGCTTACGCTCTCCGGCTGTGTGGGACCGAGACACCCGAGATAACGAGGGCATTGTCCCCCCCGAGGGAAGCCCGCCAATGAGCGTTGGATCTTAGCTCCGCTCACCTGGATGATGTTACTGTTGGAGTTTTTGGAGTCGGTGCTGACGAACACGGTGAAGAAAGGCGAGGTGTGATAGTTGGCCGACACCATACGCAACACTTCCTGGAAGTTGTTCTTGTCCCAGGGTCCCGTCAGGGCCCATCCTCCTATCTGAAACGGGCAGCGTTTAGGCAGGCGCTCAAGCGACTCGAATGCTTTCTCTGAACAGAAACAAAGTGCGTCTGATGTGTGACGGCTTCGGGGAGTCGGCGTACCTGGCTGATCAGCTCCTGCAGCGGCTTGGCCCCCAACTCCTCAATCTTGACCTCGTTCATGCAGGCCTGATAGTACCGCTGGGCCTTTTCCTCGGCTTTACTCAGACCTTTCATCGACGTGTTTTCTGCCCCCCCCAGATAAAAACACGCGTTTAACTGGGTGCACAAAGCATGGGGGGGGCCTCGAGCGCGCCGACTCAAAACAAGGAGTCTTACCCAGTAAATGCTTCATCGCAAGAATGTTGTGCTCCCACAGGTCGCTGAAAGGTCCCCAGCGGGACTTGCCCTCGGGGAGGGGGTTTTTCTTCACCCAGCCCCCGCAGGCATAGTTGTAGAAGTCGTGGCAGGGGTCGACGGATCGGTCCAGGGCTCTCATCACCGCGCTGGCCACATTAATGCACGGCTCGGTCAGGCACAGGCCCGGGTGAGCTGCAGGACAAGATTTACTTTTTATTTTTAATAGTAGTTAAGGGGTTAATAGTAGTTCATTAACATTTGTTTGCCTGTTATGTTGTTCAAATGTGTTCTAACTGTGTCGTATGTGTTTCATTAAAAAAAGTACAGATGATGATAAAAGGAAAATTGCAAAAAAAAAGTATAAAAGTTGAAAAAAATGGTGTTAGTAGGTATTTACTGCTTATGTACACATAGCTACGCACAAATCTATATTAGATGAACTCTTAAAATGCCTCTCCGGAACAAATTTGAAGTCACTCTTGAAACCCTCGACCTTTGAACAGTAGAGCACATCCGAATACATGTATGAATGCGAGTTTCAGAGCATCTGGAAACTGTTATTTTTTAAGAAGTAACCATCAAGACAAACAGCCCAAAGGGAATATCTGTCTAAATGAAAATCCTTCATAAATCCTTCTCCGAAACGCAAGGCTTGATGAGCTGGTCTTTGTGGGACGCCGTGTCACACGCAAACTATTCACGACTGATTATGTTGATGTCCGACTACTACAGACGAGATGCACGAAGGCTCCCTGGTACAGCGTGAAGTAATTCTCAATTCTTTAAAATTAAACTTTTGAGGTGTACTCAACTGGCCTTATCTGCATTTTTCGGGACGAATGTTTAAAAGGACTACGGAGTGTTTAGAGGACTCCGAGTGCTTGTATAACTCATCATCTAGAATACTCCACACTGTAAAGACCGCGAACATCTGCCCATATAAGGCTTGAAACGGGAAGGAGACCAAGTGACGGGCAGTGATGAGGTTAGCACCCCTCGGAGGATTCATCCTCGCTCCTTTGGCTATTTCAAAGTGTGGTCTGACATGCGGTTCTGAATGGGAGGAAGTGGTATTAGGTTTTTCCCGTGGCAAGTTTGAGGAAACTTGCACGGATGAGACGCCTTTTTCCATAATGAACAGGCTCAAGGGAGAGATTGGGAGTTGTTTTTAGGCCGCTTAGCTGAAGGTGTGGCTTTGGTGTATGAAAGACATGAACCACATATACTGTATTAAATGGGCAAAGCTCCTGCAGTTTTTAGGCCGGGTGGATTCAGGAGAGAAATCCTGAGCACCTTGTGAAAGAATGTAGACTGACCTTTTTGTTTAACAGTAGCTTTATAGACACAACCTCTTTTTTTTATCATTATCAACAATAAGGTCAGGTATAATAGAAAAGGGTTCGGGTCGGCACTTTTTTGCAGAGCGTTAAGACGAAACCGCTGTCACGTCTGCACAGTAATCGTCAAGCTACGGCCAGTAGCCAGTTAGCTTAGCGTAGCATAAAGATTCTCAACAACAACTGCAATTATTCATTCTGAGCTCAACTGCTAGTTTTATATTTGGTAAACCCGTGAGAGAGTGCGTCTAACTGTTCCTCTTAGTCGTTCTCCTTTACTCTTTCCTTTTGAAATGTTGCTGATGTCTTTGATTTGACCAAACACTTTAAAAGCGGTTCCCCTGTTCGGTGCGCGTCGCCGTAGCGTTTAGGCTCAAACAGAAGGTCAAACTCACTCTGTTTGTAAAGGGCGCCGGTTGCGATGAGAGATATGAAGAGGCCCAAAGAGACGAAGCAGACCACGAGCAGCAGCCTCCTCTCCCTCTGCGTCCGGTCCGACCAGCACGAAGGGCCGCGGCCGGGCAGAAGCGTCACCTGCACGCACGTCCACGTCAAACAACGCCATTTTAGAGCGGGTTAACATCTTCAAAAGGCTTATACGCGACTCTCCAAATGACCCCCCCCCCCAAAAAAAACACAGATGACAGGTTAGTTTTCAAAGCACAGTGGCGTCTCTATGGCAACGCCTTCAACCCTCCCTCGCAGAAAAGGTTGGGCGTTCTTCTATTGTTCCCTCACTTCTAGTTTAACAAGGAGAAGGACATTTTTTACTTTGGCCTTCAACTGGGAGAAGAAAATAATCCCGTTGAGCCACATCTGCTTTGTTGAGGTTCACCTGTTAAAGGAAAACTGAGAGCAGCAAAAGAGTGAAGAGCAGAATCCAGTTAATAGATATTCTGCTACAAAGCTCATGAGAACAAAAATACACATGAATTAATGAGTCAGTTGCAGGAAAGTCAGTGGCTGAATTTCTCTTGAATCGCTCATGCAGAGGTTCTTTAACCAGCTGACCTGGTTGCCTGCATGTTATTCTTGTTTCATTAGTTGATGCCAGGGGGGGTTTATTTCCTACTCTATTTCCATTTAGCGCTGCGAGTGTCCCCTCTGTGAACAAATGCCTGACCTTGGACCTCGCGCACATCCTGTGGAAATCAAATACCGCTGAAGTGTGTATATAAGGATCCAATTTACTACAATCAGCGGAGATGAGAGTTCAGCAGTCATACTTAATGTGGCTTAATCGAATGCCAAAGCCACGGTGGGGTGTTGGTTTGAACCTTATCTGAGTTTCTGAGTGGAACTGAAAACATCCAGTGCACTTTCCAGCATGAGCTCATCAAACGCCACCTTTTACGAGCGTCTAAACTCCGGCGAAATGATAGAGACGGAATGGTGTCAAAGGACGAAATCCAAGCACAGTTTGAGCTCTTCAGGTAAACTTTTGGTCAGAACAAAGTATGTGAGGAATGAGCGCACTGATGGATCGCAGCTGCAGAGGTGGAAGAAAAGATCCAAATCTAAAGTGGTTTGCGTCCCTGTGATGTCATCACAACACTTTTGTGAAAGAGATTGTAATCTCAAGGGGAATTCCCCAACGAATAAATCTTAACTAATGATTATTGAGGTTCAGTAATAACAGATGTTCACCGTTGTTCTCCATCCACCTGCTAACCCCAGCTAGCAGGATTGAACCAATGCACGTTCTACTACCTCCACGGAAGCATCTGCGTAGCCTCTGCAATATTTTCTAGTTTATGAGCAGGCATTAAATCTTAAGTCTCACCTTTGGAGGAATGTTGAACCAATGCTGCACAACGATTTTCCCATTTTTACTCAAACTGGTTTCCTCATGGCATGAACTGGGATTAAATTAGTGGACTTTTAAAGAGAAGTTTGTGAAACTTTAAAAGTTCTCATCCTTCGACGCAGGTTCCTGTGTAATAATGCGGCACAGTAATCCGTCCTTACAACCCGACGTCGTGCATGTTTACCTGCATGGGTGACGATGGGTAGATGTCGTCACTGGTGGAGTCCACCAGGTCCTCCTCATCCAATGTGGCTCTCTTATACGATGACATCTGAAAAGTCAAATTGAGAAAAGACTCTCTCAGCGCTTCCATGTTGCTTTTGGTCGCTCCGGCGACACCTCTCACGGCCCCTATGGCGTCCGACAGATACCCCCCTCCTCTCCGGTGCCAAACATCATAACACACTCCAGAACGTCCTCATAAAAGTGTCTCCTCGTGGCTTCCTTCTTCCTATTTGAAACGGTGTTGTGCCTCTTCCTGGGCAAACTTTTTTTTTTTTTTTTAAATTTCCTGGACTTCCTGCTCAGCCCAGTCTATGAAAACACGACGCGCAGGACGACGTAACTGCTGGAAAACAGGAAGGGGAGCTGACTCGAGCAACTTAACGTGACTGAGTCGTAGTGTGGGGCAGGGAATCGTGTGCGTGTGTGTGTGTGTGTGTGTGTGTGTGTGTGTGTGTGTGCGGGAGAGAGAGAAAGAGAGAGAGAGAGAGAGCATTCCCCAATGTGGTTTTACTTAGATTTGGGGAGGGAGCTTCACAATTGTAGTTCACACCCAGTGTCTTTTTCTATAGGACGCGACCGTCGGGGGAGGAGCCCGTAAACAACGTCCTCCTCCTCCTCCTCCTCCCCCCCACGGCGTGCTTGTAGTCGCTGCCCGTGGCAACCGTTACCTGATAGGCGGCCTCACCCCTCACCCACACGGCCACAGACACTGAACACGAGCCCTGCGTGTAACGAGCAAACCCTTTACAGAAAGAGAGAGTCGACACATAACGCGCATTCTCTACTCCATAAAGCATGTTTTCATATCAAATATCAATGTACACCTTTAGATATACGGTTTGTCTCTTCAGGTATATACAGTATATATATATATATGTACACACATATGCATAGGTATACGTATACATGTATTGGTTATTTTCATAGTGTTCAAAAAGGAAACACATTTTCTTGAATAAACAGCTGATTTTATATGATTCATCTACAAGTTAACTCACTTACTTACTTCTGATTAAAAGATACCGAATGCTATTTTAACAGACCCCTGTAGTTGAGACTGAAGGCTCTGCAGAAACACATTTGCATGTGGTTTTTCCTCTGCAGGGGTGCATCGCCGAAAAGGGGAATGATTAACCGCACAAGGGCCGCGCACAGTGGGACTCACTTCAGAAGGAACATGCGCCGAGCGCGAGACACACCAGCGACTGATTCTACATGTTTACGCTGGAGAGGACAGATTAGATCTTCTCCTAAACACGTCCAGGAGGGAAAGCAGGCGCCGATCTTTGCTTTATTTCCCGCTCGTTTCACGCTTGTTGCGCGTAAACATGTCACAGCAGGAAACGCAGCCAATGTTTTCACCGCAAGAGTTCCGTGGAATTCCAAGCAAACCAGATTCCTGTAAACAGTCGTGTCGGTTTTGAGAAAGGGAACCGAGGAAAACCAGGCAGGACCCTCCCCCTGTTAGTGTGATGTTAAACTGCGTTAAACCCAGCACACCCGGCCGGCCAAGTCCCATTATCGGCTTATAGAAGGACCGCTGGGGCAAACGATGGGAGGGCTAAAGTGATGAGGGACGCAGGGAGACGGACAGGACGGGGGAGGAGGGGTAAGAGGGCACCAATTGTTGTTTGGGATACTTTCAATTACATAAATGGCTGCGATTGACCTACAGCTGGAAGCAGAAAAGAGCCTAATGGGGATATCGACCCCTCTCTCTCGCCACACACACACACACACACACACACACACACACACACACACACACACACACACTGAAGCACAGCTGTTGAGACCCAATGAGACCCAAAGATGGACTGGAATGACCAGGGGTCCCTTAAACCTCTAAACCTCTAAACATCTGGGTAACTGCCGGAGACACGTTAACTAGAAGCGGACGTAGTCACAGCAAAGTCACCCGTTGGATCGCAGACTGCTGTTTGGAGGCTTTTTGTCAACAGGGGCGACGCGATGCAGCAGAGCAAGACATTTTAAAAGAGCACTCGTGCTAATCCTGTTTAGCTTTGTGGAAAAGTATTTAAATTGCTTTAAATCAGGTGTGACTGGATGATGCTGATCGGGTCGGGTTGCACCACCGTATAAAACGACCTGCGGTGACCTCGACGGGAATTACAGGCTCATGAAACGTTATAACAACAAACCAGACCGATGGCATTCAGCGGCTCTTGTAGGTTTATTGACAATGAGACGGTTTCCAAACACAACGACTCGCCATCTAATCCCCAAAAGAACGCATTTCTCACAGAACTCTACAAATGACACAAAATGTTTGACAAAAAAACGTTGTTTTTTTTTCCAATGTGTGATTTTGAGAGTGATTTAGAGATTTGTGATAGTTTCCAGCATTCAACATCCAATCTGTGTGAATAATAGCACTAATGGGAATGATATCGTGCACTTTGTGAGCCGTTAAACTGATTTGTTTTGTGTGTATGAATGTTCGACGTGGCCTTTACTGTTGAGCCGCTATCTCCTCCTAGAGATCCCCTTTCCTGCCGACACAGAAATGCCTCTCTGTGGGTCTTTTAGGAAAACAAGAGCTGCTTTATGATTCACTCAAACTGAATTCCATCGCACAAAAGTATTATACGCAAAAAAAAGGGGCAGAGCGCAACACACACACACGCGCGCGCATTCCTCTGTGTTTTTCAACACTTTCCGGCATTGCGGCCGGTGCAGATGTGCGCGCACACGTTGCCACACAGGTCCCTCCCGCCTGCCCTTTCCCGGAGTCGAGTCGCTTCAGTGACAACACTTCCTTCCCTTCGCTGTTCATGATATCTGGTGACTAATATCGGCCTCGTTCTCGTCACAGACATTAATTATGACAGCCATCATCACAGTCTTCGTGGAGAGGCCAGATGTCTCCCCAAACGACGCCAGGCCGCGCGGCCTCCGAGCGCGTCAGTAGCCAAAACCGGACCAATCGCTTGTAGTGCCGGGGAGGGGGGGCATTCCTCCAAGAATAACCGGAGCCTCAGCGGGTTCTGCAAAGAAAGAAAAAAGAGGCGGCAAGACGCCAAAAGGTGCCGGGACTCGAGCCAAAGGAAGGAGGCTGCAGGTGATTCGCGGTAAAACAAAAAAAAGGTTTTCACCTGCACGCACGTCCGCGCCAGTTTGCGCCGCCACGCTGAGCGAGCGGGTTCAGAAGCACGCAGGAACAGCAGTCAACTCCACGCATGGAACAGTGATGTGAGAAGACAACCCGGCGCTGACCTCTGTGATTAGAGCCGCGTTTCCGTCCCACTTCTGCTTTGACTTCCTCTTCAAGCTCAAAGCAAATCACTTCAGCAATTCTTTCTTTTTTTTTTTTATCTCATGAATCACAAAAAATGAGAACGCTTCCTGAAATACCGCGTATTTACCGTTACAACAAACAAGGTGAAGCAGGCCCAGCTCGTCACACCGTCATCCCACCTGCAGGGAAACTGGTCCCACGTGTTGGGTTATTATGCAAGAGGCTGTTTACTGCAGGCCGCCGTGTTCTGCCCTTGACCCGTTACGCGAGGCCACCGCTCTGACCGCGTCACATGCAAAAGAGCCACGGCGCTGCGACACCACGCAAAGACATTCCCAAGCGCTTTATCTCTTCTTCTGGGTTCCTGCCTGAAGACCACAGATAAGACGAAGCGGCCTCAGGCTCCGGCTCCTGACCTTCCGACGTCACGGCGGCGCTGCACCCGAGAAAACACCCTGATAATAAAGTGTGGAACCCCCCCCCCCCCCCCCCACCCACAAACTCTGAAGTAGGAACTGTTACACTAAGCCGAGGCGACGTCAAGCGGAATGGTAGCACTTTAGGGTTTATTTTTAGTCGTGCACGTGCGCCATTGCCTTGAAGAAAAACAACAACAACAACAACAAATGAGAAAGAGCATTTGCACTCGCGTGGTAATTGGTGTGCAGGCTTGCCGACGGGACTCGGAGGGATTCTTCCCCGCGGCACGTTTCAGGTATTCTGACGCATGTGCGACGATCAAATATCGCCCAGTCGGCTCCGGGAATCACCGCTTTACACGCTGCGTTTAAATTCCTATAATCAAACTGGGCTTTTTATGTCCCCTAAAATGTCACCTAAGAGCTCCTGTATGTCGGGGTTTGAATGGAGTGGAGGTGGCAGCTTGCTTTCCATGAGACATTAGAGATAAAAGGAGGTCACCTGCTCCTGCGGTTGTTATGGCGCCCTGCAGAACTCTTGCGATGGCACCTAGTTAATGAATAACCCGTAATGTTATTAAACCAATCAATCAATCTCCCGGCCTTCAGATGGCTCAGTTATTGATCTGCGTGTTTCATGCTTTAGCGGTGAATTAAAGAAAAGGTTTGAATTTGCAGGCCCACATTTTGCCACTTCCACATGTAACACAAAGCGGGGGTTGTCTTCAATTGATGCGGCGTGCGAGGACACAAAATGTCTGCCTGTGACAACAAGAGACTTCATGATTTACTCAGCTGACTTTAAAGTGACGCAATCCATATTTTGGCAATAAATTGGCTTTATTAAAGACACAGTAGCACCGCGTGTTTCCAAAAAGCTGCCCTGATTTGGCCTTTTCTCTAATGCGGCGGTTTACGTTCAGCGCTGTTCTTCGCATAAACAGATTTTTGATTTATGATCTTTCATGACGTTGCTTACAATCTCCTCTCCAAGACCCCAGATCATAAAAATCCAAGCAAACATGTGGAGTGAAAGTAAATGTTATTTGTTGTTCCATTAAATCAAGGAACTCTACTGAGGACACAGACTCATTATGGTGAATAATAATAGGATGTACAGGGTGTATTGAATAAGGAGAAGATGTATTTGCATTGCGGGTAAACAGTGTAATAATGAGATGTTTCCTGGTTGGATGGTAGAAGTCATTTGATGGCCGCATGAGTCACTTAAAACACAAACAGCAGATTTCTTGTGAAACCTTGTGGGTGTTTTTGAAAAAAAAAAAAAAATCATTTTAAATTGTTACAACCAGGGAAAATAATTCTTAAGATGACAAATAAATTAAAGTGTATTTCAAGCCAACGTAACATACTTGGTAATTATATAATATATGTAAACACATAATTACATTAGTTAGAGACGACACAGTTCCTACGCAAATACAGTCACCAAAACATCATGTAACTAACCACGAAGTGAACGCGTGATTTAAAAAAAAAGAGAAGTGATGTGACCCGATTAATCGGTTTCTGATTGTTTTTTTCTCACCGTGCTCTGCGTCGTGTCCGCCGCCGCTCACCGGGGGACCGAGTGCCTTCTGACCGGGCGACCGAGTGCCTTCTTACCGGGGGACCGAGAGGCTTCTGCTCGGGGGACCAAGAGCCTTCCGCCCGGGGGACCGAGTGCGTTCTAGCCGGGGGACTGAGAACCTTCCGGCAAGGGGAACCGAGTGCCTTGTGACCGGGGAACCAAGAGCCTTGTGACCGGGGGACCGAGAGCGATGCCTCGGCTGAACCGACCAAAGAGATGCGCCTAACTGTCAAGATAGTCCCCCCCCCTTTCCCCCCTCCGCCCCTCCGCCCCCTCGACACCCACCTTCGGGAACTTTGCGACCCCGGAAATCAACTCACACTTGCGTCAGAAGTTAAATCAGATAGAAAAACAAATTTCTCAGGACATCCTGTGGTTAAAGCCCGATGAAAATGAAATATTGCAGATTTATTTCTGAGCTTTCTTTTTTTCGCCGTCCAAATGCGCACATTCAGGAATCCACGTGGATCCCTTATGGATCCCTAGAGACTACAATAAAGCACAGCCCCATAGAATAAATACAGTCATACATATGAATGAATAAATGAACTGACCGGCAGAAATCGAAGCGCTCACATGAGTAATGCTGATTATTCGTACCAGGTTATAGTTCTCTGTACTCTACATTAAAACGTGTTACACACCACGTGTGTCCATCGACCATAATGTGCAATATGTTTTTTTTTATTGTTTCGTTCGGTTGAATCTGCCACCACAAGGGGGCGCAGTGCCGCTGTCGGTGAGACACGTATAGTTTTGACCGAGATCAATGTGAGGATTTCTAAAGTCAGGGTTTTTTAGTCAGTTAATTAGACACGCGCGCGCGCACACACACACACACACACACACACACACGCACACGCACACACATGCACGGATAGGATTTCAACTTGAGCATTGAATACTTTTATTCCTGCTGCGTCCTGGATGCGTTGCACCGCTCGTCCGACAGGGGGAGCTCGTGCTCCATCTCCTCCCCCACCTGCAGCAGCAGCAGCAGCAGCATGGTTATTTCTAAGGGTTTTTTTTCTCTCTCTCTCTCTCTCTCTCCCTCGTGGGATAAAACCCGCTATTCTCAGGCTCCTGGAGCCAGAGCACAACAACTGTGGCCTCACGAGAAGCATCGAAAGCCGCGACGAGGACACACGCACACACAAACACGCACACGCACACTTCAAAAAGGGGGAGACGGAACGAGCTTGCAGCCGCTTTGGATGCTGTGTTTCTGTCCAGGGAAAACCTTTGGTAAGTAAAACAGTAATGCAACTTTCTCCCCCCCCCCGCGTTGGTTTGATACAGATAACGTGTTGCTTTGGAGAAACGCTCCTACTGTTGCACTCTGGTTAATTCATCTTTACTCTGCCCTGAATAATGCAACCATTTCATGTTTGTCCCGATGCAATGTTCAGTAATGCAGTCTAGCTTTGAAAGGATGGAAGATTTTCCTGCTCATACCTTTTCTTCTCCCCTTTAGGGTGCAGGAGTTATATGTACATACAAAAACCGTTGTTCATTTGTCAAACTAAAAGCAAATAATCACCTGCTCCTATCTCCCCGGTGGGAAACAGAATATGTCTTATGTTTCAAATTCTTCAAAATATCCACCTTTTGCTTTGATGGCCGCTTCGCTTGGCATTCTTTCAATTCAGCTTTAAGAGTCAGCCGCCTGGAATGGTTTTCCATTAACAGCAGAGCTTTGCCAAGAGCTAATTTGTGGGATTTCTTGCCTTCTTAGTGTGTTTGAGAGCATCAGTGCTTGTTGCACAGTTATACACAGTGAATGAGCCCATTCGACTACAGTTCTAATCCATATTTTGGCAAGAACTATAGGCAGAAACGGCGAGTTTCTACACCGTGAAGCGTGGAGGAGGAGGTGTGCTTTGCCGCTGACGCTGTTTGGGGTTCATTCAAAATTCAAGGCATACTTTGCCCCAGCGTGGCTAAGAAAGCTAAGAAGAGAAAAATAAAGACAACCCCGCTGGACGAGAAGGTGTGTCCAAACTTTTGCCTGGTGCAGTGTGTGTGGATACAAGCAGCCGCCTGGTGTGAGAAGAAAACCAAGGTGTGGATGCACAGAGCGTGTGCACAGAATCTTTTTTTTTTGGAGGCCTGCGTTCTCGCCCGTCAGCCCTCCACGCCTGAGCGTAACCGGCAGCCTAATCCTCGCCCCGGGGAGCTGCAGCCTGCTGAAGTTGCACATCCAAGTCGCCTCGGGCTTGGACGCCAGCTCAGGGAGGAGCTCGGCCGGTGAAGTCATCTCACCTCAGACACGCTGGATCAGCCGAGGCGCCCGCTGACACCGTGATGGAGTTGGGGTTTCATGTCGTCCTGGCCACCGTCCTGTCGGGCGTCTTACTGGCGGCCGTGTTGGCACTGGTTTGCTTCTTCTGCTGCAGGTTGGCCGGCCCGCTCCACCACGGCGGACCCGGCGGCTTTTAACCGGCCGGGTCCATTTGATGTGCCGACGAGGTGACCTGATTTTTGTTTTTGCTAAAGTGTAGTTTACTGTAGCGGCTGGTGCGTAGTGGACTCGGCTACGAGTACAACAGCTGTTCATTTAGATGTTTTCTCCCATCTTTGCCCTTTCATTCCATCCTCTGTCGGAATGAACAAGTGAACGCTTTGTTGCTTGAGCTTTTTCTTCTCCTCGTCGTCGGACGCGTCCAGTCAATCATCTGCTGTTAATCGGCTTTGTTATGGCCCCTTAAACCCTTCAGCGCGATGAAACTCAATCCCATTAAAGTGTCCTTGACCATATGAGCACAAGGGAGAAAGGAGGAGGGTGTGAATAATTACAAATGAAAAGCTGGCTGGCTCGGACCCTCGAGGACCTCCTGGCGGGACAGCTTGCATTCGCGGCGAGGCCTCCAAGCTGGACTCAACTGGTGCTTCTGCCGCTAAGCCTGATGGACCCGATGCTTTTACAAGGCCCACGCAAACATCTCCCCCCCCGACACGAGGACATCAAAACAGACCGACCGTCTGGACGCACAAGCATCCGTTTCTGCTGTTCCTTAGAAAAAAACCGCCTCAGGCTGGGACGAAGAACTTCATTGAGTTATTATATAGTGGTCTTAAGCTTCCCGAGCTTCCACAATACTCGGCCCTCTACTGTCGGTGCCTCTGCTGAAGAACCAAGAACAAAGGAATCCATCAGGTTTTATACATTTTCCATCCCACAGGCAGCAGAGTCGCCTCTCATTAGTTGAACATGCTGGTTTCTGTTTATTATAACCGTCCATTACGTAGTAATAACGCAGTAACTTCCACAAAGGAGGAGTTTTTTTAGTACAACTTGGTATCGGGTGCGGCCTCCATTTTGTTTACTGGGGGGGGCCCGTTGTGTACACCCGGTGCCTCTCTCTGCTATGTCACAGGGCGGTTGGTCCCTGTTGCGTCCGACCCACGGGGTACAGCAGTTTACACAAAGTGAACCCGCTCTTCAGCTTCCACTGACTAATCCTCCAGGGGAGTTGGCAGTTCGACGTGTCCCTTGAACTGGTCGCATGCAGGGAATCCGAAGCGGTGCAGCGTAACAGTCTGTGCTCGTCACACCAGTAAATACACATTAAACTGCCATGTCGGTAAGTCAGTGTGCCACAACGTGACGCTCGACTTAATCACCAGTTGTGGTTCTCTTCTTCTCCCTCAGCTGTGAGGCGACTGCAAGACGAGCATCCGCAGACTCCCGAAGTGGCGCGTTGAGGCGGGACGGCGACATGAAGGTGATAGCCCTGCTCGTCGTTGGCACCTCTGCTCTGATTTCGGGGAGTTTCGGGAAGCCGCAGTTCCCCGGTAAGTTCCAGAGTCTGGAAACCTTCCAGGCTTTTGACTCAAATAAAGGGATCATCCTGTTTATGATCTCTTTAGCAGATAGTTGCAGGCTTGTCGTCGTCGAACAAAGTCCAAAGTGTAAAAAACTTGCATGTCGGCTGACGATGATTTGGCTGATTCAGGGAGAACTGCAGCTGCACAACAAGTCGGTTAGTAGAGCGACAGAAAGCCGTTTCATTGAGGATCTGATCCTCTGATCTGTCACAACTCGACTGGTTTCGACCCGACACACTGGATGTTCGCCTGGCAGCGACCGCGAGAGTCAACCTCAGTGCGTCACGGTTCCTTAAAAAGCCAACGAATCATCCAGATGAATAATAATGGAATGCAATAACATCGACACCGATGGACGGACTAAACGTGTTTACAGAAAAAGAGGGATTGGGACGTAGAACGAAGTATTTACGTCTCTGAAGTAATTAGGCGAATGCCACGCTGATGGGCTCGTTTTCCGCATGAGTATTATGGAAAGTGGAGGGCGATTTGGTAATCTGCCCCTCATGGGAAAACGATAACGAGGGGTCTTATGCAGAGCTAATCGCGCTGGTGTCTTTCCAATACACAGAACAAGAGAAGGATCCCAAGTTTTGGAACACGTGGGCTCAGCGGACGCTGAAGAGCGCTCTGACGCTGCAGAAGTTCAACACAAACAGAGCGAAGAATCTCGTCTTCTTCCTCGGAGACGGTAAGCTGCAAAATCTGGTTACGTCCTAAATAACGGGACAAATGGGGAAAAATTTCTCCAAATGCTGCGCAAATCCATCCGAAAGGTGGAAGGTCGCCTCGGCGCCGAAGGACTTTGCATTGCAGCGAACCCATTTGGAAAGACACAATCTCCCCGTTGGTCTTTTTACCGGGCCAACAGTGTTATTTAAGCTGAACATGACGTTCCAGGGGGATCCAGAAAATCCATCAGCAATTGAATGATTTTCCAAATTTCTTCTGCCACGCGGGGCGAAACGAATAGAAGCAAACTAAAACCACTGTGCTGCCACCAGATCACTGCGCTTCTGTTCGAGCCGGGCCGACAAAATCTTTTTATCCTCCATCTGCTCCCCGTTCTCTCTCTCTCGCTCCGTTCCGACCAAAAGGCACAACGTGACATTCTTGCCCGCTGCTGCGTCGACTGTCACGTGCCGGTGGAGTGGAGGGGGGGTCGTCGCAGAGGAATTACAAAATAACAGGCACCGGCTTACAATGAAGCGATTGCCCAGCTGGAAAATGTTTACCCAAAATGTTGTCTTGCCTTTAGCAAGGAATATCAAAGCGTGTCCTCTGTGCGGCTCAGAGCCTCGGATCTATCTATCTATGTGGAATGGAGCCGTCTTCAACTTTACTTTGAGTGATCAAAGTAGGCCTCGAGGGCTAACGCTAACACAATTTAGTTCTCAGCTGAGACACGAGGCCAAGACGTACCAATGTGTGTTTTTAACAATTTTCATCCCCAATTTCAGGGCGGAAAAGAAATCCCGTCAATCCCATACAGGATGTTAACAGTTAACATGTTAACATGCATGTTAACTACATTCTTAATGCATAAAATGCATTACATGCATACATGCATAAAAGTATTTGTTTTGTTGAAGTCATTTGTATCCTAACAGCTGCCATCGTGTTCAAAAATATCAAAGAAAGCAACAGTGTTTCGTACCGAGCACATAACTGGATAGAGGGACTTGGTGTTGGACCCTGAAGGAAGACTACTACTGGTACCACCTACAATCCTCAAGGTGGACCTGCTTTTGCCTTTTAGGAATGGGCGTTCCCACGGTAACAGCTGCTCGAATACTGAAGGGTCAGCTGAATGGACAGAGTGGGGAAGAGACGCAGCTGGAGATGGACAAGTTCCCCTTTGTGTCGCTGGCCAAGGTCTGACTTAGTTATTATCACGTTTGTACAATATGATCCAATGTATTGATCTCGCTGTGGCCACAAATGGCTTCTGGCAAGGCCGTAAACAAGGTCATCCACCGAGTCCCGTTACACTCGTCTGTGGATTACGATAGATTAGACTGTTAGACTAAATTGATTATTTGTACCTCAGGGATCATTGGAAAGTACTCCGCTTGAATGAACTCAAACTGTTTCTTCTTTAGTCCCATTAAAAGAGCAAAAACCACAATTGCAGCCAGACCACTGCTTTCATTTCATTAGTTCATCCAAAAGGTGCAGAAGAAGCCTCCCTCTTTGAATACTATGGGAAAACTAATCTCTTACATAAACTGAGAACTTCCAGGAATGACATGGTTTACAAAGTTAATCTATTTGGATAATCTAAAGGAAAACAGGGTTCTGAGATTTGTTTAGAGTTAAAAAGTTCGAGACCATATACAGAACCTAATGTGTGAAGAATGTGTGGGAAAGCTCATGCAAAAACAAAGTGTACTGATTGTAATACTCCTAATTAACGAGGGTGTTTGCATGCTTAGAATTATGCAATGTGCATCTAACGTCCTGCCAATAATCATCTGAAAGAGAACTCAACAAATCAAACAAACAGCTGCAAAATTGAGTTGTAAGAAAGAAGAAAGTAAATCAAGGCTCCGCTCGATTATTTACAACATTTGCTGAATAAAAACATCTCGTTCATTCACACAATAACACATAGTTCTCGATCCTTTATTGGGATTTGTTGGAATTTTCCTAATGCATTTCCAAACTAGCCCCTCCCCCACTCCCCCCATCGCAGCCACTTAATAAATCAACCATCTCGTCTGACAATTCAATCCTGACCACGTGCCAACGTCGCGTCCTTCTGCAGACCTACAACACCAACGCGCAGGTGCCAGACAGCGCCGGCACGGCCACGGCTTACCTCTGCGGGGTCAAGGCCAACGAGGGCACGGTGGGCGTGAGCGCGGCCGCCACCCGCACACAGTGCAACACCACCAGGGGCAATGAGGTCACCTCCATCCTCAGATGGGCCAGCGATACAGGTAGCTCCGCCCACGGGGATTGTAATTCATCAGTTGTCATACGTTTTCGTGTCCGTGTGATTGAAGTTCTGATACCTTGTTCCAATAATCCTTATTCCTTATTCCATCCACTTCAGGCATGTCGGTGGGAATCGTGACGACGACCCGGGTCAACCACGCGACCCCCAGCGCTGCTTACGCCCACAGCGTGGACAGAGACTGGTACTCCGACAACGAGATGCCGGCTGAAGCCCTGAAGAACGGCTGCAAAGACATCGCAAGGCAACTCTTCGACAATATCCCCAACATCGCCGTGAGTCAAAGGCAGTGATGCATTTTGACACAAATGTTGAAATTGCAACACACAGCATCGTTCTAGCCACATATGTCCTCGTAAAACAAATAGCTATCGAACTTAAAATCCTGAGACTGAGCTGAGCTTCAGTCTTTATCATGATGTCATATATTTAGTGCCTCTGATCAAATTGATGTTCTGTTATTGTGACTTTCCAGGTGATTCTGGGTGGTGGGAGGAAGTATATGTTCCCCAAAAACACGTCTGACGTGGAGTACCCGGGCGTGGCGAAGCACAGCGGCACACGAAACGACGGAAGGAACCTGGTGCAGGAGTGGATCGACGGGAAGAAGGCTAAAGTACGTTTCCCCTCTCTGCTCCCTCTTTCATCCTCCCAATTGCATTTCCATATTTAGGAGTTCAAAGTGACGGCGGTGCTTCCACTCGCGTTGTTACCCTGCTGTACATTTGTGCGCCCGTGCAGAAAGGTCATTATGTATGGAACAAGAAGCAGCTGCTATCACTGAACCCCAACAACGTGGAATACCTACTGGGTGAGTTTCCAGTCGCAGTAATTATCAAACTCTCATTGAAGTGTAAATGAGGAGCGTGCATGCGTTTGAGCTGCAGGCTTATTTTCTGCATTTAATACCCTTTTTATCCTGTTATTCCAGGTCTCTTTGAACCTGCGGATATGACGTACAACTTGGAGAGGAACACTGACACGGACCCCTCGCTGCCGGAGATGGTGGAGGTGGCCATTAAGATCCTCAGGAAGAACCCAAAGGGATTTTTCCTGCTGGTGGAAGGTAAGTCGGTGGAGAAATTGGAAGTTAAAGATCCGTCTACAGCGAAGGAAAACCTCAATCAGTGAAATCTGCTGAGTTGCATTCAACAATTCAAAGTGCTTCGCATAAAACCATTAAAAACATCCAAACATGAAGCAAGGAGACTTATAAAAGGACCGTCAAACCGGGTTTTCCCTCGTCATCAATTCTCTTTGGGATTTTCCCTCTTGAGAAGTTTGCTGGACATTACCAAGTGGTGAGAGGCCCAGAAAACTACCGGAGAAATTTGATATCTTGTTTTGGCTTTGCATACTTTGGAAAACGTTGTTGGGGAGAGAGAGACGTCTGGAAAACAAGCCGCTGAAACAAACCTTTAAATCGCTTTAACAAGTTGCTGTACAGAAGCGTGAATTCATTTTTCTTGAATAGCCAAAATTGAAACATAATATCGTACGGAAAAAAATCTTTGATCTGCTTTACTAACACATTTTTCCCGCAGTTAACACAAAATAAAAACATAAAACGCCCGCAACATCTCGAAGACAAAGCAGGCAAGGACCCGGACGCGGGGACAACATTGTTAAACAGGACAGCAATTATTAAGAAATGCGACAATAGTTTGTTGTTTAAAAGAATCTGTTGCTGTCTGCTGTGGGCATTGCATGTGGGAGGTGAGAGCTGCTCCAAACAAAGCTCTGGTCCTTATCGTCCCTCTCAACACACAGAAGGCACAGGAGGTCCGTGGCGTCAACTGTGTGCATGAAGAGCATTTACAGTCCTGCAGGTATGGCATCGATTGGCCAGCCTGACTGAGCAATAAAAAGCGGCTAAATAAGTGTCAAACTGAGCGCTTGACGGGCCGCTGAATGCCGTCTGGAGGAAGGGTGGAGGTGGCCGGCGGGGGTTTACGTCACTAAGCACGGTTTCAACTTCTCCCCCCCGGCTGCCTTTTGTCAATTCCTCTCACCGACACTTCTGCCCTTAGCTGCAGTGATCTTTGAGGAGCACTTTCTGAGCGATCCGACGGCTTCAGACGGGAGTTTTTTTAACCTGTAAATGTGCCCCCCTTTCCTCCCCGCTCTGTCTCTGCCAGGAGGACGCATTGATCACGGGCACCACGAGGGAAAGGCCAAGCAGGCTCTTCACGAAGCTGTGGAAATGGACAAGGCCATCGGCCTGGCGGGCCTCATGACCAGCGTCCACGACACGCTGACAGTAGTTACCGCCGATCACTCTCACATGTTCAACTTCGGGGGCTACACGGGCAGAGGAAACCCCATGTTCGGTACGTACTGCACGCTCAGCGCTGTGAGTTACATCTTCACGCCGGGTTCTGTTGTGACGATGGGCCGTAATGCCTCCACAGGTCTGGCCCCAATGCTGAGCGATATTGACCAGAAGCCCTACACCTCCATCATATATGGGAACGGACCGGGTTACAAACTCGTTAACGGCGGGAGGGAGAACGTCTCCACTGTGGATTATCGTGAGTAAAACCAATGACGGCGCGGAAGCTTCCTTGACTTTTGTCCTTATCGTTCTTCTTCTTCCGCGCGTTGTTGCAAAAGATGATCCCTAACCCTCTACCACCTCCCCCCTTATCCTTCATCCTTAAAACCACCATCGGGAACCCTTAACATTGGGGGGGGGGGGGGGGGGGGTCTTTTCCCTCCATGCATGAGGACTTAAAAACAACCTTTTTCTCCTTGTCTCTGCCTTTCAGAGGAAAACAACTACCAGGCCCAGGCGGCTGTACCTCTGACCATGGAGACTCATGGAGGAGAAGACGTGGCTGTGTTTGCTAAAGGGCCCATGGCCCACCTGCTGCACGGGGTCTACGAGCAGAACTACATCCCCCACGCCATGGCGTACGCGAGCTGCATCGGCGAGAACCGGGAGCACTGCAGCGGCAGGTCGGCGGCTCTGCGCCCCGTCCTCTCCAGCGCGGCCGCCCTCCTCACAGTCACCCGACTTCTGTGCTGACCTCCCCCTGTTAATTACCCCGTTCGAACTTCACTTTCTGCTATTTTGATCATGGAAAAAATAAATTAAAGATAAGATTATCAGTTTAAGGCAGTTCGGCTGAATGTGTCAAAGGATAAACAAAAGAATTGTTCCCCCTTTAGGAACTGAATTGATTGTTGCAAAGATCCCCACAAAATGAGAGATCTCAATTGTGATTTGTCTGTTGAGTTTTTATCGGGGCTTTTAGGATCCATTAAGTCTCCTTGTAAAAGGCAAACCCTTTAGGTTGGATTGCATATGCAAATGTTTGAATACGTTTCATATTTTGCATGTGCAACATAATCTACCTCATTACCTTGCAAAAGGATGTAATTGTACTTGTGGTGCATTCGGAAGGGCACATTTTCAGAGGCAACTGAATGTGTGATTGACAAAAGCGTAAAAGAATATATCTCTCGTCAATGCATTCTTTAAAAAACAAGGAAAAAGCCCACCTGCCATTGTTGTGTCCAGTAATAGAAGTTGTAAAACCTCTTGATCATTAAAACAAATGTCTTCTGATCGTCTTTGTCCGTTGTGTTGCTACATCAATGAGTGCAACCTTCTCCGAAACATTCGCAAAAATTCAGTTCTGCTGGGCAACTGGGAGTGGTGCCCCCACCTCCCCCCCTCCACCCTTTAGTAACCCTTGACCTTATAGTCATTTCTCAACACTGGTTTCCAAAATCTGTATATGTTACATTACATTACATTACATTACATGTCATTTAGCTGACGCTTTTATCCAAAGCGACGTACAATAAGTGCATTCAACCATAGGGTACAAACTCAGGAGAACAAGATGGCAGAACACGCCAATTAAATTCCTCCACAAGACCCAAGAGTGTTTTTTATCGACCTGAGAGTCACTGATGCTTTTTGGCACGACCCAATGTAGGTGGTTTTCCCACGATTCCCCACGCGGCAGAAATAGCTTAGTGGTTATCCTTCTTTCAGAGTGTAATCTGTTCCATCTACCCTGTCGAGTGGAATGTGAGCGGACTGAAGCCACACAGTCCTCGGCGTCATGCGGTCACTGCCAAAACAAAACAGGACTCATGTTGGTTGAAGCATGAAAAATGGAGGTTCAGTCCAAAACGGGTATGAAATGAAATGTCTTTATGGAGTCGTTTGAACATTCCCAATGTCTGCATGGGATCCACTGAGGCCCTCGGGGGCCACTTTGTGCTTTTTATGTGGCTTTGCTGATTTGGATTTTTCTCGCATTCCCACTGGCAGCCCATAACCGCTGGGCCGTAATCCTGTTTTATCTTTTGCATTCTAAATTCAGAGATAGGCGACGATGGGTATCAGATTTTACGGCACGATTATTAAATCGGGCTTTCAACCCCCCAACTTCCTCTCTCAGATTTATCTGTGCACGACTCGCCGTGCTTCTCATGATTCCTGAGTAATGGAACCTTTCATTTTCTAAAAACGAAACCAGGCCAAGGCCTTGTGCTGCTTGTATGGCACTTTAAAGTGGTCGCGGACGCTCGGCCATTCAATCTGTCCATCAGTGACAAGACGAAGGCTTACGATGAAGAACTAAGGCCGGAGCCTCCCCCTTTTGTTCCAGTCTCGGGGTCCATAGTTCTGCTCGTGGTGGCCTCACTGAACGTGCAATTTTATAAAGGGAAAGCCACAGTGTCGTATTACACAGCCCGGTGCAGAGCTACTAGAAACACTGTAATTTCATAAACTCAACCACACCCCCCGTGTGGTATCCTTCCCTCTTTCCTCCGACCAGCATGTACAGTGTTTTGTGTTTTTGGCGACGGGCAGGAGTAACAGACACACACACACACACACACCGGGGGTTTTCATCCGTGTTGGCTGACGAAACGTGAAGATTAGACAAACTGGGACTCAGCGAACAAGGTGTAGTTCCTCTCACCTGAAGGAAGACACAAAGGAAAGAGAAAATCAAAGTGAACCGATATGTTTTTGTCAGGATGGAGAGATGAATGTTGTTGTAGTTGTGTATTACAGATCTACATTTAAACATGTGTGACGATGACAGTGGGCAAAAGTGGGTTTCAAACCAAACATAAAAAACTAAATGGACTGTAGTAGTAGTTAGCAGAAGAAGTTTGTTCGCCTTTGACGGTCGGCACCGATGTAGTGGAAGAAAAATCCTGCAGCGCTCCGTCCGTGGAAATAGCCTTGATCGACCCTAAAAGCCTTTGGCTGTGCACTCGCCCTGACATCAAGTCGCTCATCAAAAACATCACCTCCACTTCTCCCGTCGGCGTGCTGTGACAGCTCGCCGCTTTCCATTTCACGTCCTCCTGTTCTCCGTCTCCCCCCACCCTCCCTGCTTTGATTTGACCCCTTTTGGTGGCATGACGCCTTACATCAATCAATCCCTCTATTCGTGTCAAGGGCCGCGGCTTCAATCCGTGTCACGATCTCCAGCTTTCTGATTGGCTGTGGCCACGGGTGAATAACTGGGCGGCCGCGTGTTGGAATTTCGGAGCCTCGGAACGATCAAACTAAGAAAGCAAAGGCAAGGCCGACCGCTCTGGGGGCTGCTGCATAAAAGGAGCAGCGAGGCTGCAAGAAGATGCTAATTCTCCCCTTTTCAAAGCGGAGATCCTTCTCTCGGGCAAAATGGAGCGAATGACCCTCCTCCAGTGGGCGATCTGGTTCAGCTGGGTGCACAAAGGTCCACGAGATTTTAAATTAAAACCGTCACATTGCACCATCACAACTTAATGACAAGCAGCGGCCAAATCAAGGAATGAAATGTATTTAATGAAAAGATGTGCAGTATGAACCTGGGATTGTGATTATGTGTACATGATATAAATATATATATATATATAAGTAATAATATACCTATGAAATATCATGTGTAGAATTGCATGCATTTACTATAACACGTGTCATTTAAGAATGTCTATGCTTAAATGACGTTGTTTAGAAAGATGTGAACAATAAGGAGCAGTGAGCCTTACGAGAAACAAAGAAAAACACCTCCTGATAGGGAAGCTACTGCGTTACAAGACACCTCTGCACCAACGTTTCACCAACCTGCAGCCAGCTCCATATCTGTTTAAACTTGTGATGAATCTGACAATCTGACAGCAGCATGTTCCAACAAGAGGCGACGGCGTGATGGGAAATATGACCTGATGGCAGCCTGTTGACAGACAGCCATGAATGTGTGGTCCTCGTTTGAGAACTATACTCCGATACAATTATTCTTTATTCTGTTACATTCTAACGTTTCCGTCTCTGGAACTTCTTCGAGTCCACCAGAAAAAAAAAATGTTTTTAATGCTAAACCAAAACAACGATGCTAAAGAGATCTTTTACATTTGCTGCTTTTCCATTCAAATCAAAAATAATGCTTAAGAACACAAGGCAACACAACATACATAAAACTTAAATAACTTTTATAACAGACTCAACGGTGCTCTCCTGCACAAACATGAAATAAGTTCTACTTGTCAAGGCTAATCTGAGGTCATGCTCAATGTCGAGTGTGTTTCTCTGGTTAGTCTTCAGCTGAAGCCGAGCCGAGAAGCGACACTCGAGCGAGAGGTGGTGCTGAATGGAAGGAGGCGTTCCACTCCTCTCGCTCATCGCGTTGCTGCACCACAACTGGGAGGGCCTTACCTCCGTCAATAAATCTTTTTTTAAACTCTAGAGCTTGCTGACAGAGATGGCTGTAGGCAACCTAACCACACCGAGCGTGTGACGCAAGACAGGCTTGCCTTCCATAAGGCACCAAAGTCCTACCTCGAATCTGTGTGAATGCTGACTGTTTTACCCTCATCCAGTTTGCCAGTGAGTGGCATGAGCTTGGCTGTCTGGGTCGGGGGTGGGGGTCCAGATCAACGCACAGCTAAATCAGAAATTACAGCAAAACCAAGAAGATTAGTCCCAGTCAGTGGATCCCGTGAAGCAGATCCGTCCACATGCATCACCATGTCGCTGCTGGACCCTGGTGTGTCCTGAAGGTCCAGGTCAAGGTGTGCATTGAGTCTGGAGCTCAGCCAGACGCTTGTGTTCCTCTCCGTCACCTGGAACGGGGAGGAGATGAGAGGATTCCTGTTTCATGAAGAAGCAATGAGACAGAGCGAGGAACGAGAAGAGTCAGCGGCGCATATCCTAGGATCCGGGATCAAGTTTAGCAGAGAAATAAGCCGCCGGACGCAGTTTGTCACCATGAGATTGGAAAAGAAATCACATGTCATACGTTCGTCGACTGTCAGAGTGAAAGGTTTGTTCGGATCAGGTCACCGCAGTGCAGGAGGAACACCTTTCACAAGATACAGGGCAGAGCAGCAACAGAAACTTAAAATTCCAATTATGTGAATCAACTTATTGTTACACAACAGCCGTGAGACTGGGGACGTCTTATCACGGAGACACTTGAGCTCAACACTTTCCCGCTGCCACCGGGACTATATGAACTGTATATATTTATCCATTACAATGGGCAAACATGAGGGCAAATCCGTCTGAGGCTAATGAGAGCAGAAAGAAGAATCTGAAGAATCTTGTTCACATTTCATCAATGTAGGAGGGATGATTGAACTAGAGAGTGAGAGGAAAATTGTGCAATTAAGTCAGGGAGGGATGTGCAAGGTAAATCTGCACAATAATGAGAATCAAATGAAAGTGTTTAACCTCACACAAAAGACCCCACATCATCCACAAAGGTCTAAAGTGTCTCAACTAAATGACAAAGTATTTCAGGACTTGTCAATCTAATATTAAGGGCACTTAGTGAGATAAAGTCTCGATTATTTAAATTGGCTAGCATGCCAGGAATGAAATATTTTATTTTGCAATTCAGATCATACATTTATGAAGGTATGGCTGGACAGCATATGTGCAAAGGGGATGTAGAAAGGGGACACAACTCAACAACAGGTTTGATGAAAAAATGCAGTCTGTAATCCTACTATATCTTTTGCAATAGAAACTTCTTCATATCTCTTACGTTTGCTGCAACATTTTGATTGCCTTGAAATCGATATATAAAAAATATAACTGAAGGGTGAGCAGAATATTATTGGTACTCATTTTAGTGTTAAGAAACATTCGCTGTTATTGGTGTTTATAAAATCCACTTCAGAAACATCTGTGTTGCACCACCCACAGCCAGAATGGACACAATGAGCATGAGATTAACAAACTTATATATTTTCTTTGCAGTTGTTTGCAGTTTGTGCTGTCATATTGCATATGAGGCCCTGGCTTGCAAGCATTCACCTCATCAAACAACTGAAGACGGCATTGGGATCAAAAGGGTGAACGCACAGTAACAATATATCAGTACACCCACGCGTTTACATACCTGAATTTCCCTGGTACTGTCATGATTATTAGAGGAACTGCTTCTGTCATCAAACGCGATAACAATGTGATAACTCACAGTGCAGTCAGGACCAGGCTTGTCACGACTTTAGAATGAATGAGAATTCTCATAAAATTGAAAAAAGTCTCTTTGATATTTTATTTCAACAGAAGTAGCCCCGGGACTAGAATGTCTCTTGAGGAGTGTGT